ACCCAAACCCAAACCCAACCCCAAACCCCAACCCAAACCCAAACCCGAACCCAAACTCAAACCCCAAACCCAAACCCAAACTCTAAAGCCAAGTTGATGAAGCAATCTACCCCATCCCCAATACAATATTAAAAAGAGTAAAAATTTAAGACTCCATAGAATATCTCTCAAAAGATCTAGAGTCTAAGTCAAATCAAATCAGAAATTTAATAATTAGGTTAAGAATAGATGGTCAAAATAACAAATATCCTCAATAAAATTAAGAATCATGAATTTAATGAAAAGAACTACTCAATGGATGAATATGAAGAAATTAAAAATCATTTAATCATTAAAAGTATCATGGGGATAAGAAGATTATAGAAATCATAAAATGTTTAGTTCATCTTACTGCCTTAGATAACAGATATATTTCGTGTGGATCAAATTCTCTTCATTTATTAGTTGTAATGAAAGTAGATATGAGATAATACAGTTTTGAGAATGTCAAAATTAGAGATACCACTTTGGTTGGCGGAAATTTTGTAAGATGCAATTTTAATGGATCAGAATTTGACAATGTATACATTAGTGGAATGAATTTGAGTTAGACTTAATTATTTAATTGTAAATGGAAAAATATCAAAATACATGAGTTAAATAAATTAGATGGTCATGATGGAAAAGTCAATTAGGTATGCTTTTCTTCCGATGGTAAATCATTAGCTTCTTGTAGTGATTATAATTTGATTATATTGTGGGATGTTAAAACTGGAAAAGAAAAGTCGAAAATTAGAGTCAAGGAAAATGTAAAATCAAGTATGCTTCTCACCTAATAATACAATAATAGTTTTCAGCATTGGAAAATTTGTGTATTTATGGAATCTTAAAACAGGAAAGGAAGTTATCTAAATTAAAATGGTCATTTTGAATGATGTTAATTCAATTTGTTTCTCTCCTAATGGTACTAAAATAGCATCTGGTAGTGAAGATAAGTCTATCTGTTTATGGGATGGTAAGACAGGATAATAAAAAGCCAAATTAGATGGTCATTTCATCAATAGTTTATTCAGTCAATTTGTCTCCCTGATGGTACTAACATTAGCATCTGGTAGTTATGATGAGTCTATTCGTCTATGGAATGTAAAAGCATCAAAGAAAATAATCCAATCAGATAGTAGCTACAAAGATCTGCTTACCCAGATTAAAATACCACTTCAGAAGAGCTCCTTATTTGCAAATGGTATTTGTTATTAATCATTATTTAGTTAATCCTGATCTTACAATACTTAGAATATGTTAGAATCCTTAGTTAGAAGCATAAGGAACACTAATCTTATAAGGACAATTCATAAATCATTAAGGGGAAGATTTAAAATCATTGTTTAAATCCAAAGGAAGTTTCTTTTTAGAAGACTTAAAGCAAAATGAAATTGAAATATTCATTAAGAACAATACAATTAATAATTTTAATTAATTTCTTATGCCTTTTTTTTAATAATATTATTTTTTTGTTTCAATCTTGAATCCTCATTTCCTAATATAGATAATTACATATTTTTCAAAAGTATTAATTTCAAGATGTTTACTCGGACATTGCTCTGTTGTTTCCACTATTTGAAAGCATTTTGAATAACCTTGTAATTTTTGTTAATTAGGAGCTGAGTATACTGGTTGTAGTTCTTGTAGCTAAAATTTTTGTCCATTATTCAAAGTGGCTTGTGGCTAACACTTGCCCATTCTGTGAATGTGGGAATTGATGCAGTATAGTCTAATACTGCACCATTATAAAGCAAACTGAGGATTTTATTCAGTCAGCCCCCATGCTACCTTAAGATGTAGAATTATTCTTCTTATTAGAGTGAATCAGAAATGCTTTCAATTATAAAATGTGTGCTGGTTGCTCGGATGTAGCATATTAATTATCAATTCTGTTGCTTAATAAGCGGCTAAAATTTCGATAAAATTGGACAGATTTCAACCCTTGTTACTCTTGTGCAATATTTGGACCTAATATCAAGCATATATTGGAGTTCTACTAATAATGGTGCAGGTTTGAGTTACTACGCTTGTCAATAATGTTTCAAAGTTAAACGATATTTGTTAATCATATGCTGCTTCCTTTACATATTGATCCTTGATCTACTCATCTTGAAACTTATTGAGACTTTGAGGTTCTCTGTGCTTATTGTTCTATGGTATTCTGATGGAGATAGATTTGACCTGTGTCTTATAACATGGTAACTGGTATTGGCTACCAATTATATAGTTGCGTATTTTTTTTGTTAATTCCAATATCCTGTTACTACTGTTTAATGTTTTGGTTGTCAGAGAAAACCATGCTATAGAGTGTATATAATGCAACAATTCCCACACTATTTAATGCCTTGGTCCTTTAATTCTTATTACTCCAGGCCACCTGAATGTGCTTTCAGCATTCCTAAATGTGTATCACTCTTTATTTACATAGAATACTGATGGAGATACATTTAAATCATGTAGGTATTTCTTTTAAGCTTCTTGTATAAAACCTTTTCCAAATTTACGATATTAAATGTGATGATCTAGTAGCACTCATTTTTGATGGCTGCATCTTAGCAGCTGCATAATAAAAATGCTGTATATTGTTTTTATCTTTGTCTTAAATGCAACACTCAATCAAATATATTCTTAACTAAATACTAAATATCTTCACTTCTTTAAAAACTTCTGACAACCTGCAAATTAGGGAGTTGATATTTCAATGCAAGAGGATTGCGCCAAAAATAAAGCATTGTGCAAAGCACTTAATTTTTAATAATAACTAAAACTGGTAAGACTTTACAAAACTTACATTTCTGCAAATGTGCAAATAATATACTTCATGTTTGTATTTATTTGATTGCATAATTAAGTTTTGTAATATGTTCAAAATGTGATGTTATTTATTTTAATGCTTCAGCTCTTCTTTGGCTATCAAGAGATTGTGTATGTAACACCTGGTAATCATGTTTACCTTAATCAAATCGAATTATAAAAAAATGCAAAAAGCCATCTTGAACATTTCATGTAACAATACTGGAATCTGAAATTTATGTGCTGATTCATTTATAAAGTATTCTTACGCAATCAGTGGCTCTGAAGACAATTCTTTATTAACTTTATTTGTCACCACTTTAAAGAGCTATTCAAATCAAGAAAAGTTACTCTTATTAAAGTAAAGATTAATTCTATAATAGAACTTTGATAAAATTAGAATACATTCTCAATGTTTAACTCCATGCCAATTCTTTAATTGTGAGAATCTTCTCGAATGAAGATGGCAACATTAGCAGAAAACAAGAAAAATGGCTCTATTTAAAATGAAATGATTTCACTAACTATGAGATCCTGAGAAGCATAAAAATTATCATTACCAAGAAGAGTAGCGCCTAAAGTTTAAGAATTTACATTTTAAATAAGGGAAAAAATAGATGAAACAATATGTTAGTTAAAAAGCTGCAAACAAATTATATTATATTAAGTATAATTACTTCATAATATTAATTTTTAAATTAGTTCAATATTAGTTTGAACAATTACTTATTCTAAAAGGAATGAGATTTAGTTAATATTATTGTTAATTTCAAAATTCATGTAAAATTTTCAAAATTTTCTGGTATGCTATCTATTCCTCCAAGGCCTAATTAATTCATTACTTCTGCCATTGTGGTTTCTATTTCTCCTAATAATTGATGGATTTCAGAGTCACCCATACATTCTTAAAATAAAACAATATTTTACCTGGTTTTTAAAGATTTTTAATTTGATCCTCTTCTTCAACTTTAAATTTTTAGTATGTAAAATCCTACACAATCATATTTATTGCATTAGGTATGTACTCTTTAAGTTCATTTTTATTCTAACTTAAAAATAATTTCTACCATCATTTGATTTACTATGTATTGGAAAGGTTCTGGCTGTTGTTTTAATATTTTAATGTTATATCTTATTATTTCTTTAACTTATTAAACCGATAAATCTTTGTTTGATAGAATTTTTTCTTTAATTTTTTATTTTACAGAAGCTTGTAGCATATATAATTATTAAAAGAACCCTCTTTCCATCAAAACTAGCATGCTTTCTTCAAATATCTCTTTGGTAACTCCCAATCTTTACAATAGTTCTGCTTATGATTTCTCTAGCAACTCTTCAATGTCTTCATTGTATTTCAATATTTATTATTTATATAAATTAAGTTGGGAATTTGATTTATAAGTCCTTCTCTATTTTCTATTTACTAGTGTTATTCGAATATATTCATCTCCTGCAACATCTATTGTATATTAAAGTATATCCACAATTGTTTAAGGTTCTAAGCAATTAGTATTCGGAATATAATTCACTTGTATCAAATTAGAGATACTTTCAAATGCATTCATTGCAGCTGTGAACCTTGTTTACATTGTGTCCTTTTCTAAATCAATAAACATAGTCTTTTTATTATTTTTATTTTGATTGTCATACCTTGTATTTGATGTATTTAGTGGGCCTTAACATTCTTAATCTTTCTTAATGTATGGATTTTATTAATTTCGATAGTATACAAATCCAGCACTAATTAAATAGGACTGCTGCATTACCTTAAAAAAATGCCTGAAGTTGCCAAACCCAAAAACAGGATTTTATGCTGCTTATAAAAGGAGAAAAAAGCACCCATAAATAGACTTTAATTGTTATTTTATTATTGGATAGATTTAATAATTAAATAATATTAAGTTGATAAATGGGGCTTTGGGCTTGGACACTTTATTAAATGTTAACACCAAAATTTTGACATTCGTAAAGATGGAAGGTAATTATCAATTGATTAGGATTTTAGAAAACGTAAATCAGTATGCATAGAACATAGATCTAGTCATTATGCTGGAAGATAGAATGGAACAATATAATGTTTTGGTCAAGATTAATTCGCAAATAAATATTATGAAGATTTTGATGTTGCACTTAAAAATTTAAAGAAGTTAATAGATTGAAATCAAAGAAGATGGATAGAATATAATGACTACTTCAATCCATGGCTACTCTTGGAGATAGAATACCTTCTGTTTGGCATGGTTGAATGGCTCATTTATATGATGAGGCTCAAACTAGAACAGGCCATTCATACTTTGTGTTGCAATTGTATAAATAACCAGGTAAAGACAATTAATCTCATACTCCAAACCACTTCATTCTTTAAGGAGCTCTGTAGAGTTTGAATCGATTCGATTTTATGAACCATATTATAATAATTGCACCTATTAGAAAGTATTACAGTAATGGAATGATAGATCTCAAAAAATTAATTGTTGAAAAGTAAGCATATTCAGAAGTTTTATTGTCTAGCAGTAAATAATTCATTCCAAAATCTTAATGGTATTTATGAAAGCGTTTAAGAGGCAGACTTATTGGAAATAGTATTATTTTAAAGAGAATAAAAGATTTTTGGAAAAATAGATTAAGAAGACTTTGAAGAGGGTGAGTTGGATGCAAAAGGACGGAATAAATCAATTAAAATAATAAAGGGTTCCAAAAAGAAAAAAAGTTTCAAAATTTATTTAAATTAGATGTTGATTAATATTGTCTTCTTTATTTATTTACTATTTTTTAATAATTCAATTTCATTGTTTTAATTTGTATATTAACACTAATTCTTAGCCCGCCAATTATTTTTTTGAAAACATAAATATTATCATGAAAAATAACAGAAGAGGCTTATTCATAGTTCTTGAGGGATTAGATAAATGTGGCAAATCTACACAAACTGAATTATTAAGTGAAGCTCTTGATGCAAAAAAAATGTAATTTCCAGACAGAAGTACTTCGATGGGTTTAATCATATCCGATTATTTGAAAGGAAAAAGAGATATTAATGATCAAGTGATTCATCTATTATTTTCAGCAAATAGATGGGAAGCACAGTATTAATTATAAAAGAATTTAGAAATACAATAATAGAAACATTGAATAAAGGAATCAATATTGTTTGTGATAGATATGCGTATTCTGGAGTAGCATTTTCATCTGCAAAAGGACTTCCCATTCAATGGTGTAAATAATGTGATTCAGGTTTACCAAAACCAGATCTTGTAATATACTTAAGAGCTCCAATTAAATAATTAAAGGATAGGGGAGACTTTGGTGCAGAACGATATGAAAAATAAGAATTTTAGTAATAGGTTTAAGAGGTTTTTGATAAAATGGCTCAGGAAGAATAATTTAATATTATTAGTGCTATATAAACTAAAGAAGAAATATTTTCTCAAATAATGGAACTTATTAATGATTACCCTTAGAATGCTCAAATTAATACAATTGAATAACTTTGGAGTTGAATTGAGTAACTTTACTTCATTCATTTCATATATTTTTAATATATATCAAATTTATTTACTTTGCTTAAATTGGTTAGTTTATTATCAAAATTCAATTAATACATAATTTTGAAAAAGTACTTAAGATTGACATTCTGAAAGTCAATTCTTACTTATTTTTGCCAAATATGATTTTTTCAACCATTTATTGTTTCATTTTAATTAATTTATTCTTGTAAAATAAATTACAAAAATCAAACTTAATGAGAAAAGAATTGCAAATTTTATTTAAACAACTAGAAATAAAAAAATTGACCACAGAGGGATTCGAACCCTCGCCCTTTCGGACTGCAGCCTGAATGCAGCGCCTTAGACCACTCGGCCATATGATCGTATATTAAGTACTTATTCAAATAGATGATTATAAATTATATCACTTTCTAATTCTAATTTTCTGCATTATCTTGTCGGATTCTGATGGATCCCATTTTCTTAATATTAATTTCATTATATGCAACGGTAACCAACTGATTGTTACTAAAATAAGGACATTAATTATGAATTTTTAATCGATATCTGCTAAATTTATATAACTCTATAGGAATATAATTGATCCTGCATAGACTATTAAAGTGAACATCTCAGCAATAAACATTACAAATCTAAAGTTATTCACTTCTGTAAACACATTTAATAATTCAGCTACTATTAAACTACTAAATGTTACTGTAACTAAATCAAGAAATGTGTTTTAAAATACAGCAAAACTATATACCATTATAACAGCAGCTAGATAATTTAGTTAACTATTACCTTGATAAACAGATTTAAACAACCACAGCAAAAAGGTTTTCACTGTCAACTCTCTACCTTTTAGCAGGGCTTTATATAATTCTGTGTATTCGAGAGCTTTTTCCTTCGTTACATCTTAATCAAAAATTAAACAAAAAACTGGAAACATTGTGTAGACTGTGGCATATCCTAACATCAACCAACCATTATAGATAGGAATAGCCACAAAATAAAAAACAATAGAGAATATGGTTTATATGGATGCAATTACTAGCCCCCTATGCATGACAAACTGAGCCATGACAGAAGTTCTCTTATAGGCCAACCTGCCATGCCATAAAAGTAACACAGCTAAGTGCTTAAACTTTAAAATAGAAAAATCACTGGCTAATGCTGCTTACTTTCCTTCTTTGCCAACTATTCCAACACCTACATCGGCAGCTTAGATCATAGCAACATCGTTTCCTCCATCTCCAATAGATAGAACTGTCTTTTAAGTATGCTCTTTTATCAATTCTGTGACTTATGCTTTTTAGGTTGGTGAGCATCTACAACATACAACTGCAGGAGCATTACAAGCAACATGAAAAAATGCTGTGTGCTGGAACTCAAGAGCAACCTTTAAGGATTATCCATCTATAACTAGAACGCTATTATTTTTAAGAGCAAATTAATTAAGCTCATTTTGTAAGATTAAAGAATCTTCTATATCCTTAATTACAAACATTTCTTAAGTAGGACTTTTCAATCCAGTACTAATTGCTATGCATTAAGCTGTTTCGACTTTATCTCCAGTTAACATCCAGATTTATATTCCTGCATTTTTTAAAGATTCCAAAGTTGCATAAATGTCTTCCTACAGCATATCTTCAACTCCTGTTAATCCCAGTAATTCCATATCATTTTCGTAAAAGTCTAAAACCTTTGAACAACGAGCCTCTCTATCTTCCATCTAATTCTTTGCTTTCTCATATTCTGCGGTAAAATTTTTCAGATCATCTTCTGTTAAGTACTTTTAAGTTATCACCAAAGTTCTTAATCCTTCTCTACTTAAACTTTCGCATTCATCCATCAAAAATCCTCTTTAAACTTCTGGAACCTTTTATTTCATTACTGAATCTGCTCCTTTTAAATAAAAGATAGCACCTTTTTATCCTTACATTTGCAATATTATACCCATTCTTTTCCTTTCAGATGTGAATGGAAACTCATATAATATTTTATATGATTCTGGTGTTCCTCCTGCATTTTGAATATTTATTTCTGTGAATTATCTATTTACTAATTTAAAACCAACATCTTCTGCAAAGTTGACTAATGCAATTTCATCTGGGCTGCTTGCCTAAAATGTCCTTTATCCATCTTCTTCTACAGGAGTAACGTTATGACATAATGACAAAGCAGAAATTAGGTCTCTTACAATTTAATCTTTATTTCTTTTAAAAGGCTTTATTTTCTTACCCCCTTACTCTTGATACTTTTTTAAAATATCTTCCATAGGATATTTACTATTAGTGCAGTGCTTCTTTATCATTTTCTTTAATAAGCCTAAGGTTTCAACTGAAAAGGACATCCTCTCTAACGATAGCTTTTTAAAAATCATTGTATTTTAAGTCAATGTACCAGTTTTATCAGTTAACACATAAGAAATTCTACCTAATTCTTCAGGTATTGTACTATTTCTGGCAATTGATCCTTCAATATCCTTATCATTAGAAATGCAATAGGAAAAATACAATTTGGAAAAGTCTAGATTAACTCTTAAAGATATTGGAATGATTGAACTTAATAATAAGACATGTCTAAATAATTAAAGTAACCATTCATTTTAAAATCCACTGCTTAATACAATAGTAAATGCGGTACAAACTAACAATACACATAACAATTTAGCTAATTAATTTAATTCATCATCTAATCTTCCCATCTTCGTTCTTGGTTCTCTTGAATTTAGCGCAGATCTACATTCTTTTCCTGTGTAAACCACTACAGCCTATATCTTCCCAGAGGCCAAAAATGTGTTACACCATAGAGTGTTTTCTAATGATAATGCTTCTCTCTAGCCTTCTCCACCACCAACCTCTAACTTAAACAAACCTTTAAAATCGTATATATCTAATTTAGGGGGTTCACAAGTAATTGATGCATTGAGAGTTGTTAGATTTTTGTTCTAGCCATAATTTTATGTATGCCTAATAGCCTTTCTTAATTTCCAGTCAGTTTCTCCATCCAATTAATCTGTCCTAATGAAAACTGTTCCTGTTACATCATTTGTGTGGAGCAATATTAAGTCGGCAGGTATTCTTTAATTTGCATGAACTTCTATAATATCTCCTACTTTTAATTGCCAACTTTAAAGTTATAATGTTTTATCTTTTCCAATTTAAGTATATTCTTGCGAATTAGCCTCTTTATCTCTTTTATACCTTTAAAAGTCATCATAAGCTTCTTTAAGCAATGTTAGGATCAATACGAATGCTAATGGAGCAACATAACTAAATAAAAATCCCACTTTAAGTAAGGGTACAAATTATGATAGTGTGATTAACAAAAATATTAGATTGAAAAAGTATTTAAATTGTTGATAGAGCACCATAGGAACGAATGACAAAATATTGTACTTTTAGTTTTTTACTATATTTGGCAAATTATTTTAAGGATAGACCTTTCCATCCAAATAAATAATTCTTTATTCAACTTCTTTATCTGGTGGTTTAAGCAGATCATTAAATTAATTCTTAATTTTTTCGAAAAACCCTTATGTTTGGATTTAGGGCTCCTATGGTTCGATTAATTACTGCTTAAGGGGTTCCTACCCATTATTATCAAATCGCCAACCTTGAACAGCTTTATGATTGGTTCCAGTTAATTCAAACTCCATTAGGAAATTGTTATTTATTTTATATTAATCAAAAATAGGTTTTTCGATGTTTAACACTTCTTCAGGTTAAAGAATTAGATATGTTAAGGAAGCATCGGGAGCAAAGTCAACCACCTAAAGTTTTAAATATAAATCTAAAGAATGCGATTTATCAGCAAATGATAGCACATCATCAGCTCACCTTAAACCTTTAATTTAAGTGTACGATTTAATCAATATAAATCAGCAAATAATCTTATAATTAGCCCTTTGCAACAGCTTTACCTTTGCGAAAGTTGGCAAGTCCTTAAAAGTAAGTCCCGATGGATGGGAGAATTGTTGAGAGAACTTACTCATCTGTTAGAACAAGCAATTATGTAAAGAGGTCGTCTGTTGCTCCTGAAAAAAGAGTAGAAAATAAAAGTGTTATTTATGAAAAAAGATCAATAAAAATGCCGATTTGTCCTCCATCATCTACAAATGTAATTGAAGAGAAGCTTGAAGATGATTAAATCTAAGGCCAAGGCAGTGAAATGTAAAGTCAAAAAAGAAGGAAGAGTATCACATGTTTTGAGTTGACAGCTTACACTAATTAATAACAAGACAATCAGGAAATAATCGAGATGATGTCTAAATATTCAGAAAAAGAATTGGTAAGGTTAAATTTAAATTTAGAAACAAGTTTAAAATATAAGAGTGATAATAAATGGCCAATTTGATGAAAGAGAAATTCATGTAGACATTAGTTCAATACCCTTTGAATGGAGATTAGAGTAAATTGCATAATCATTAAATGAGATCTATAAATCATAATTTAATTAAAGTCTTCGCAATCCTGCTATTTCAGTACTTATAGGAAAGATTTAGACCAAGAAGTTAAGTAAGGATATGAAAAAATATGAACTTGTTTTAATGTCTTTAAAAGGACAACTCAAAGAATCTTTGATAGTATTAGAAGATAGTTCTTGATTATATATAGTGATGCTGTTATTTTATATTTCAAACTTTTAATTAAAGTGTCTTCTATTCACATTTATTCAATAGATCTAATAATAGAAGGCAAATCTATTTCCCTATTCATCCTTAAGATTTAGCCATTCTAATTGTCAATTAGTTGAATCCAATGTGGACATAACTTTATTAATTAATCAATATAAGTTTTTAATTAATTTTCATCTAGAATAAACTATTTTAAACTATTTAAACTGTATTTCAAAACATTTGTTAAGAACATATTTGAAACATCTCTTATAAGAAAATATTGATGAATTAATGAAGATATAGCTATTAATTACTTTTTTGGCGCTGAAAGATCAGTTTAAACAATTTCTAGTTTCTTTTTTTATTTCAATTTTTCTATTAAATTTTAACTGACTTTAGAATATGTTGGTTCTTTTGATACTTGACTTTGAATTTCATGTTTTTAAGTTTATTATTGGATTTATTTGGTTAATGCATTGGTCTCTTAAGGTTTCGTTTGTAGATTTTATTAAAATGGATTTTAGGGTAAGGCTGCTAAGCCAATTTGTTCCCCATTTTTTTAGATGTAATCAAACATTAATTATTTAAAGTAATGTAAACGTTCCCCCAACTAGACATGAGATTTTAAATTGGCTTTTATGATTAAATCACTTCTGTCTAATCTTATTAATTTTTCATTCAAAGACCAATTAATATCATAAGCATTTGGAAAGATTTCCAATATTTATTGAATAATTTATTAAGTGACTTTAATTTTAGAATTTTGGCTCAATAATTCGTAAATTGTATTTAAGAATGGCGGTTTTTATTAGCTTTGGAGAAATAAAAGCATTTCATCAATTTCTTTGAAAAAGTGGCACAAACTGGAATATTTACTATGCATGAGCATTTTGTCAATAGAAGTAATCAAATGAAGATTAGAGAATCTTTCCCTTAAGGATCCTTTAGCCAAAATTGAGGACACGCTCTCTATTTTTTAAGGAGTCTTTTCTTTCTTTTCACTTGGTTACTTCTATTGCAGACTTTCAAAGTAGTCAATGCCGTTATAAGTTGAAGAATCCTCATTTAATTATTATACTATTTCTAATGAATTTAATGTACTCTAAATTTTTACTCTTCTTTTTGGCTCATACGTGTCCTCTGGTTCTACGTAGTTATTGTTTAATTTTGCCATTTTAAGTACTATAATGTAAATAAAATTTACCTTGTTAAGGCCTTTTCGTTTCTTTTTAGTAATTAGTTTCCATCTAAAATAATTGTTAAAATTTATTCAATTAAAATATAATGTTTAAGTATTTTAACAAAGAAAAGGAAAAGAAGAAATCATTGGTTATACAAAAAATAATGTCCGTTGAGGAATTCTTTTTGAGAGGGGAGTATGAAATTTCAAGTGATGTTTGGAAAATGAATTCTACTTAATTGGAAGAAACAATAAATAAGTAAGAGAAATTCATAAAACATCTATAAACGTTATATTAATAAGTATAACTTCTACGGTATCTTAGTAATTAGAGTTTATAGAAGGTGATAAAATAAAATAGGAGGATAACCTTAGGAAATTAAAAAATCATTTAGAGGAACTTGAAATTAAGAATGGTATAGTAGATTATATAATTAGAAAGCAATATTTAATAGAAAGAATTGATAGAGTAGCAGTATAAAGAAATTTATTTAAAGTTTTAACCTAAAGAACATAAGGATATGTTAATTTAAACTGAAGGAAATAATTAACAAGAAGAAGAATTAAACAGACTGAGAAATTAATGTGAAAAGATGTGTGAAGAAATTCAAAGATTGCAGGAGGAGAATGACGACCTATCAGTCGCATTGGAAGCTGAAAAGAAGCATAAGAGTTCGCTTTAAAACCAAAATAATTAAAAACTATAATAGTTGGAATTACATATTTAGTAATTATAACTTGAACACAACAAAGAGCTTGAAGCCTTGCAAATTAGATTAACTAATAATTTTTCAGTTGATGTCAATTCAAAAACTAAAGAATTAGAAAGTAAAGTTTTGTAAGAGAAAATTAAATGTGATTAAAAATTTAAAGATTGTTAAAGGCTTGAAGATGAGATTAGAGAATTAAAATAGCATTTAGAACAACAGACAACAAAATATGAATAGAGAGAAGGCAAATTATAACTATTAGAATAAAAGAGGACAAGAGATAAAAATACAATATAAAAATTATAATGCGACTTGTAATCAAACAAATAACATTTGTCTGAATAAAATATTAAATTAATAAATGAAATTAGCAAAGCTAATAATGAGCTATACGAGTTAAAATAAAAATTAGAAAAATTAGAACAATAGCAGAATTAAAAAGAAAAAGTTGTTGACTAATTCGAAGTTTAAGAAAAATAACTCAAAATTTAGTAATTAGAATTAATTATTTATGATCAATAAAACACGATAAACATTTTAGAAAAGTATATATATTTGATTTATTTAGAAAAATTGATTAATTGGAATCATCATCAATTATTAAGATATCAGAATTGGAGAAGATTATAGAATAATTGAATATAAAAAGAGAAAATGCTAGAAAAGAAATATCAGAATTATCTCTTAAATTGTAGAGCATGCATTAGGATCTTAACACAAGCACATCCAGCAAGCACCAAGCTAAATCCTCCAATATTGGACACAATAAGTAAAAATTTCTATTGTTTCCAACACTCAAACAAATGCTAAGTGATGTCAGAAAAAAAGAAGATAGCAGCTATAAATTATATATGCAAGCTATTGTTACAGAATTCAAAAATCAAAAAGAAATAATTGCTTTGGAAACAGCTTTGAATGATGTTTCAAGAATGACTCAAGACATACTTGATCTTCTTGACGAAATGGGATTAATTTGAATAAGAAGTTAATTGTAATTTTTGATATTAATTATATTTACCTTATTTATTCAATATTATTGGATTCTATAAATAATGCATTATTCATTTAATTAAACTCATCAGATTCTTTACCTTTTCGATTTCAGTAAACAATTCATTAAATTATGCTAATGTTAATTCAAAATGAGTGGTTTCTTCTATCATGTTTTTATCAATTGTTTTGATCTTAAGCTATAGGAAGCAATCACTATAATTTTCTTTAGAACTATTTGCAGTAGCAACTGAAATATGATGAATTTTAAACTTGAAAATCTCCATTCTACATCCAACATCTTTTTATTTGCTATGAATTCCTATACGCTCATAAATGTTGTAATTAATTATAATTAATATTATGTAAGTGTTAAGATTTGATTAGTTAGTTAACCCAAGTCCATAGTTAGAAGAGTTATGTAAATGTATGATTTGTTTGGAAATATTTATTGATCCAATGTGTTGTGAAAGTTGTGAAAATCATTTTTGTTAAACCTGCTTAACAACTTAGAGTTAGAATTAATCTGCGCGAAGTTGTCCGGTTTGTAATAAACTAAAAGAAAAATAAGGACAGCGTATCTTAAAAAATATGCTTAATGATCTTATAAATAAAATGGATGCCTATAAATTTTGAAATATTCCTAATACTTTTCTCATATTAAATCATACTATTTCAAATAAGTTAAATGCGAATATGATGGATGCAACATAGACATTCTCTTAAAAGAAAGGAATCAACATTATAATATATGTCCTTTTAAACTTTTATAATGTAGATGGTGTTCAAAAGTGATATTGAGAAAAAAACTCGAACAACATGAATTAAACGAATGTTTATAAAGAAAGGTTTAATGTGGCGAATGCTTATCAGAAGTTTCTCATGATACAAAATCAGAAAGATAAATGCCCAGAAAATATTGTAACATAAATATTAATTATCTATTTTAGCATAAATGTTAATTATGCTTATAACATATAAAATTAAAAGATTTAAAATTTGACGATAACAATGAATGTCCTGAAGTTATCATTAAGTGTTCAGGATGTTAAGAGCAACTAAAGAGAACTAAAATAATATAACACAGACAATCTTGTAATCTGTGAAGAACTTTCACAATAAGTTAGCTAACTATCTAGGTTGTAATAATAAATTAAATTTTCCAAATATTTTAAAAAATGATAAGTTTGCCTTATTAAATTTAAATGACAATAATTAAGAAGATAGACTGATTGCTATTAAAAATTCAAAAATAGAATTATTGAAATTGAATTTCTTCATATTTCAGATTTGAATGTCTATGTAGGAATCACAACAAGATAAAATATAATCAACCCAATAGATTATTCAAAACTTAATCATTAATCTTATTTATTTTGTGCTAATGGCTTAGTGTATGGAAAGAAGAAAATGGAAAAAAACAAAATTTTGGTTTCGTTATAGGCCAAAAATTAGAACTGCTTTACAATGACCAATTTGTAAGTATTAAAAATTGCACTACTTAGTAATATCTTAAGTATAATATATCTTTGGATTACTTTAATAAAAATGACACTGATATCTATCCAGTTGTCTGCTTAAGGAATACTTAAGATAAAGTTCGTATTTTAAATTGAAATTTATAATATTTATTTAGATAATAACATTAAACTCATAATTATTAATCTTCTTCATCGTCTTCCTAAAACTCCATTTAATTATATTTGTTGACATTTAGATTTTGACTTTTTTCTTCAGCAGTTAGTACCCTTTTCACTACTACATACCCTATTAAAATGACAAAAACAAAAACTGCACTTATTATTATATATAAAAGGATATCATTCAAATTGAAGGATTTTGGACATTAAGTTTCTATTGGTCCTAAATCTAAACTTATTGAATTATATAAATATATACCCTCCTAAACATTAAGTCAACTTGATGTATCCTTGAGTCTTGAAAAAGGTTTTTCCTGGTTCACAATAATCAGAAATATTTGCAATGGGTAGACATTCTCCTCCTTCTAATTAACTAACATAACCTTAGGCACATATCCAATCTTCCCTTTTACATGGACAAGGTTCAATTATTTTTTTGGTAATCATCTATTTAGGATTAAAACACTCCGAGTTTTCTTTTTTCCTAAAGTATTTAGTTTAAGATCCATCAATACATTTGGAGTTCCAAATATCATAATCTAAATTAGATTTACACTCTTTTGAAAAAATATCGCTAAAATCCAATTTTAAAATTATCCCTTCTCCTTTATCGGTTTTGCCATAAATTAGAAAATATCTAACAGTTCCAGATGCTTCAGTAACTAAATTTTAGGCCATGAAAAGATCATCGTAAATGATTTTAGTTTTCCATGTTTTTCCATAATCAAGAGAATATATTATTTCATTAGTGGGTTCGTAGTCTTTGGCCATAACAATGACGCCTCCAAAATCAGCTATTTCAAAAACATGAGATCCTTTTCTGACTTCAATCCAATTCTATCCTCCATCAGCTGACATATATGTATTTTATTCTTATGTGATAAATACTCCAACATTTCCAACACCTAAAACAATACCTGGTGCTTAATCTACAGTGTAAATAGTTTATCTATAAGATTCCGTTCTTCCAACAAAGTGCAAAGAGCATTCTCCTCCACATTCTACAACATTCTCTTCTGAATCATATTTTGGAGCCTTTATTGATTCCCATTTCTTTCCTCCATTAAAACTGATAACAGTTGATTTATCTTTCTAATCTCTTTAGTCATATGTATTTGCAACATAAGTAGATGTTAGACCTAAAAGCTTTTCAAAATCACAGTTTCCATCTTATGTTGATCTCACATTATTTGTTAAAACAATTTAAAAATCTTCGCCTATTTAATTACTGATATACACATTTGTTATTGATTGCTCTTACTAATAATGAGATACTGATAAGTATATTCTACCATTTTCAGTATCAAGAACAGTATAAGAATACTCCTTTAAAATTTATAATGGCAACTCCACCAATTTCTCTGAAAATTCTTCAAGTTTAGAATGACCGTAATGCAATTCATACCCTCCATTACTGGAAGAAGTTAAAACAAAAAGATATTTAGTGGTTTAATAGTAGCCTTAAGCACCAATCATTAAGGTATGATAATTGGCAAAATTATCAGAGTAGATCAATTATGTTTGATTTTCATAAGAAAATAATACAATCGACCTTTCATCTGGAACTGTAATGTCCTCTATGATTTTATCCCATGATGCTTCTCTACAATTCTTAAATGATGGCAACCAAGTCTTTGCTCCATCTTCAGAATAAAACAATTAATTGTTATATGGTTCTCTACAATCCATGTCGAAATGATCACATTATTATTTTTTAAATGCTAGCATCCATTTCCAACTCATTTTATTTAATCTAAATCCATAAAAGCCATTAGTGTCAATTTCCTCGAAATTTTCACCACAATCATTTGTTCTATAGCTTTTTTAACCATTTTGTCCAAATAAAAATATGACACGTGAATCTGCAGGTGAAATCTAAATATCTTCAAATAAACCCTCAATTTAATTCCAAACAGTTCCATTACTCTGATATATCTAGTGGGCTTCAGTAATAAAAAATATTGTCTTCTCTTCTTCCAAACCCTGAAATTAAGGTATGGTTTCATCTTCTCTGGTGTAAATAATTGAAGCTCCACACCAAACTATTTATGTAATAGGCCTTTCTACAATAATTGCACAAGTGAGGACAAGTAGAAAAGGTAAGAAACGAATTTCCAACATAATCGTGTTTAATTTTAATAATTATAATTCAACAACATTGTGAACTTTTTTTATTTGTATTCCCAATTACCTAAGTCGATGTAATTTAGCCTATTTTCATATTTTAGCCGGATTCAGCTTTTATAGAATTTTAGCTTTTTTCTAGGACATTTTTTGCAATTGTCAAAAATGATTATTCAATATTGGTTGATAATTTTGCTGATGTTTCTATAAATTGCAATTTTAGTTGTTTCGCTTAAAATTTATTCGCTAAGTTACCTAATGCTTCCCCTTCTTCGTATGATACAGCCCTCTTATCATCCATATCGCATTTGTTTCCTACCAACATTCTTATCACATCTTCTTGAGCATACCTATGTAAATTTAATTAGTATACTTATCAATTTCGGACATCCACATTTTTACAGAGTCGAATGATTCTCTGTCAGTTATATCATAAACAATGATAATCCCATGTGCTCCACTATTTTCAAAATATTCATTACCGATAATAGCTACATGTGATTGTTCTGAATCTGTCTTGACCTGCTGTATCCCACTAACAAAATGAAATATAATTTTACAATCTACAACTTTATATTTTTATTCTCTAAGAATATCGATTTGATTTTCTACTTGTTTAAATAATAAATTACAAAATCCACTCCAATTGTGTTATAAAAATTATTTGTAAAATTATTATCGACATATCTCATCAACATACAGGATTTTCCAACTCCACTAGTACCAATAAGTAACAATTTAAATAAGTGATCACTAATCCTAATCAATAATTATACTATTCAGTGCTTTCTTTATTCTGCATTTCTTTAGGTTTATTCAGAAAATTTAATTTTAAAAAAATAATACAATTATAATTAATAATATTCCTTATTTTAATATTTATGTTGTTTTAATACTGTTCTTTCACCATTTTATCATGTCTCTCTTCAAATAGTTGAATAATCCAAAAGGAATTAATTATTTAAAATTCTAATTTAAATGAAAATTGGTACTTCATAGTTATCTTCTTTGATTCTGAAAATCTCTTCGATTACTGTTAATAGCATAAAGAAGTCCCCTAGAATCTCAGGTTATTTTTGTAGTTCTTTCGATTGTAACATAAAGAAGATAGTTGATTTTACGTAAAATCTAAATATTTTATTGTAATCTCTACCCTAAATACGAAACAAACAAGGATGAATGCAATTAATTAAATTGGTTCAAAAATCCAATGATGCCCATCAACAAGCAATTTGGTTCATATTAAAATTGAGTATCCTTTGCTTTCTTTATTAGGCAATTCAATTTTTTATCAAAATCCATCAAAGGCAATTGGTGCAAAATCACTAGAGCTAAAATTAATGGAGTATGCCTATTATAATTTAATAAATGAATAATACTCAGGCATTTCGCATAAGGCATATATTTTTCTGAGAGGATCAGATAGCCCAACATAATTGAAAAGCTTTGTGAGATCAAACAACAAGTTATTTTCCATTTATGTTTTAATATCAGATTCCATAGTAGAATCATACTATCGATTGATGAAATCATTTATTATAGTATTATTTAGAGTCTCTAAACATAAGAATAATTTAGTTGATCCAACCTTAGCCTTCATTGATAACACCAAACAAATTAACTTCCTTAAATTTATGTATTATCCAATCTATTAGAGAGGATAAATGATTTTAGAAATGAGAGGTCTAAACTGCTTCGTCAATTATTTATAAACTTTATCATAGTTTTCGTCATAATTTGTAAATAACCTCACTTATTTAATGAGAGTATCAATAATATTCCTATTTTCTTAGTTTAGCTCAAGCTTTAATATTTTAACAATATCTTTCACTGTCTTTGATAGGTGTTAACTAAGTAACAAATCAATTCCATTTAATCCACTAACGCCGATACACTTCAATATTAATCCTATAGTTTTTAGATTTAACACATCTTTTCCATTACTATCATAAAATCCTAGTGTTGATTCAACAAATACTATATCTCTTGGGTTTGTTATCAAAATTATTTAGTTCAATAGTCTTCCAATAAAATTGATAGCCCCATACTGTTTGCTTTTTTCATCTGGCATAGGAATATCTTCGTCGTAACTTAATTCTTCGTACTCTTTATTCCCAGTAATCAAACCTTTAAGTTCCATTGAAGTGTAGCATTCTATCAACCTATTAAATTCCTCTGTGAACATCTTTAGTCCTTATGCATTAACAAAATCCTATATTTGTTCCATAGCTAATTTGAACCCATTGATTTCCTCTCCTAATTTAGATAGTTTGGTTTAAAAATCAGAAACATCTTTTTTTGGAAATATCAATTAAGAATCAAGGATTTTATGAATTAATGCCATCAATTCTTTTCTAATACCTTAATCAAGCATTTCTCTAGGATTCACTTCTATCGATCCTAATAAATAGGGATCAACTGTCAAAATTGATTCTGTAAAGACAGAAATTGAATTTGTCAACTTTGCTATTTGAGTTCTATCTTCATATTAAGCGTAATCCTTCAACTCTATTTTATTAATTCTGGAAGGAAGTGGTTTCAATACAGATGTAATTAATGTAATAATATCTTGGAGTACTTCGAAAACTTAAATAGGAATAATTTGAAGAACTTCTTTAACAAATTTAACTAGTTCTCCAGAATAGTATTTTGTGACACTATTTAAATCTGGACTTCCAGCTTATATGATACGAATAGTAGGGGTATTTAAAATTGAAGATAGTTTTTAGAAAGTAGTTTTAAGACTGAGAGCAGAATGAGGATTGCTCTAAACTTTAGCTTACATGAGATCTTTGTATCCTTTTAAGCATTGCCATGAGTAACTGAAATCTGCAATATAAGAAATATGTGAGGGGAGAGTGCTCTTGATATGAACAATTTTGACCATATGTGTTAAATCTTTTCTGGTTTCATTTAAATAATGTTTAACTTATATGGATGTTGAGATTTGAGGATATTATTCTATATCTTCTAATGCTTAAATTAATCTTTGAATTTTCCTTCCTGCATGAGTACTATCACTGTAATTTAAAGATTATATTTAGTTACCCATCTCAATAAACCATTACGTATATGATTCATCTGCTTTAACCTTCCCCAAAGCCTTTCCACTAAAATAATCAGATAATTCTTGCATTCTCTCAACACATTTAACTTTATCCTCATCCCAATACTATTATTTATTATCTATGATTGCTTTAATTGCTTTCAATAAACGATTTTCAAATTTCGAACTCTACAAAAGTAACTGTAAAACTTCTTATTTATCAATTTTATTCAACAAATCTCTTGCTTTTGAAATTGTTGTATTAGAATGCAGTAAAATCCATCTAATGGCTATATTACTTTCTCTAACACAGTTCATTAGAGATGATATTTTATCGAGAACAAATTCTTAGGTCATTTATCCTTCATAAAGATACTCTTGAACTTTATTAACTTATTCTGTTAGTTTAGTTTGATAGAACGCTCCTAATTCTTGAATATATTCAAAATTGATTGTGTTTTTTATTGCTTCTCTGGCTGCTGGATATGGATTCCATTATTCAGATAAATCGACAAAATAACCCAAATAAAATGATATCACCCATTAATCATAAAAATGTTTGTCAACAATTTCTCTCATTTTCGACTAAATTCTTAGAATTTTTTGATACCTTTTTATTATTCAATATGGTTGGTGTGAAAAACAGCAATACATACAACATTGACCCCTAGACTGATAAAGCGATTGATCTATGGTCAGCTGATGGATAAATGCTAGTAAATTTATAGATATCTTCATCTTTAATAGAATTGATCACTTCTGTTATGAGTTTCTCAGGTAATTAAAATCTAGCCATATATTCTTCAGGGTAAAAGGCAGGACGAGTGCCATTTTTTGAATACCCAGTTTCAGCACACAGCTTAGTAACTTCATTAATGAACTCTATTGCCGTTTAACCACCCTTATATCTATAATAGGAGATGATTAGTTTTTCTCTTGCCTTTCCTGGTATTAAACTGTCCATCAATAAGAGCATGCATCCATATAAATAAAACGATTCCGCAAATAACCTTTTCCCTTCAGAATCTTACAATACAGTCTCAACAGAATATTGCATAAAAACTGCTTCCTCTAATTCTTGTATAAATGCCATCAAATCTGAATAATACAAATAGATGCTTTCAAATAATCTATAAAATCTTTCTACTAATGGTAAATACGATTTCTTAAAATTTTCATCCAATTCATTAATTTCCTACTTTATATCAATTCATACTTAGTTTCTTTAAATCTCATCTTCAAGAACATCAATATTTTTTTAAGTATTCAAAGTCAAATAAGATTTTCTCATATTTTTTGTATTCTTATGCTTTGCTAGTAATAATCTTGGGTATGTTTTCAGAGAGCCTCTAAACTTCAGCTAGGATGGCACTTCCTCTTGCAACCAAAATCAAAAGACTTTGTCCGCAAGCATTTTCAGGAGATAAGAAATCCATTTATAAATAATTATAGTTTTCTGTAATATATGGATTTAATTAAATTCATAAGTAATAATCTATAAAATTTCTAAGTGATTAAACCATATAGAGGCTGTTAAAATATACTTATTTTCATAATTGATATTGTTCTAAAATTCAATATGTGAGCATATTAATTATTCTACGTTGATTATAATTATATTAATTTGTTCAATAATAACAAAACGAAGAACCATTCGTAAATAAATAATGTAATATAAAATAAACAAATTGAGTATTCTCAAAGCAAATCAAGTTAGTTCTTTTATTTTGGATTCATAAAATACTGCTAATTCTTACATATTTAAACTAGCCATATATTTAATTCTTAGGTCGTTGCAATCGCTCTAATATTTATACATTACTAAATTCAAGATAAGTGTAAAGACTACCAACATGTATTTAAATTCTGGTTCTTCACATAAATTACACTATGACTTTAGATATCTTTTATAACTTTAAAGATCTTAATAGACTTTTTTAATCTGCAATTGATATGGGCAAGATTTGAATGTTCTTTTCGTCATAACAAGTTTTTCTGCAAAAAAGGATGTTTTAAATGTGAGGTTAGAATTTTCATTTACTCCACATAATTAATATGATTTCTACCTAAATAATCAGAATATGCCCCTTATTAATATATATTCTTTTCGATGTTCTACTTTTAAAGTGCAAATTCAATAGGTTGAAGTTATTTATTTTAAATGGCTATTTGACAACCAAAAATGGACATTTAAAATTATTTAAACTACCAATATTTTACTAAAATTATTCTGAATTTGTGAAGAATAAATCTTTCAAAACTTTCTTTGAGTTTTTAGGAGGGAATAGTTACAGAATTATTGATCTAGATAAGGTTGCTGATAGTCTATTTACCTTAGAGGATATATATGAGAACTATTTTATCCAAAATTAGTTTGCATATAAGACATGTTATATTTTTGAAATGATTCTCAATTTGATTCTGTATTAGTAAAAAATGCTTCACGAATAAAGTTGATTGGTGCTCTGTATTTCTGCATCTTAAATAAAGAGTATACATTCTTACTCTAGTTTATCCATAATTAATTAAAGTATAAATATTAAGGATATGAGTAATTACATTAGACAAGAATCCTTTGTAGAAGAACGAAAATAAGTTACTCTCCCGTAAAGTGAATATGTACTATTAGTGTTGTTTAATTGAAGACGACAAAGTATATTAGATCAGAGAGACCATAAACATATTAATTTTGGCATAAAAAAGGAAAATAAAATTCATACTAAAGCAGAGTGTTAAGCACAAATTACTAATTGTAAACCCAATAGATTCCTGGATAATCTATATTACTTGGAGGTTGTGGTTAGACTTAATAATGTTGCACTCCTTGCGGTTAATCATCTTGTGGGCCATAATCATAAGCAGTAGTAAGATTGGGAGTAGTATCAAGAGAAGAAATTGAAGCACCTTGGAGAGATGAAGTGCTCTATTTATAATCGCTTATTGCAGAATTAGAAAAGAAGAAAGAGGTGTAAATAGTTAAAGAGGTGGATAATACAAGAGTAAATGTTAAATTTAAATTTAGGTTCATGAACTAGAAGATGAGAATGAGAGATTAAGAATTTTAATTTAGTAAACTCGAAGTGAGGTGATTACATAAAGAATTACAGAAGTCAATAATGAGGCGGAGGTGTGGAAGAGAAAGTTTTAAGAAATCAACCATGATTATAGTGAGACCCAGGAGAAGTTGATGAATGCTGAAATCGAACTAGAAGCCTTGAAAAAGCAAAAGGTATGACTATGAGATGTATTAGAGATTGTAACATCAAGTAGTACAGTAACGAGGTCAGTTGTGAAAACTTCAGGTTCAACTGTCAGATAGTCGGTGTCTGGTATTAAGCCTATTGTTTGATTTCATTAAAATCATTAATAAAAATATAAAATAAATTAGAATGTACACACCAGAGCCGTAGACAATGCACTACAAAATCAGGAGTAGAAGTCGCGATACTTCCAAACTTAAGTGATTTAAGCAATTTAAAGTAGATTGATGGCTAGATCAACTACCGATAGTAGTAGCAGTGGGAGTAGCAGCAGCTCTTCTTCTTCTAGTTCATCAAGTAGCAGTAGCTCATCAGGAAGTTCTTCCAGCAGTGGATGCCATTTCAATTATGAGATCGGAGACAAAATAGACAAATATGTGATAACGAAATATTTATGTTCGGGCACATTCGGAATGGTCTTGGAAGTGACTGACCAACAGGAAATACCATATGCTGTGAAAGTTATTAGATTAATATTCAGATCTTGAGCGAAACGGATCATACAGAAGTGGATGTCTTAAGAAAAATCTAGTTACTTGACCCCTTCGGTGAGGCGGGTATCGTCAAATTCTATGATTACTTCACTTGGTAGGACTATCATTGTATTTTACTTGAAAGGGTAGCATATTCAACAATTTAAACAGCTTGACATCAATCTCCATGATTACATCCAATCACATACACTCAACATTAAGGAAATCCAATCAATCTTTAAATAAGTTACTACCTCACTAATGTTTATGCATTCCCTTGGAATCACACACACCGATCTTAAGCCTGAAAACATAGTTTTCGCCAATCAACAAAAGTACCCAGATCAATTAAATGACTAAGAAATTTAGTTAAACTAATAGACATGGGAGGTGCCACTCAAGCCAATGAACATCACAGTACCGTCATCAATACTAGGTAATACAGAGCACCTGAAGTCATCATGCGATGCGACACCTGGGACACCTCAAGTGACATCTGGAGTCTAGCTTGCCTCATAGTAGAATTATACACTGGTATATACAAAAAACAAACCTCAATATAGGAAGAGTTTTTATTAAAGTAGGCAATAACGATTTAATGCATTTGGCTATTATACAATCTATCTTTGGACCCATTCCCTCGTACATGAAACAAAGTTCCAAATTTAAATCCAGATTCAATTCCTTACCTAAAGTCTAGTCTTAAAAATAATTGCATCAAATCATTGAAGATCAAGATCTCCTTGATCTACTTTATTTGATGTTTTCAATAGATCATCATCATAGAATAAATTGCAAATAAATTCTAGAACATAAATTCTTTTCAAAACTATTTTGATATTTTGATTTATTTAATTTGTTTAATTAACTTCACTTTATTCTAAAAATTCGGATGGTGCGTATTAATTTTAAATTAAAATATCATAATTTTGGTTTAAATCTTTCACATTTTTAATCAAACATGCTCATGCAACAGTAATTTAAATTAATATCGAAATTCATTTTTACTAAAATAGCACTATTATGTAGAGTATAGAATATCATCCAATTACTAAACTCATTTTAAATGGGGACACAAGCCCTATTAATGAAGATGAATAAAAATTTAACTCCCCTCTAAAAAGGTTCTCCAATCATAGCATAGCACTTGAAATTTCTAAAAACAAAACACAAAGAAGAAAAAGAAGCATTTAGATGTTTACCGACGAACTTATTTCATGGAATAATTATCTGCATCACAAATTTTAACACTCAGATCAAGTATCTCATGGAAATGGTATGATCATATGAAATCAATCATTAAGACTCTATGAATATTGATAATATAAACTGTTTATATTTAAATATATATAGTTAGCATAAAAAGCATTGGCCAATAATATTTAGACAATTCCCAGGAATCAATTTTATCAATAAATACTTGAATTTATTGTTTCAATCGCTATCTGTTAATCCAAAAAGTTAATAGTAATTCCTCCTTATGTTGAAATCCTAGAATTAACTCTTTGATCTCTTATAATAATTATTGCTATATGAATTTAGTATTGCATAACAAAACCTCTTAAACTTCTAATTAATTGCTTCATATAACTTCTGAGTATCAATCATTAACTGATATATAATATTTTAATAATTCAATCACAATCCTTTCACTTTTCAAAGAGTTGAAGATCAAGTATATTCTAAAATCTTAAAATATCTTATCTTCCATATTGAAGTAATTCAATTTTACAACACTAATTATAATAATATTAATAATAATATTCCAATTAATCCATGAATTAACCACAATCCCAGATAAGATACTTAGGTTTTTTATAATATTATTCAGCAAAAATGTATAACACATATCCATTTGCCAAATTTATCAATCATTTTCATTTTTAACCCTCAATCCTATTTGTTTAAAATTTTTGATTTCACAAATAATTGTTATCTTGTAAGTGTTTTTTAGAGTATAAGCTTCAAGGTAATTGTATAATTTATACAATATGTAACATTCTAAATGTACATTTAATTATGATTTTGAACCTATCAATGATTATGTTCAAGCGCAAATATTGAATATATAAATAAATAATCCATGATGATTCAAATATTGTGACATTATAAATATTTGAAATTTTAGGTTCATAAATTAAATAGATGATAAGGACACAACTCTTCTTTAAATAAAGCACTCATTATTTGTATACACCTCACTTAAATATTTCGTATATATCCAATCTAATATTCAAATATAAATAATAATTTTAATTTAATGATGCCACAATTAGTTCAAAATAATTCATATAATAATCAAATTATTAGTTGATTTCCCCAAGGCACAATATAAAAAAAGTAAATGCTATACAAATCTATTAGGATTTCTGTTTTTTAGTTTAGGGGGGCTTAATTGCAATATGTTTCATTCAATTCAATTATACTATGATGATTATTACTAATTAAAAAAACGATTTTTTAAAAATTTTATATAAGCAAGAATTGATTTCCTTCATAATATGAAAGATACTTGTATAAATTAAAGGATGATCCATTTTAAAAAAGAATATAAATAATATAGAAAGATATTTAATTGTGTTTATAAGGCAGTAGATTAAATGGGTGATTAATTTTGTTACAAAGAGCTAAACTATACATTAGCCTACTTCAAACTATAATATGATTTTATATTATGCATATTAACCTAAAATATAGAAAATGGAGGATTAAATGAAGTCTATAGTAGAGAATCAAATTGTTGTGGTTAATATAATTTTATACATATTTTAATTAAATTTAATTAATTATAAAAACTCAAGAGGAAAGTAAGATCTTAACAAAAAAAAGGAAATCATTTTCAGATGTTTATAAAACGTATACTACTTTTGAATTTAAATCTTCATTAATAATTTTGCAAGGTAGTTTAATATGAAATAAAATATGTATTTGCACGAGTTAATTTGAATGCCTAATGATGAGTAATTGAAGAAAGTTGATATTTGTTATTGCTTAAGAGAATATAAAATAAGAATAGTATTTTAAGGAATATCAAATAATGGATTATATTTCACATCAGTAAATCAGGAAGATTATGGATTTTGAGGATCAAGAAACAAATAGATAGAGACTTTTAAGCTTTTTTATAACCCATCTATCATTCCAAGAAAGAGATCAAATAATATGTAAGAAACAACGTATGGATTATTTATTGCAGCTTATGGTTTTTTATAAATTCTGTTAACATCATATTATGTTTAAATAAACAGTAGTAAATTTGAATCTAACCTTAAACCATCATAATTATTCAATAAGATTTATCTGAACATTGCTATCAGTCAAAAAATTATTTAATCCATTTGCTAAATTGACTGTATGTATTCATAAATTCAAATAGAAAAATCCCTTTAATCTGAGTTCGAAGTTACGATTGTCCTTATTATGCCTCCTTATAAAGGAACTGAGAAATTTGTATGTTTGATATTTTAGTGATTATTAAGATAATTGTATAAAATTATATTAAAAAAAGTTTTGATTAAATAATAATCTATAAATTGTATCTTCTAAAAACAAATCGGTTTTTTTTTACAGAATATAACAATAATTAAATTATTTGAAATTTGTTGATGAAAAAAATAACATAGTCACCAATTAACTAGCTAAAAAGTAGAGGAGATATTTCCCCAAAATCAACTGATGCAAATATTGCATTTTTATAAAAAGAAATATGGTAAAACAAGCAAATTCCACTTAAAAAATATACAAATTAAGGTAATTCGAAGCAGAAGGCACTATTATAATGTGATTTTATTTTACTAACAGATAAATTGCACATATGGAATAGATATCTGATCTCTAAATTCGAAAAGATGGATCCTATTTCTCAATCCTGATTATCTAATTTATTATATCTATCAAATATATACTATAACAATTACAAATCATAGTCTAGAAATTATTTAGCATTTCACCAAATTATAACTATTAATGATTTTATGAATATGTTTGGAGAATGATCAATACTCACACCAATACATTCATAAGACTCTCATTACTACTTAATAGAAATTCTTGGGTTATATGTTTCGAGGCATGAGCAAATTGGAGTTTTAAAAGAACGAAATTTAATTTACCATAATGTAAAATCATTTTAAGAATCAAAGAATTATTAATTGAATATCAAATGAAAATATTGTTGGAATTCATTAATTTATAGCTCCTTATTTTTTTAGAATTGTATAGATCTAAGGTCCAGCCTCATCTCTCAATCCAAAGTGACCCACAGTTGCACTACTAAATACGATCTCCTCATTTTCATTTTTCATTCTAGTTGTATACTTTCCCCAAACTAAGTTATTACCTCCAATAATTTCATCATAGTTGGCTCTTCCGGTTACAATGTATTTTCCTTCCTTTGCTGAATTAGAATCCAATTCTTCTAAAAATGAGGATTTTCCTACATAAGGTGGTTAGCCTGGGTAGAATCCATTAGTCATGCCACAGGTAGGGAGTGTGGAACCAGAAGTATAACAAGAACTTAATCCTTAATTTGCACCTGCTAAGCCTACAAATACTTTGACATTGGAAGTAAGAGGATCCCCTAGATCATATCTTCCACTACCCAACTCGTCACGGGCATTTCCTCCTTTGATTACTTTTCTGGCCAAAGTTACACCCATTGAATGTGAAATTATGTTGACGTAAGGAGATTTTGTATATTATAAAACAGCCTCAACAAATGCTCTATTGTATTTAAGGTAGTTTTCTGAATGGTAATTAAGGCTTGCCGTGTTAGAATCAGCATCTCCCCAAGTAGTAGCATATAAATCTTATTTCTCGTATCCTTGACTCAAAAAATATTCAATCTATGAACTAAACCCTGTCATATAAATGCCGTAGCTTCCATCTCCTACAGCCACATCGCTATTTCCGTGAATAAATATTATGGGTATTCTGGAAGGCTTTTGAGTAGGTCTAGTTTCTGCTCCGCTAATGAATATATATTTCAATTACCCATAGCATCCAGAAATGATGTCAGGTCTATGGAAACCCCAAAGCCTATAATTTTAATCAAGAAAGGCTTTGAAATCCTTTGAGAAACCCCTTTAAAATGATGGCTATGAGGGTTGGTTCATATACAATACTATTGTCGAAATCAGAAGAAGGGACAACAATTTATACTACATTATATGATGCAATAATAATATTCTCTTTTTTTTTAATTTTCAGTATGATAAAGAGAAAAATTTCTAAATTTACTCCATTTGATCGAGTATTGGATGGATTAGAATAGGAAGAACTTATTGATGAGGATGTTAATATGAAAATCATCAAAGTTTACAATCGAAAGAAAAATAATAAAATGTTTCTTTTAGAAAGGTTGATCTCAAATGAAAAGGAACACTTAAAGTACATAGATGAAATTCACAAATATGAAATAATTAACGCTGATGGATTATTATGCATAGACAAATGGGTATTTATTATTTATTAACAGACATATGATATGTTGATCGATTAAAATTTAAACAAACTATACAAATTCATCTTAGTTTTTGACACCTATTCACAGAATTTAAATCAATACTTAGAGAATATTCAAGTAATTTCATATCGATTATTTAGTCAAAAAAAATTTAATTACTAAAAGAGGACATCGTTGTTTTCTTTAGAGCAATTATTTTGTCAATTAACTATTTACAATAGCAATAAATTATAGCATTTAATCCAGTAACAATGTCATGCATTTTGATTTGTTCAGATTCATGTATGAAATTTAATTGCATACCAATATTATTAACTCAACATGCACTAGAAAAAGCCAAAAAGGAAAGTTTACTTTATCAAGCGCCTGAATAAGTTAAGGATGTTAAAAATATTAATCATATTTATTCCCAAGCAGTCTATTCTTTAGGACTGATATTTATATAACTCTTTTTGTTAAAACACATTGATCAATTGAGAAAATATGAAGACATTAAATTAAGTATCAAAGAAATTTAAATGAAATACGGAGACACTTATAAATCGTATTTAGAAAGCATGGTAGAATAGGATCCACATAAAAGAATTAAATTATAAGAGTTATGCTAAACATTGTCTATTCAAGAACCCTAAAAGTAGATAAAGGACAACTTAAAAATTACATTTTCAGAGACTTTTGAGTATTATCGGAAATAATATTCTATCTTGAATGTACCAGAACCTCGATCTATTGCATATGGAATTCCTTGGAGCAGAAATATTATATAATCAAACTTATTTAATATGAAAAATTACTTCCTGGAGTTATTAGACCTATTTTAATCATAATAGATTTCAGAATAGGCTGTGACTATAATATTTGAGTAATTTAGAGTATTTGTGATTGGAGGTATAAATACTCATTTTGTTTATGAATTAAATGATGAAGTACCTGCTCTGAAGGAGGTAACATCAATTCCTTCATGCAGCGCTAATAGATGGGGCTTTGGATATGTTATATGTAGATAAATTATTATATATTAGAGAAAATAATTAGCTGTTGTATATTTGCTCTGGTTATAGTGATTAACTATTGACAGCCAACACGTTTTGCTATAATATACAAACTTAGAAGTGGTAGAAATTAAGCGATTGCCAGAAGCCAGGTATAGGTAGTACCTTAGTTTGCTATAATAATTCAAGTATTTTCAAATTTGGAGGAGTTGAAATTAATAACAAACCTCTTAATTGTGTTGAAGAATTTAAGAATAATGAATGGCAATTAATTAATTTCAAAAAACCTCACTTTATATTACCTAACTTTAGTTTTGCTTAGTAGGTAAATCCAACATAGATTTTTATTGTTGGGGGGTACTTTGATAAGGAGCATAATACAAAGGTTATTGTAATGAATATTGATACATAAGCTCATCTAATAGATTCCAGAAAAGATTATACTTATGTTGAATTCGTATTGAATGAATTTTTAGATTATGGGAAGTATGGTCCTGTGGAAGCAATGTAAATAAGCAATAACTAACTATTTTTATTATAAAAAAAAAATGAAAAATATCAATACTTAACTGTGTAGGATTAATCTGTATTTGTTGAGTTGAGAAAAATACACATGTGATCATATTTTGTAATTTGTCTTTAATAACAATAAATAAAAATGAAAAGAAGTTTCAATTATTCATTGAGTGAAATCTTCCATGCTGGCTATAAATATTTTTCATCCCCAATATCTATTAATTTAACAGGTTTTAAGAGTTCTTGATTTTCTAATATTGTTTTAACGGATCTTCATGAAGGTTGTTCAAAATGAATGATTTCCCATTTTTATTAGTTGTACTTAAGTTAGTTGGACTGCAAGTTTTATCTAAAAATGAAGTCTTTGCTTTATGAATTGTAACATTTTAGACATGCTATTGTTTTTCTTTAATATTAGTGATCGAGTTCAGCCTGCTGTATATATTATAATTCTATATGCTTTTGTTGCTCTATTGAAAATTATTATTACTTTTTTCAATACTTGTGCTTATATTTAAGAATTTACTCACACTCTTAGTTCCATTTTCACTTTTACATTGTTTCTCGTTTCTAACTTTCACTTCAAACTATTTAAGTTACTCCATAAATCCATCATTAGGATCTACTTGAGGTCTTTAACTTTTAAGTTTGATAATAGCATCTTTTAAAGAAAATCCTGCATGTCGTATCAAATAAGCGATTATCAAAGAACTAGACCTAGATATTCCAGCATAGCAATGAACTAGGACATTAGTATGCTATAAGTGATCTTTAATGAAGTTGGCTGCCTAGTCGAAATACCTAGATATTTGGACATCTTCTCTGTCTTCAGCTGCAATCCACTATTGAAATATTAATTTTGTGTACTAGGTGAATGATTGATCTGTCTAGTTTAATATCACTTGTGTCAATTATAGATAATACTGCTCCCACATTATGATGCTTTAGATATTAAGAATCGTTTGCTGCATTAATATTTCCCAAATATAATCTCTTTCCTTCTATCTCAAAAACACTGTTCATGGGACTACCTTTTATATTCTATTTGAACAAAATATACGTGATTGTGGTTGTTAACATTTAAAATTAATCGAGTTGTAAGTCAGACTCAAATCTAGCCATTTCGACATCGTTAAATTAACAAACAAATAAAAATTATAATTTTCATAAAATATAGCTTAAGGTTTCATTAATTTGGAATTCATTAAAAATTAACTATATGAATCATTTATTCATTTGTAACAATAAATGTTTAATTATTTTACTCCAATCCAAATGAGCATTCTTTATCTATTCTGTAAGCCTAATTCATTTAACCATTTTCTGGGTTCCATTAAACTATTAAACCACATTAAGTAAATCCATAAACTGAAGTTTCTGTTTTTTTGAATCCAACCAACTTCAACTAGCTTGCAAATGCTGTTTTCTCTTGATATTAGAATTTGTTGTCTTTATATTTCATTTGTATAATTGCAACTCCATATTCAGTACATGGATAAAGATAATTATCGATTAATTGAATTGATTTAATTGAAGTATTGACATTAAAATTTATTTAATTTAAAAACTCTAACTTTTCAGTCCTTTTATATACCAGTATAAAACCCTATGAAGTCCCTACAATAACCTTATTGTTACCTAAAAATAATAGCTTTTATTTCTCCTCGAAGTTTAAGCAAGTAATCCATGCTGTTTACAATCTATTCTTCAGACTTCCACCTCCAATCAATTAAAAATTCTCTTCATCCAAAATTTTAACTTGGCTATCTGTTACAAGATAAACTTCTTAATTAAAATGATGGATTCTGTATATCGGTGATGTTAGAACCTAAATTATAGCTTTTTCTTAAATGGAGTTTTCAGTTATTTAGTATAAAATCAATGACCCTTAACATGTACCTACAATCAGCTTATCATGGACTAAAATTATAAATTTTCAATTACTATTTTCCACACAAAATAATTTGATACTATAATATTTATCAAATATTTTTTGAAATGGAGTCGTGTTTCCAATTAAAAATACTATCATCTGCCCCATAATTTCAGGTTCAATCAAATTCCAGATTTTGCCAAACTTTTAGAATTAACTCTGATTCTCCAAAGTGACAATTAAGAATTAGTTGACGATAATGAATTACGATACAGTAAGATTAGATTCAGTAATTTTGAAACCCATGACAATGTTGGGAATCTAATCTTGAATAAATTAATTTTATACCAAGGCCTTAATTTAGGAGTAAACTTCAATCTTTTAATTCAATCCCAATAAATTGATGGTCTCTAAATAAAATAATCATTTACTTTCTGTTTTGTATTGAGATCTCTTCTGTACAATAGTTCACTTATTAATTTATTTATTGCAATGATGGTTTTTTATTTATCCTTCACAGTTTGGAGCAAATCAATTTAAGCCTTATCCAAACTTAACAACATGAATCCATTTTTCTGCATATGTTATACGTAGTCGTAGAATTCCTTAATTGGCTTTTGACCTACCATATTGTTATTCATTACTTTTGAAGCAATATTAACTAAAGGGTGTATATACAATTAGTTAAACTGAAGGTTATCCGTTGATCGATATTATTTCTTCGATTTAATCAAAAGCTAACGTGTCTAAACATACTTAGATTTAGGCAGACATCTTAATTAATGTAATTAATATTAGGAATAATTAGTGTAAATATAACAGAAAATATAATAGTAATTACGACTCCTAATTAATTATCGATGATTAATCAATAAAACATCCGTTGTAATTGGATATCACTTAATTAAAAATAAATGATTATTCAATTGTCAATCTCAAATAATAATTCACATATACTAAACAATATTTTCAATTAAATAATATATATGTGGTTTATTTAAAATATCTGTTGAGTAGCAGTAATTAAATTGATTCACTGATATAAATATATATTATTAGATTCGTACAATGTAGATTAATATAGATTAGATTCAAAAAATCATTAGATTGAGTTGTGGCTCTCATTCTCTTGATATAAATTTGGTTTGTTATCTCTACAATTTCTTTTTCAATGGTTTAACACTTCCGTCTATGACATCTTTGGTGATAATGTTATTGATGAAATCGATCACTTAAATAGATTTCCTAAATTCCACTCTTTTAGGTTGTTCTTCAAAATTTGTTAAATGTCTTTTGTGGTTGGGTTTTTGAAACTTGGTTGGAGAAGTTGGTATAGAATTGATTTAGGGTAGATGGACCTCTGACTTCGTTAGGGATGAAATAGAATCAAATTTAGGGATCAACACTTCTCTTTAGGTACTAGATTGTTTTGGTTTTATGAATCGAATTTTAGATTTCTCTTCTATTACAGGTAAAAAAGTGTTGCTTCCATTTTCTGATATCTCATTCATTTAAGTCAATGAGCCAAGGGTTTCCATGCTTTTGGTTGAACCCTCATTGACATCCTTTTTCACTGTCATTAATTAAGACAATGAAGATATGTCAAATTCATTCAAAAACATTGAAGGTCTCATAGATTTGGTGTCCTTCTTGACTAATCGTCTATATGGAGATACTAACATAGATATTATTATTATAATAATGATTTGTCATAAACTAAATCATTAAATAATGAAAAATAAAGTTCAGTATTTTATTATGTACATTAATGCCGTATCAGTCTTTTCATATTGATAACTTGAATTAATCAAAGAAGTTATCAATTTATAATTAATTCCATATTGATATGAACCAAGTTACTTAATAATTGGCCTGAGCATAGTTCAAATATCAATCTCTCGAGACAACAGTTACTATTACTTCATAATATAACATAAAATTTTTTTAAAAATCACTTAGGTTAGCATTTTATATATATTTATTTATTTTTCGATTATATTAAAATCTTTATTTTCATTTTTCAAATAATGGCTGAATAAACATAGGACAAACAGTTCAAAGGTGTTAAGAAGTTCACCTACAGAGGATTATAACTCGAAGAGCTTGTCAAATTGCCTATGGATAAGTTGGTTGAATAATTCAGAGCAAGATAAAGAAGAAGAATTTCTAATTAAGGTGAAAAAGTGCACGCCTTCTAAAATTTAATGAAGAAAGTAAGCAAGCTTTGTCTACATAATTATAGATTCGTAAATCAAAGAAAGAAACATTACCAGGAGAAAAACCCAAACCAGTCAAGACTCATTAAAGAAATACCATTGTAGTTCCAGAGATGGTTGGATCAATCGTTGGAGTATATAATGGCAGATAATTTAGCAATGTTGAAATAAAGTTTGATATGATCGGCAGGTATAAATAACTGCAAAACTATAATTATAGATATTTGGGTGAATTCTCTCTAACCTATAAACCAACAAGACATGGAAAACCAGGTGTTGGTGCTACAAAGGGATCCTAACATACAGATTGATATATATTATATAAGTACAATAAAAAATGCAAACTTATTAATCCTTATTTAATATTACCAAAATATTATATAGGTAATTAAACAAAATAATGTCTAAAATATAGATTATTATTTGATGTATTTGATGTGGAGGGCATTTCTAAAACAATCAAATAATTTAAGAAATTTATTTTATAATCATCTCATTTCAGAAGCCATAGGAGATAAGTCCTAATTATCTTATGTGATTGGTCGATTATTGTGATTTCCATTGAGTTGGAAATTAATTTATTCTTATACACCACTGATTGGAGTTTAATCAACTTTTGGCAAATAGATAATTTTTTTTGAAGAAGCCATTTTTATATGTCTATTAGTGCTTGAAAAGGTTTATTCTTCCTTCTCTTCCTTCTCTTGCAACTTCTATCTTTGAGGAATTCGATGGTATCTTTTATATAAGACGATTAGGGTTCCCATTAAAACTAGAAAAGATGCTATAGAAATGACATAGAGTAGGATTATGAGTAAATAGGTATCTTTGCCTCCTCCGAATGCTTTAGGTTCTACAAATTATATTGTATATGTCTTGTTCAATTTGCAGACTTTGTTTTTAAGATTTGATTTGCAATATGTGGACTTTTGTTAGTACGTTAATTCAAATTCTTAGGTTGTAGAATCAGAGTAGCATTCAATATACGATTATTACTAATGATATATCAAAAATTTAATACCAACTCAATTTTAGAAAAGAACAACTTATGTTAAGTGATTCCAACAATAATATTATGAGTATTTTTAATATTGTTTTTATGTGGTTTAAGATCTAAATTCAATGATAAGATATCTAATTGCTTCAGATTTGGTATCACTAATTGATTCATCCACTCAAATTAAGAAAAAGTGGAAGGAATTGAGTGAAACAAGATCTGATGTCCATTTCTACCTATAATAATGGCAAAAGTGTCAGTTAATTAGATGTCAATTATGTCTGTTTCTAAGTCGTGTTGCTTTATCAACTCATAACTATTTTTACTATAATCTATGCGAAATTCAAATAAGGTCTAATTTTATACTATCATTAGAATGTCTCCGTAAACATCTAAAATCTCTCCAGGTTATGGTATTTATCCCATATGAGCATTAAATTACAAAATTGCACTTCTGCCTACGTTATAAATGTATTAGCTAACTCCATATTGTTCATCCAACAAATAGATGTAATAATTGTCATCTTTATTTTAATTGAATACCTTAATATCCTAGATTCTACCACCCATCTAAGAATCCAGAAATATTTCACTCAATTGATGATTGGCAAATTCAAACATCTTTATGCCAGTGTTCATTGCTACTATAATGAGATTGCCAGCTGTTGCTATGCTATTAATGTGTGAGATTTGCCACTGTTCATACACTTTGTATTGTTTAATAAAGAGATCATCATCATCGAACTCTAAATCTAACGCAATAGTTTCTCCATCCCCTATAATCAAGACTGAATTTTAATCATAAAAGTATTCCATAAATACATTTGTTTAAAGTGATTATTGGTCAATACTTAACTGAAAAGTGGCTTGTTATTTAAATTTTGTGCCTTGAATTCTCAAAAAATATAATTCTCCGTCATCCCTCAACACAAGTATCCCACGTTTTATTTAGACAAATTTAAGAATTTTTCCTATTTTCCCCTTGTAAGACCCATATTCAAAAACCTCACTAAAATTATCATCGCTATAACTATTTATAAGTGTTATGGAGTTATCATCAATGTTATTTGCTACTAATTGTTAAGGTATAATTTTGCATAATTGCTATTCTGTGAGTTATTATTCAAGAATTATGCCTGATTAACTGAAAACATCCAAAACTGCTTCTTATCTAGTTAATATTTGTATCAGTTCACAATTTGTTAAAATGAAAAGTTAAAGAAAAATAAAGAGCATTGAATAAAAACTTATTTTTTTTAATATAATTTAATTATGATTTTGACCAAAAAAAGACTTGATATCTCTTCAATCTTAACTGTCTATATAACTTATTTACATTAATATTCACTCCTTCAAGAATATTAATAATTATAAGATCTTCCTCCGGTCTTAAAAATTAAATGCAAGGTTTTTCAGTATTAATTAAATCAATACTTTAGTTGAAATAAGAATCATTTGTTAACTAATAACTATTCAGTGATATTTTAAAATAGACTCAACAAAAGATCAAAGTTATGATATAAAATGTTGAATTTAATGAGAATTGATTCAAATTTACAAACATTCAATATATTTATCACATTTCATCAATTTAGAGTACAATATTCTATTATTAATGCAAGTTCATTATTTTATCAATAATAATTTCAGCCTAAAACTCCCAATCCTTCCAAATTAGATTAACAAATTGTATGATGTCATAAACCAATGCTCCAATCACAATGCCTATCCACACTCCCTTAAGTCCAATATCAACCGTGTAACAAAGAAAATATCCAATTATTCCTCCCAATACTATATAGCAAAGGATAAATGTGATTGAAGTACTAGCTTCTCTTCCAATGGCCCTTACTAATCCTGAGATAATGGCTTAAAGTCCTTTGATTTTATTCATATAATAATACCATCCAACATAATAAATGCCACTAAAAGATAAATGGAGTCTGAGATTTCTTCAATAACTATTTTGTCTTCGGTCAACAGTTGAATTATAGTCTTCCCAAAGATCGAAAACAATCCTAAGGTTATTAATAGAAAGATTCCATCTATTAAAAAAGTAGCTTTGGTGTATTTCTTAGCCATATCTACTTTCTTTCTTCCCATTTCATTTCCCACAAATGTACCAGACGCTATTGAAATGCCATAACTGAATTGATACAATAGGCCTGCGAAATTAGACATCAACACATGTGCACTCACAGTTGAAGTGTTTAGATAACTAATCAAAATTACGTAAAAATCAAAGCTTATCCACTCCAACCATTAGATAGAACCTATAGATAGTGCTTACTTTAAAAATTTCATTGTATTTTTTAAGTAGCTTAGTTTAAATTTAAATAAAGTAGCTTTACTGCATTTGGTTATGAAAATTAATGAAAATAGGATTATGTTATTCAATAGATCCAAACTAGTTAAACTTAATGCACAACCTACTATTCTCAACTCCTGTTTCACTACCAAAAAGTAACTGATGCCAACAAAAAGGATGCATGTAACAAACTGAGTGTAGAATTGATATTTATAAATGTTCTAACCATTTAGAAATACTTTGGTGTTCACGAAGATAGCGTTCAAGTATACTGCTAATATCATATATCTATTGAAATGTCCTGTTTCCTCTGCTAATTCTGTATTGCTAAAGTAAACCAGCACTTGTACTTATTGATATAAGCTATTATTTAGGTTGAGAAGATCAAGAATAGTGAAATAGGAATCATTAACAAGGTGCACAAAAACAACGATCTATAATACAACTTTGCACATAATTCATAATGATTTGCTCCGTAAGCTTGTGATACTAGGGTTTCCAATCCCGTGGCTAAACCATTTAAAATTCCCATTCCGAATGCTTGTGTTGTAAGAATGCCGAGTCCCAAGGCTCCTACCAATAAAGAGTCTTCCTTGAATTCTAGCAAATAAATAGTTATGGTAATTGGCAAATATTCTAATAGAAAACTCATTGCAGTTTGTAAGGAAGCTATCGTTAATTCTTTCATAACAGAACCTTATTGATAGAGCGGACGAATTAATTAAAGTTCGCTCATTTAAAAATTAATGAAAAGAATTCTTAATCTTTATAAGTATTCTGTGCAATAAAGTCAGCAATTGATTTTGGTCGACTTTAATGACAAACTCTAAAGTATTTATTAATCTTTAATGTTTTTTAAGAACCCATGGATAAATGGCTAGCTCATTCAACGAATTATATTTTTAATCAACAATCCTACCCTCATAGAGCCTTTAGTTTATTTTTGTTTGATAAAAATTACAAATTACTCCTCTAACAACGTAGTGATGCTAAAAAGACATTTCCCTTATTGTGGACTAATACATGTTGCAGCCACTAATTGTATCACTAAAACGAAGAAGACAATGTCACGAAATACCGTCGCAGTGATTTTTACGTCAGAAAAAGAACCCTTGAAGAATTAAATTTTGATCTTAAGGACACACATATTGAATTGGTCTAAAAAATTATATATTCTGCTAAAGATAATGAAGAATTTGGAGAATATGAATGTTTTACTAATATTTATTTCTAGTGGATTATATTTATTTTGCAAACATCCAATAAGACTAACCAAAGATTAATGGAAATCCAGAGGAGATTAAAGATTACAAGTGGTTATCCTTAGATGAGTTTAACCAATTTTCAAAACATAACAAAGTAAGTGTTTATTTAAAAAACATAGAAATCATTTACTCCTTGGTTTAGCTTGATTAATCACTCACACCTTATAAATTGGTGGACCAAATTTAAATAGAATGACAAAAGTTTCATATAACCAGAAAAAATTGAGAAATTGAATTGAATAACAATTATATATATATTAATAAATGAAATCAATAGAGTTTTCATTATAACCCTTATAATTGCAAACACACAGCAATAATATTTTGGATAATTCTAAAATACTCTTTTTGTGAGGCAAATCCAAAGGATCCTCAAGGAAAAAAAGAGAAAATCCCTTTATTTTTTCATTTTAAATGGACTTGAAAATTGGTTGTTGCAAAACCAAAGGGTAAAAGGCCTTAACCATAAGAGTATATGAATTAATAATGTGGTGATTAACATTTGAAGTATTTCAGATGAGGAGCATCATGCTTGGATAAGAATGGCAGAGAACTAAAAATGGTATGTTTGTGAGACTCAATCTCAAATGGTTTAATTACAAAAACAGTTAATGATAATCTATCTAAAGTTGAGAGAAACCTAGGTATTATTCAAGGAGGATGGTAATTCAAAAGATTGAGCGGATTTGATGTTCCTTTCCTCAAAGAAGTTTAATGTTTGAATGATAAAATGGAAATATCTGCTAATTGTTATTGAAGATCTGATAGTGTATTACTTAATTGATTATTGGAGTCATTCATTGAAATGGTTCAAAAGTGATTATTAAGAATTCTAATTGAGTCTATAATCAAATGGCAACTGTAATATATTTAAATTTTCAAATGTAAATAAATTAAAGTCCAATACCATAAGAGAAACTAAGTTTTCTTAACACTCTCTTAGACAAAGAGCTGGATATGCTCAAATGTAATAATGTCCCAAGTTATCTACAAAAAACATAACCTTCATCCTATTTCGAATAGGAATCAATTCAGCAATCTAGTATCAGAGCCTTGAGTAATAATCCTACCTCATAAACTAAACGTACAACTAATGGAGATTTGAACGAAATCCAAGATAAAATCGTCACTATTGAAGCAAGAATTCAAAAAAATATTGAAAAGCAAATTCAACCAAATCAATTAGTGTAATAGTAAGAGTTTAAGGATTCAGATGAGGAAACACCTTTAAAGAATAAATACAATCACATTCAATCATCACACAAAAAACAGATAAAATTTACAGAACAAGAACAGTCAACTAAAACACTCAATAAATCTTCATTTCATGAGGAGAGGAAGAACAAATTCCAATAATTAGAAAAGAATATTGAAAGTGCAGAGAACAAATTGTCTCAATCAAAAGCATAGAGAAAATCTATGAGTCAAGTCAAATCGAAAAGCAAGGAAAAATCTTAGACATCACTACAAAGAGGCACTAGTAGTCAACAATAAGATGTCTAATCCTTGCAAATTAAACTGTCATAACTAAGAAAATAATGGGAGGATGACAGGGCTTAATTAATTAAGGAGAAACAAAAGAATTAACAAATGCAACAATAATTAGATCAATTAAACAAAAAATTAAAGAAGGCTTTATAATAAAATGAAAAATATAGTTAAATTGAATAAGAACAATAGAGATTACAGGAGAATTTTGAGAAAAGCGAATTTATCAGATAGTAATAAAAATAATTAATACAAACTTTAAAATTGGAAATTGAAGAATTAAAATCAAACAATAATAACAATAATAATAATAATAATACCAATAATAATAAGAGTAAACAAAAAAAAAGAGGATTAGAAGACAATAGCAACAAATACTTAAATAAATGAAATATTATGTCATAATTAAGATTATAATTTAGAATTAAGTCCATAATTATTACGATTAACACCAACCTTGTCTTCCCACATATATCCATCCATTGAATGTTTAGTCTAATAATCAAGACCTATAATTCTATTTTTATTCTTCAAATCAGGCGTGTATGCTGTTAAAACAATTGTTTCTCCTTCTTTGAATTCATATTTAGTTTCACCTCTATAGATAACAGTGATATCATCATCAAAATTAGTAAGGATAAATTTCACATCAAGCGTGCCTCTTTTGATTTCTATAGTTCCTGGTTTTATGATGCCAGCAATTGAGTAATGTTGATTTTCCTTAATTTTGTCATTCTTCAGATAATCTTCAACAGGGAAAATCACTTATTTATCTACAAAAAAATGCGAAATAAATGTTGCACTAATCTAAATTCCTGCTAAAATACCTATAGCTCTATAAATAGATCCTTTAAAAACTTCACTCTTTAGTTTATTGACTAGATAGAATGAATTTAGTACCTAGTGAGAAGGAATAAGCTATTTAAGGTCTGCTTAAAGTAAGAAATACTCTGCTTTTCGATATCATAATTAAAACTTAATTATGGTATATTAAATTTATTTAATGTTAATCATGATCTTCAAATAAAAATTGGCAATAATTATAATGATAGAATGAATAAGAACTTTAGAATAAAATCATTGATTTGATACTCACGCCCACATAACTTATTTTATTTTAAAAATAATAAAAACTAATAAATTATATTGATTTTTAACACAATAAATTCAACACTTACAACCTTATTCCTATTCTATTTTCTATGTGTCTAGTGTTCTTAATCTAGTATCATTTTCAGGAGGTTGAGCATTAGTACGTTTCTAATCCACCAAATTCAAGATAATTTTGCCCAAATCCAAAAATAATTAATTGACATTATCTCCTGTTTTAGCAGATGTTTCCAAATAGTTGACACCCAAATCTTATGCAAACTCATTCCCATTCTTGGCCAGGATCTAGAATAATGCTGATTTACTTACAATTCTTTTATTGAATAAATCAACTTTATTTGCTATTAAATAGCATGCCTCAGGAATCAAACCATGTTCTTCGATCACTAATTTAAGGAATTTCTTGGCATCTTCAAATGATCTACAAATAATTAGATTGCATAGGTGTACCTCTCACATGTAACATCATAGACTGCAATACAACCATGCGCTCCCTTATAATGAGATTAAGTTAAAGCCTAAAAGCGCTCTTATCCAGCCGTGTCCCAAATCTGCATTTTAATACTAATAAGTGCGGATACTTATTTACGTCTTATCATGGATGGAAAGGGTCTTGATTCTAAAATCAACTCCCACTGTGGAAAGGTAACTATCATTAAAAACTTGATCTATAAATCTGGCCATAAGGGAAGACTTGCCTACGTTCTGGGATCCTATTAGGACAATCTTAAAGATGTAATCTACTTTTTACATATTGTATATATTAATTAATATAAAATTCATAATTTAGTATGTGAATCTATGTATATTTTTAACTAATGTGCAGGATCTACATCGACATATTTGCAGTGATCATTTCGACAATAATGACAATTGTACATCTTATTGGCGAGAGATTAAACTGCACAAACATGACAGACGTAATTTGAACAGCAAGTTGTATGGAGCATACCTATAAAAATTGTGATTGCATTTTACAGTCGTAATATTTAAAACAGATTGGACAATAATATTTGCAGTTTCCTTATAGGGTATCACAAAACTAGATGCAATTAAATTCAATTTGAATACATTTGTTTTATTGAATTCTGTAATTATTTTAAGATTCTTGTCGAAGTATAGTCCATCCTAACAAATTAAATTTAACTAATGAAGATTCCCTAATGAAGCATGTTTCCGATCCTTCTTCTTTTTTCCACAACAAACAAACATCTAACGATAATTTTAATTTAAATTAGTATTTTAATAAAAATTAAATCATTGTAGATAACGAGTGATGATCTCCTTAATGTCTCTTGTTTTTAATGGCTTTCATAATAGACTGTAAATTTAGAATTTATTTTTTCATATGTCCACTTGCTGCAATAAGAATGGGCCTTATAGCTATCACATACTATTTAATCACTTTGGTGGTGATGATGAAACAATCAATAATAGGCATTTCAATATCTAAGAGAATAACTCTAGAACATATATAATTCTTAATCCACTCATCTATCACTTTCAAGGCATTTTAACAGATACTTCTATATTCTATTTATTTCCTTTTTATTTAATAGCCTTATCAAACATTCAATATTAAATTGATTATCATAAAAAAGTAATAATTCTCTCTATCTAAACGCTTGATTTGAATAAATGCATTAGATTAGAGGCTAAATTTCAACATCAACTATTTTTGCCCAAATAATGATGGTGTCAAATTCAGTCTCATAAATCTATTTCGAATGAAAAAGAACTGTCATTGTAAAATCCTGAATCTATTAAATACCACCCTTCTTGGTTGACAGACACTTGCATATCATACTACTTATTAATAATCCTAATCCAACACCTGATCTATTGAATAATTTGGTTTCATCATCCTCAAATCTACCAAATGCCTTGATCAAATATTTTCTATCCTTTCGAATTCCAAAGCCAGTATCTGATATTTTAATCTCCAAAGTTCCATCATTTGATCTCTAGCATTTACTGTTATATTACCCTTCAATGGTTAATTAGAATACTCTTCCAATTTAAATTAATCAATCCCTCTTTTATTCTTAAGTCGTTATTGAATAATTCTTTAAGAGCATTTTGATATTATTCCAATTTCAAAGCAGTCGAATTCTCTTTGCCTCTACTCGATATAAATCAAATATTTATGAAATTAAATTAAACATTCTTTAAAATAATTCCTTTTTGTACTGTCAACAATACCTAAAATATTTCAGTAATGATTTATTCATGTTTTTTCTATTTCAATACAACTATCTACTCACAAAATGCTCAATATTACTTAATAATGCATGGGATTTATGCTTAAGTATGCAAATCAAAATTAATGATTTTGCAATCCCACTAATTTGTTTAATATTCAGATTATTAATGAGCAATGACCCAAGTGATCCAGAAGGTATGTATTACTACTTACTACTTCCAATAAGATCTTTCAGATGATGACTTTGTGGATGAGAAGCCCCTTGAACCCAAGCCCTATAAAACAGATCATGAGGATGAAACAATTCAGGAAATCCAATCTTTCACAGTGAAAGACAGACCCTTCATTAGGATGCAATTTATTAAAAAGAGAAAGGAGTTTGGGTAAGTCTTTATAAAAAATATTTAGTTTGACATTCAAATTCAGCGATTAGGAGACATCTGAGAGAACAGGAGAAATCAAGGCACTAGAAAAGGATCCACTACAACTTGTCAAAAATAAGGTCATTGAAATGGGCATTCAGGGATGCAATCCTTTTCAGGATGCCAGTTCTTAGACTGTCTGGAATAGAAAAATTAATAAAGCTTTGCAAGTAGACGAGGGAGATGAAAGACAAGAACAGCCAGACGAAGATTTTAAATTGCTTAAATTCTTGGAGACAGTTTATCCATTGATGGAAGAAGCATTGCAATCAAATGAAACCATTGACATCTATTAGGACGATTTCAATGTCTTGCCTCTCTCAGAACAAAATGGAGGTACCATAAATTCACACAACTAATTTAAGATTAAAATGCTGAACTTACTAATGTGATCAAAGAAATCAAAAGTTTCAGTTATCTAAATTGCAAAGGCAAAAAAATATAATGCATTCAATTCCAACCCACTAGTTAAGCAATCAAATCCAAGTATATTGTTGCAGAATCCTTTGTCGAAAACCTCCTCTTTGAAGAAAGAGCCATCTATCAATTGAAATCTCATAAATCACTCATAGTATTCTGGGATTTCGAAGACATTCATTCAATTGAACCAGTGCTTCTACTGTAGTCTCCCCTTGAGATACTCTCTTTCGAATTCAATCCCAAGGATCCCAACATAATAGTTGGTGGCACTATCAATGGTTAAGTTATGTTATGGGATCTCAGCGGCACAGCACTCTCAGTTTTTGCATCCAAAAAAACCTAAAAAACTAAATAAGAACGAAGTATTCATCAAATTCTCACTATTTTAAGATGAAATTTAAGAATTGCAACCTAAAATGGTATCAGCTCTTTAAGACCCAGCATCATATTAAGCTGGGTCATCTAATGAAGTCTTGAGAAAATAAGTTGCATCTCACAAGAATTTTGTATTGGGCTGTGAAATGGTTTCCGATTGGAATGGAATTTGATAAGAAGCATTTCAATCATCTTATACTTACTTCCTCTTAAGAAACTTATCAATTTGCAAGTATTAGTTCTGATGGTTAAATTTTATTCTGGGACACTAGATTGATTGATAAAGACAGTAAAAAGACATAATAAGATGTATTCTTCATTTTCAAATATCAACTAGATTTCAACCATCCCGTGGAAGGCTACATATGGAATCTAATTGTATAGACCTGAAGGAGGAGGAATGATGGGCGGAGGATAAATTTAATTCAGAAAAAGTAATCTCTCAATTCATTTCAAATAGATTAAAAAATTCCCATTTTATCAGGCACATCAGATGAAGGTGAAGTCTTTATTTTAGATTGGGGAGAAAAACAAGGGGAAGAAGGACAAAAGAATTAATTGGTTTCAGCTATTTGGTAATAATAACGAAGTATGAGACCACCTATTGCTTTGGATGTAAGTCCCTTCTTTGAGGATGTTCTATTAACATTACATGATTTCAATTTTTGTGTTTGGAAACACAATGTTACTTTCCCAATATTTGAAAGCCTCATCATGAAAGGAGCCCACATTACTTGTGGTGGATTCTCTCCTTATCGTGCTGGTGTCATTATTGTTGGGAAAACTGATGGTAATTTGGATGTTTGGGATATGTTGGATTAATCCCATAAATGGACAATTCAATTTTAAGTTGTTGCTTGTGCAATTACATCATTAAAATTCAATGACAATATGGCTCATATTGTTGCTATTGGTGATTCTGATGGTACCTTGCATCTCCTTGAATTTCCATAAAGTTTGTGTAAAGATTAAGGGAATGAAATCAAGGCGATGAGATTATTCTGGGATAGAGAAGTCAAAAGAGTAAATTACTATTCTGAGAGATTTAAAATAAGAGAATAATAAGCAAAATAACAAAATGAAAAGGAAATTCAAGCTTAACCAGTTAAAGAAACAAAGCAATCTGGCGATGTATATTTATGATTATTACAGAATAGACCAAAGTCTTAGATGAAATAGCAAACTTTGAAAATGAATACTAAAAATTCAGAGATACTTTACTTGGCATTGGTCCCAAACCAGAAGATGATAAGGGTGATAAAAAAGGTAAGAAATGAATAAAAATTACATTCAAAATTTATAATTGTCAATAGTTATAATTATTTTTCTTTTTTAAATGATATCAATCTAAGAATTAGTTTTATCTAAGTTGATATATTTAATTTAAACACTCTCTATAATTTGATCTAATATCAACATAGATGTATTCATCAATGATTTAGGTAATTGAATTATTTTATAAAAATATAGTGTGTTTAATATGATTGAGTAATTTGGCTCGTTTGTGAGAATGAGAAATGCTCAAGAATATAAAGTATACAATGAGGATCTTATGTGCATTATAAACATAATATTGATACTTAATAACATGTATTCATTGTTATTTAGTTAATTTTTATATTTATTCATATGTATATTGATGCAATTCAATGTCAAAGTCAAATAATTCATTCAAATGTTCTATTATAATTTTTAAAGAGTTATCTTTTTCATCATAATATGCTACTCCAATGATTGAATAGATTGAATCATTTACAATGGGTTAATGGTATGATAGTTGTATTTGCTTCTTGTTCTTGGATAAGATGTCTGTGCCTTAAATGGTTTGCCACTCTCCATAATTTTTGGGTTCGTGTTGATACAATTAAAGATAAATGGAAATATCACCTTGTTGTGTGTCGTCAAGAGTGATCCATTTATAAAGTTTTTATTTCATATAAAATGGAAATAAATAAATTGAATGAAGTTAATCCAGATGATTTGGATGTTATCTTTAGAGGAATCTAACTATTTATTGATCAAAAAGAGAATGATTTAGAAACTACAATACCTCAACTAGTTGATAAATACAAATACTATTAACTTCAAGATCATGATAAAAAGTTTTAATTATTTTGTTAACAAGCAGACTGTTCCACCGATTCTAGATCAGAGTATCAGAGTTAATTGAGAAGTGCAAGAATTAAAGTGCCATTAATTACGTCTTGAGTATCCGAGATATACTCAATTACAAAGCATAGAATTTTGCTGTTATACTAAATAAAGTACTTAAAAGATGTGAGATGCAAGCAACCCAATAAAATGAGGATAACCCACAAATTTAGATGAAGAGATCAGTACCTTCATGGTAATTGAATAGTTAATAAAATCGAACGTTGTTTTAATTTTATGATAATGATTTTTGGAAACTCTATGACATTATGCTTCTAAACAAGTAATTACTTAACATTAAATTAGACAACACTGTTCAAACTTGATAGTGTACCATTAATCAAAGCTCGAAAATGTAGAAAGACTATTCGCATCAAGTTTAGAAAGAAATTAGAGATTTCTATAATATAAGAGCTTGCCAATTATAGAAATAACTACTCTGACTGATAAGGCCAGGAAATTAAAGTTCCTCTAACTCACACAAACTATGGAAACTCCCTATGCAAATAAAAATATTACAATGTTCGGAAATTAGAATTAGAATTAGAATTAGAGTCCAACCAAAAAAACATAAGTCACCGTTAAACATTCGATTTCGATTAGTCCTCAAAGAACTCAAAGTAAAGATCCTCAAGATCAAGATATCAGAAGTATGTTTGATACAGAAAATTTCAATTTGTTTGATACCAATTACAAAATTACTAGAGCAAAGAACTTATCCTTACATAACGATAAAATCATTGCTGTCTCAGTTTAAAATAAATAAAAAGGAAAGTCAAAATTACAGCAAGAGAATTTTAGTCCTTAGAAAGGATGCAAAAATCAAAATTGGATGCTCCCTGAAATCAAGTCTCCATTTTATATCGATTAAAACGGTATCATCTATTAAAATTATGTTAGACTCTCTAATCAAGCCAATCCAAATTCCTCAAAATTATGTTTATACTTAAAGTCCTGAAAGAAGATCTGCCAAGAAACCCCCATTAGCATCAGATCTCAATAGTACTCTTTGTCAATAATTGTTACCCTAATATAGAAATAATACAAGAGCATTTCAAACTATCAAAAGTTTTATCCGAAAATGATTCTAAATAAATGTTATATAAGATTTATTTGTAATTTACTTTTTATTATTATATCTATCTCCATTAGAAGGCTTCCTTTATAAAATTATATGTTAAGATTTCAAGTATCTAATTATTTAGATCTTTTAATAATTAAAAATACACAAAATTGAATGATGTCAGTAAATGGATTACTAATTTATATTGATATATAATGAAAATCAAGAGTAATAATGAATAAAGATCCTCTCTATGCAGTGTATTAAGAAACATCAAAATAAACAATATTAGGTTCTTAGAATTATAGAAGTATAAGATTCGATATTATTCTTATTTTTGAAAGTGTTTTTGAACTATCAAATACATATAAGATTCGCAAAAATTAAAAGCATTTCCAGCAACACTTAGTATATCTTAAGAGATATATATTAGATTAATTTATAACCGAAGGAAGAGTATAAAAAATGTAATCTCTTTTCCAAAACCTGAAAGTTAATGAAATACATCCAATATGCATAGTAGAAACAGTCTTTTGAATATCAGAGATTAGGCTTTTTACGTTACTTATAAATTAAAATTACTTAGAAATGGAATGATATAAAATTATTAATATTTTCTTTTAATAAAACAAATGAAGAGATTATTGAGGAATGCTCAAATTTTATCAAAATAATCGCGATATTACCATCATGATCCAGCCAGTAGAGCCTTAGTGGGTAAGGATTCAATTTTATGTAATTCAGGATCACCTTAAGAGATTGCTCCTCCTGTGCACTTCAAATTATATTATCTCCCAGACAATGTTGCCAAGACTGGATAGGGTATGAGACACCCTCACTTTAATGCATATTAAATGGAAGGAGTTACCACATATGACAATTGGGAATACAAGTAGATTGTTAAAGTAATCTAGATATTATGGCTAATGGTGGCATATTGGATCTATTTTCTGGAATTCTTTAATGTTATTCTACCCCTTATTATTGTGGCTTGTTATCGAGTAGAGTCAGGTAATTAGAGATCATCTAACAAGCTTAGCAAGAAGCACTTTTGGCGAAGGATGACATGTTTAAGAAATATTTCAACGAAGCTGGAGGATTCTATTAATACACATTCATAGGCCCAGAAACCACTTTAAATTATTGAAGCATTCATTGAAAAATATAAAAATATATTAAATATTACATAATGAATTCCATTCCTAAGATAGGGGATATGTAAAGTAATTTACAATCTATAAGTTCTAGCCAAAAGCAAACCCAAGATATCTAATAATACAGGTTTGCCACCACTTCTTTCTCCCAGAGTCAAAATTGATCCAATTAAAACAGCTCAAATTCCCCAGGCATTTAGATCAATATCTACAGTGAAGAAGAAATCTATTGAGAAGAAGGAAGACACTAGGCCAGTTACTGACAATACATAAAACCAGAAGTGCTATCCATCAGGTAAAAAATAGAGAGCATAGGGACTCATAATTCGTAAACTCTAGAATCGGCAATCTAAATTATAAACTACAAATTAGGAACCGCATGAATAGATTCTTAATAAATTTTAAAGTCCTGCAGTCAGAATGCTTGAGTTCCCAATAAATGGTATGGATTCCCCATTACATAGACTTCCATGATGATACACTAATAAAGGAAGAAGTGTCCCAACAAATGGAACAAGTAACAGAGAATAGATTTACAACAATGAAGAATCAATCTTTCTCTAGTTCTTAAAAGTTTGCATTAGAATCTTCAAATTCCAATAAATAAGTCTAAGATTCCTCTTCGAACTCTTAGTTTGATTTCAATTCTTAAGTTCCTACCTTCACAGAAGGGGAAATGATTGGTGCTGGTTCATTTGGATAAGTATACATAGCTCAAGAGAATAGAACAGGCAAGATTTATGCAGTAAAAAAGATAAATCTAAAGGGAGACTTTGATTAGGAGGATTTGAAAGGATTGAAAAGTGAGATAGAATTACTTAAAAGTATCAAACATAAAAATATCATCCGTTATGTTTGGAATTGTGAAAATGAAGATTATTGGTTATTATATTTGGAATATTTATCTCAAGGTATTCGAATTCCTTATTTTAGGCACCCTAACTTAATTAATCGAGAAGTTTGGGCCACTCCAAATTAATACAATTCAATAATATTCTAGATAAATATTACAAGCTATATCCTATTTACACGAGAACAATATCATCCACAGAGATATCAAAGGAGCCAATTTGTTATTAGGAGTTGATGGTGAAATTAAATTAGGAGATTTCGGGTGCAGTAAAATCAAAGAGAAAACCATTTAACGTTCTAAATAGAGTGGGGACATCTTGCATTCTCTCAAAGGGAGTATTCCGTACATGGCTCCTGAAGTAATGCCTTATTTCACTTTTAGGTTGCTAGTTAAGATGAGAATTGCAGGGCTAGTGATATTTGGTCATTTGGATGCACTGTCTTGGAAATGGCCACAGGAAAAAAACCATGGTATGAACACAATTTCGATAATCCTTTGAGTGCTCTTTTATATATTATCACCGATAATTCACTTCCTCTAATACCTGACGACTTGGATCAAGATCTACAATCATTTATACGACTTTGTTTATAAAGGGATCATAAATAGAGACCGACTGCCATGCAATTGCTATAACACTAATTCATAGTTAATTAATGATTCAATTCTACTTAATTTATATTTCATTTTTAATAATAGTCAAACTCTTTGAATTCATCCTAATTGACTAGATTGTTTTCAGGTGCATAAGAGTTTATAGCCTCTTCAGCAGTAAACTATTTGTCGAAATTTTCTAGCCATGCCTCCCCCTATATTTATGGTTTAAAAGGAGCTTCGACCTCCTTCTTTAACAGCTTCTCCCAATTCACTCCCTTAAACCATGGATGATTTTTTATATCTTCAGTTTTATTGTATCCTAATCTTTATTTTGCATCCTTAATTGTTAACTATTAAAATTAGGGATGTAATATTACTTTCTGGATAAAATCTTTAGCTTCATTAGAAATCTAAGGAGTAGTTGGGAAACTAATATCTTTATTTTAAATCTGTTTAAACATTAGATCTTGATTTTTGTTATAAAATGGAGGTAGTGCATACAACATCTCGTAAGTGAGTATGCCCAATGCCCACCAATCTGCAGCCATTGAATGACCAGTTTCTAGAAGAATTTCAGGAGCCAAGTACTCAGGAGTACCACAAAAGGATTTAGCCAACTCATTTGTTTTTAATATCTTGGACATTCCAAAATCCGTTAAACAAACATGACCTTGATCATCTAAGAGGACATTTTCTGGTTTTAAATCTCTATATATAATGTTTTTTGTGTGCAAATGTTCTAATGCCAAAATCTATTTAAAAATGAAGATAAGCATTTACAATTTCTGAGACATAAAATTTAGTTCTATTCTCTTCAAATCTTTTAACATGTTTTAGATGTTAAAACAATTCACCTCCTTTCATGAATTGAGTCACAAAGAATAGTTTTTCAGGTGTCTGAAATGCCCAATTCAAAGAGACCAAAAATGGATGATTTATGTGTTATAAAACTATCCTTTCTGTTTTGGTGTGCTCCAATTATTCAGGATCTGCCACATCTTCTTTGCGAATGGATTTCATAGCATAATATTACTTATCGCTCTTTTTCTCTACTAACATCACTTTACCATATGCTCCTCTGCCCAATACTTTGATTAAGTCAAAATCATCTATGGTGACAACTTCTCCTTTCTACTTTGCATACAATGTCGATGTCTTTGCTCTGGTTTGTAATCGTTCTTCTGTCTGGGAATCTAATCTCTTTCTGAATTACTCCTCGTTCATCAATTCCGATCCAGTTGTTGGTAATCTATTGATTCCCTTTTTTTTATCAACTTTTGTAGTTGTGTAGGCTGTGAGAGTGAGTTCATCTTTGTAGAATATTGGAAGTGCAGCTCCTTTGTTTTATTAGCAATAGGCTTTGATTATGCTCAGTACGGCATAATCTCTTCTTTCTGAACTCGAGTATCGGTAATCATATTCTTCAGGGACATGCACTACAAATTCTGTTCCAATCAAACCAATGGTTATGGCATAGACTCTTCTAATTGGGATTTTTCTCTTTACAGTCAATTTTGATAGATTATACAGATTATGTGTTGTAATGAGAATCGTTCTTTCTTATCTTTTATTGACTTCATTAAATTTGTAGAGCAAACTTGAAAATAAAACATGCTCACCTGGCTCTAGAATTTTTGTGATAGATTTTTCATTTGCTAGATGCAAATCATCCCAAGACTCTTATTTCATTAATTATAATATTTCTAATTTCAAATTTATTGAAACTGTAAACATTTTCTGATTATAAAATCATTTCTTAGATTAAATTTATGATGATATGATTCAGTAGATAATGTAAGTAAATTTGAGAGACAATTTGATAATTTTTGAGAATTTGGTTCAAAAGACAATGTATATGAAACTTAATCAATTCTGGCGAACCTGTTGATTTAGAGAACAAACATCAAAAATGGTCAACTCAAATTAGAATTATTAATTAAGCGAAAATTTAATTTTTTTAATTAATTTGAAGAAACATACATAAGTGGATAAAGATAAATTTTTGTTCTCAATAACATGATCATATCAATTCACTATAATTAGGCTGTTATCTTAGTTAACTCCTCAACCTCATTTTCATTCAAAAACCAACATTCATTCTTTCTAATAACACATAATTCGATATTTTTGTTGCCACTCTCAACCACATCCATCAAAGCCTATTTTAGTTGATCAAATCAATAAACATACTTTAGTAGTAAGTAAAAGAGCATCCTTCTCATGCAATCCTTCTCTCCAATGCTTCTCTAAGAAATCTTTCACTTATTTTGCACTCTTCCCCAATGAAGTGGCCTTCCATTCTGAACAAGCCCCAGAAGGATCAGTTTAAAAGAGTTTTGGCTTATTATTACTAAATCCTGCAATCAGCGTTGAAATCCCATAAGGTCTAGCACCTCCTCTTTAAGTGAACTTTTGCTATTGTTGACTAGTAAATTTGGCAATATAATCAACTGAAGGATCATCCTCGTAATAGATCTTGTATTGCTAACATTACAATCTAGTTTGATTTGCCAAGATTCTTGCATCTGCATTCAACCCAGAAAAGGTCATGCAAAGATTGTGATCTATACAAATATTATACGATTAAAGTACCCAATTGGTATACTTTCTTGATTGTTTTAACATCTTGCAATCTTGATGCCGATTTCTTTTCTACTCCCAATATTATAGCATCCTTTCCTCTTACTCCAACGCAGCAGAGACCTCTCTTAACTGCTTCCATAGCATATTCCACTTAAAACAATTAACCATCTGGAGAAAATACTGTGAGTGCTGTGTCGTATGACATTATTTAAAAAAATATTATTAAAATTCATCCTAATCTTAAGTAATCATCCTCTTCTTCAACGTCCCAACCTTTGAATTCAATGAGATCATTGTTCCATATCTTTATAGGTCTTTTTTATTAGGTTATCAAACCTTAACTAACACTTCTTTATTGCGAAGGAATTACTTTGATCTTTGCTTTGATTTCTGGACTAGGAATGCATATAACAGACGGTTCTAGTTGATTTGAGGAGTTTTCGATAGCTAAATTCTATAAAAACATATGTTATTATGGTTTCTTTTTAAAAGGCCCATTTAATTCTTCTAATGATTTATCGACAATTTTTCTAGCTGATTACGGTTTCTTGTCTATAATCAACAATTTGTGATCTTATTGGATTTCTTGGAGATTATTATAGAGGGCCATTTTGTGAACAGAATGAATGGGTTTATTTTTTTCAAATAGTCGAGCTTTTTGCAAATCACCCAGTTCTTTTTTTAATTAATTTATTTTTTTTTCCAAAAATGATGAACTTTTAGAAGAGCTGTTATTAGACTTTCTTTGTCTATCTTGAGTTTGAATGATACTGGAACGAGAAGATTGAATTTATTCAAAGACTGATTGTCTGTGTTTATAGGGAGTTAATTTATTGTTAATGACAAATTTGATTCCTGGTTTGATTTGTCTCACCTGTGTAAATTACTCTCTTTAAGTAGGATTGAGTAATTGATCAATTCGATTTGCTACATGTTCAAGATGAAGTATATTGAAGGCTTTCATTTTTTGGGGTTATTTTCTTGAACTTTTCATTTTAATCTTAACAATATATATTATTAAAATAGTGACTTATAAAAATATAATCATTTCATTATTCAAATTAGGTAAGCTATTGCAAAAGATCAGCATCAATCTGTTTGCTCTGAAGCTATTAAATATTATTCTCAGGCATAATATCATCAATCTATGTCAAAGAGACCTAACTTTCACACAAATTTAGTCCAAACAAATCTTTCACATTCTTACCCGAAGTTTGTACTTGTAAATTTCTAACATTTATGGATGTCTCCATTCCAGAATTGAAATCACTGATGCTGTTCTCACTCTCAAAAATGGTTATCGTGTTGATGTATTTGATGGTTTCCTTCTTGTTCCCCATTCTTTAATGGATCTAAGTCGAAGATAATAATTTAAATTATTCCAATCTCTATTTTAAACTATCTTAATTGTAGCTACACGCATTTATTGACACTTCCAAACTCTTATTCATCTCTTTTGGAGTATCTTCCTCCTAAATTGCGTCAAATCTCCTACTCTTTAAAAGAGTGTTGGCTAATTCCTAATTGAGAATCATTGCAGAATTTATCAGAGTTTTGTTGTACAGATCACTGTTTTGGCTGCTCTTACTTACATCAATATCATCTTTCACAATTTTAATCTTGTTTGGAAATGTGTAGGATGGAACCCAAATGTGCCTCAATGCCTCTAAGTTAGAACCGGTAGATACCTGAAGCATTCAATCTTTTTAAAGGATTCCACATCATAAGTCTCTTTATGAAGTCTCTACAACTAGTGGGCAAATCCAAGAAGACCTACTTGTGGAACGGGTCCAAAGATGGTTCTCTATATCAAACTTAAAGATAATACCTTTGCGAAAGAATCTCAATTAAATCACCAGTGTATTCAGAAGTATACGGTAAAATTCCAGTTAGACATTAATATATCACAACACCGATCGCCCACAAGTCAACCTGAGAATCATAACCATAATCTCTATAGATTTCCGGTGCTCGGTAGTGAATATTCCCAGTAATTGTCATCATTTTATTTCGGTTGTACCTTAATGTATTTTAATTAATGGTGACAAATCTTCTTGAAACTCCAAAATCAATCAACTTGATCTTGTAATCCCTAAGTGGATAAAGAGTAAGACTTACGTGCAAACTTAAATGTTGTCTGGTTTTATGTCTCGATGACAGACTCCTGCCTTGTGCAAGCATTTCACTGCCTTCAACAAAGTCAATGCTATCTATTACACGTGTTTTTCTTTCAATTTCTAATTCTGTTTCAGGAGGGTCTCCAAATTAGAACAAGGGACCCATTCCATTAACAAATATAACTTTGTTTATTCAATGAACAATTTATAACATTTCGCTATAAACGGGCTTTTTAGTAATTGTGAATTGATAAAGGCTTATTTCACCATACTAATTATCTCCTCGTCGTCCGTTGGAATAACTTTAACTGCGTATTTCGTCTAATCGTCTTTCTTAGGCCAACACAACCACACAATACCATTTGTCCCTTCTCCTAATTTCTCTCCCAAGGTGTATTCGTCCAAGAAGCAGTTATTCTTCAATCCAATTTGATTATTTTCAACATTATTAGAATGTGTGTCATGATCGCTTAAGTCCGAACTTTACATTTGCTATTGAGTTAAAAGTGGAGTTCTAGTTTTCCTCTCAATAGTTTCCTCCACTGGTGAAAAATTCGATTCAGAGTTTAGAAACCCTTTAATCTTCTACATTCTCCTCTAGAATTAAGATTGTTAAGGTTAGCTTTATATCATATTTTTATTTTAAAGAACCAATAAACAGAATGCATTAAATTTATTATAATTTCTTTTTTCATAATATCCGATAAAATTTGAATCATAACCAAAGAAATGGCATCTCATTTCTGAACCCTATTTATCCATTGTTAAAAATCTCTTTTTTTATGGAATATTACTTGTTCTGATTTATTTCGAATATATAATTATGAAAATAAGTAAAAGGATATAAATGACATTTTTAAGAGCAAATTATATTTCAATTCTAAAAACTAAAGCAAAATTGTATAAAATTCCCTGAACTACATAAAATACTCGAAAAATTCCAACATAACAAAAATTCATATAGGAATCAACTTAATCAAATTAATAAACTTGAAATAAATTTAATATTCAATTTAATGAGAAGATTTTAGATGGAATAGTAGGAAAAACTTAATTCTTAAAGATTGAGGGTTTTTAATTGAATAATCTCTTAAAAATGAGGTCCAGTACATCAATCTTGCTTAGTTGATTAAGTGTGTGGATTAAGATCAATGAAAAATTCATATAATTATCTGATACTACATTTAATGTTATTTAATGTGAGTAGGATTGATTGATTCCCAATAATTTTGATTAATATCATTCATTTATATTATTTTATTTTCTTCAATTCATCTATCTTTTTAACATTCTCTCTTTACGCTTATCCTTTTGCACTGCTACAACTTCCAAATACAGAGTAAAACATAGTTTATCAAATATATGAGAAATATATTAGTATTATTTAATCAAACAAGAGAAAATAATTTACCTTCTCTCCAAACTCCCTTGGTGATATGTCCATGAGACTCTGTGAATTCTCCAGTCCCATGTTGTAAACCATTCATCCATTACCCAACGTATTTTCGACCATCAGCAAATTAAAATGTTCCGAAACCTTATCTCTTATCGCTTTCATATTAACCAACATAAACTCGGCCTTAAATCGAATAATCAAATAATACCGTCAGTCCAGGATAAGATTCCCTAGCCGTGCATCATTCCGTTTTTCCAGTCTCCTTAATATCTTCTTCCATCAGGCCATATCTTTAATATTATTATAAAACTACAAACTATCCTTTCCCTTCAAACTGACCATTTACAAACAAACCCTCATATTTTTCCTTATTATTAAATATTAAAACTCCTTGGCCATGTTTTAAGCCATTCCGAAAATGCCCTACTTTTGTTTGTAGAATAATACCTTTATAATGAGAGTCAATCTTCACTTCAATACCATATCCATTATATTTATCATTGAACCATGAGCCTTTAAAGGGAATAATAATTTTATACCTTCATAAATCGAGCCATCCGCATAATAATACACTCCTTTACCATGCATGTAATTCAAATGGAAGTCCCCACAATAATACCCTCCTTCCGAATCAAAAAATTTACCTTTTCCACTAGCATAACCATTAATCCACTTTATGTAATTTAAAATTAATTACCTCGCCTTCATATCTGCTAGAATCAACAAATTTGTATTCTCCTTCACCCTAAGGTTTTTTTTTGTACCAGTATCCAGTGTAGCGTCCACCATTTCTCATCATAATGGATGGTAATTTTAACTTTTCTTTTTCACTCTTAGCTATTAATCGATTATCTTCCTCATTCAAAAGTGACAATAATTCTTTTTCGAATAATTTCTCTTCACGTTCTTAACTTTATTTGCTTGATTTATTTGTACAGATAGAAGGTCTAATTTAACAGGATTCTTCTAAAGAATCAAATTCAGGAACATCATCTGAGTGTGCTTATGGTACTTTTGAATTAGAGTAAACCTTGGCTATCTCAAATAATTTTCTGTATTTTTCTTAAGAACTTGATTTTGGTTTTCTATTTTATAGATTTAGGTCAAACCTTTGTGAACTTTCGATGTCAAACTCAAAAACAGTCTAAAAACATTCAGTATGAACTTTAGTATGCTCAGATTATTCTAGCATCCTCTATTTTCAAGATCAATTAAATATTAAATATATAATCTTAAGCATGAAATTCTAATTTTTTATGTTGTTGAAACGAAACAATCGGTAAGTTTAATTTATGTTTCACTACTAAATCAAGGAATCAATTTGTTTTATTTCGCCAAAATTACAAAATTTACTTTGTGATATTGTAATATAAAATAAATACTTTATTTACATTAAAACAATTCTTTACTATAAACTTAAATTAATTATAAACCAAAAACTATATAATTCCATAATTATTTTCTAAAATGCTCCACACTTTAATAAAGTGCATTTATAGATAATTGCTAACTTTATTAATAAGAATATGAAACATACAATAAATGTAAAATATCAATACTCTTTGTCAAAATTAAGTTGTTCTAATAAATCCAATTTAAGTTATCCTAATATCTTTGAATATGGACCACTTAATTTTTCAATTTGTTCTTCCTCAGTATTTTTTTCTATTGAATATGATGATATGTATTACCTTTATTGTTACTTTAAGCAGTCGATTCTAACATAGATAATAGATCTGTTTTCTCCATTTGTTTTAATGAAGCGTTATCTTAATTCACAATGGCTTTAGATATTGCTGATTTAAAGCGTTGAATTCCCATAATTTTCTCTTCCAAAGTATCCTTAACAATCAATCTAAACACTTAAACAACATTCTTTTATCCTATTCTATGAGCTCTATCCATTGCTTATTGATCATTAACAGGATTATAATCATGATCAAACATTATCACAATATTTGCTGAACTTAAATTCAATCCCAAACCACCAACCTAAGTTGTAAGAAGCAACACTCTGATGTCTGGATCCTCATTAAATTTAGTTACCAAAGGGTATCTTTAAGTTTAAGGAACACTTCCATCTAAAATTAAATATTATAATCCTGGAAATTAGGTTTTTAATAACTGTTCAGCTATCAATTACAAGGCAGCTCTAAATCTAGAGAAAACTAAAACTTTATTAAAGTTAGTATAAATTGTAATTTAATCTCCTTGAGTTTATTGTTATGGAGCATCATCTGTTGATTAAAATCCCAATTATTATAAAATATCTTTCAAAGCAATCATCTTTCCTGAATGAGAATAGCTATCAGGTTTTTCTTGCTTGTCTAACAGCTAATTTATTTCTTACTCAGCTAACATCTCGATACTTTCTGTTTTGACTTTTTTCTTTGGTCTTTTGTTTGGTAAAATCACACTTCTGACTAAAATTGGATGATCTAAGGCTTATCTTAATTTATGTAATAATTTCAGAACAGATTCACAAACCTTATTTTTTTACTCTCCTTAAGTTTTAGTAATTTGTTATTCAATATCAGTAGAAAATGAATTAGATTCTAAAATTTAATAAATTTGAGATTGCAATGGTTCTGATAAAGTACAGTAATAATCTCCTATTATTTTAGCTGGTAATTGTGGTAGCACATCTTATTTAGTTCTTCTCATTATAAAAGGTAATACCTTTTTATGAAGCAATCTTAAAGTCTTAATTTATTATTCATCAAATAGAATTTCATCTTCAGTCAATGAAAAAATATTAGTGTGAAAAGCTTTAGAAAAATTCTTTTTAAAATATTCTTCATCACCTAAATAATTTGGCAATAGAATATCAAAAAGAGACCACAATTCCAATAGGTGATTCTGAACAGGAGTCCCAGACAATACTATCTTATGTTTTGCTTTCAAACTCCTTATTACTTTACTGGTCTTATTCTTGCTGTTCTTTAAAATGTGAGCTTCGTCTAAGATTAGAAAATAAAATTCTTGATTTAGAAAATTTTGATTTAATTTTAGTAATTAATTGTAAGAGACCATAATAAAATTGCCTGAGAAGACTCCATCATATATATGAGGTTTCAGAACAGCATTACTTATATACTTCTTTGTTTCTGCATACCAATGATCTACAACTGTGCTTGGGGCAACAACAAGGGACACCAAATTTTCATTTTTTCTTTTAAATACTTCATTTGCTAACACTACTAATGTTTAAATTGTTTTTCCCAAACCCATATCATCACATAAGGCAGCATGTAGATTATATTTAATTAAAAATCCTAACCATCTAATACCGTCCCATTAATAATCTCTTAAAATGCTGCGATCTTTTATTCCTCCTTCCACTTTATAATCAACTTTGGTCATCTTACCAAATCCTAATTAAAATTCCTTAGCCTTTTAAAATTTATTAATTAATTGTGGTGATGTTGGAGAATAGGGTGCTTCCATAATAGTCAATATGGGCACTAAAAATCCAAACAACTTGCCTGCTGCTTAGGCTGTATTTGGGTCTTTTGCAGTCAACTTTTTGATAGCTTTCAAAGTTAGAAAACCACTTATAGGTGCTAATGAAATTGGATATTCTTTCAAAATTATATTCAAAATCTCATACATTCCATTTTCATTCCTTTTCAGCATTTGATTTATTTGCATTATCACTTGATCGAATACACTAATATTCCTTGAAACCGATAGGAAATGAATAAATTTAGCACATAGTTTAAGTAGGGTATTCTTTAATACTGCTAACTTTTTAAATGTTTAATCAAATTCTATTTATATTCCACCCTTCAGATCATCCAAAATTATTTTATTATTATCGTCATCACTTATATTACTTAACACTGGTAAATAGTTCAATAGTTTTGACAATAAGTATTAGGCCCATCTGTCAAAATCAGGATGCTCTGGATGTTACATGAATAATGAATACGCATTTTATATCAGACCTATCCCCCATAAATTATATTTCAAATCCTCTACTCTTATAGTTAATTTAGTTTTTTAAGTTATCAGAGTTGAATTAAATCTTAAGTCATTTGGTATATAATTCAATTGTTATAGGAAAAGCCTCTCAAAAAAGAGATGCCAAAATTAGAAATCAGTTTAATTTCTAAGCAAATGCCAAATCAACCTTTTTCTCCCATAATCCTTTCCTAAAAATATCTTGATATATCATACTTTTCAATTCATTCTTCTAGGATAAGATATATTAGACTGCTTATTATGTACTCTATTTAACATAAAGAGATGTTAAATCACAACAGTTGGGATTTAACTACATCTATCTGGATAATCTTTCTGAAGCAATATCCTAAATTAAATGAAATTTGTCTATTCTTAAATAAATAACAACTTTACCTTATTCTTTAAATTAATGATTCAGTGTGATCTGAAGTTAATACCTTAAAGTTCAAGCTCAGCTCATTGCTCAATTTTGTAAACGATTATAAACTTTAGACCAAATCTGATGTGGTATCCTATAATTTCTATATTGATTCTTAATCCATCTCATAGTCAATTTGACTCAACTACTTCAGTTAATTTAGAATAACAGGATATAATTATCTCAGCTTTGGTGAATGAGCAGGGGCAATTGCAAAATCTCCATAAATTTTCACAAATCCTTATATGATTGCTAAATATTCTTGTTCTTTCTCAATTTACATATAGTTTTTCAGTAATATATTCAACTGTTGCATCGATACTTGAATTTTGAGATCTAATTCATCAAAACAACATCCATTTTAACTACTAACATCCACTTCTTGATTTAGATCTTTTTTATTATTTATGTAATTTTTGAAGGTGTATATAAAATTAATCGGATCTAAATCAAAAGTTATTTAATGATTATAATTGATATCTTTAATCAAATAAGCAGTCTTTATCATTCTATATGTCTAATTATCAATAGGATTTTAAGTATATTGAGCTAAGTTTGGATAGTGTATATCTATAGATTCTCGTTTCATACCATCAAAGAGATAAAAATATTTCTTAAATTGATGATCAGTAGAGAAATTGTGGACAAATTAAATAAATTCATATAGTTATTCTTCTTCTAAATGTTTTGATAATTGCTCAAGGATGCTCATTAAATTTTGGAAGGTCTCAAGTTTCTCTTCAAACACTCCAGTCTAAAATATGATTTTCATGAAGTTTATGGTTCTAGAATCATTTTATTTTTAAGTCTACTGCTTTGAAAAAGCTAATAAATATGAATAAAAGGATTCTTTGACTTCTACAATTCTATGAAAGAAGAACATTTTCAAAATTTCAACTTCTCCTTAAAATTGTTTCTGTATTTTAAAACCTGCTTGAAAAAGTGCACTTAGAAATTAGAATATTGATTTGCCTGCAAAACTGATATCATCTTATTTTTTTAATTATTCCATAGTAATGGAATAAACAGTAGTAAAATATTTCTGATTCAAACCTAACAATAGAAATTCCTTCCATATATCTGCCAATAATTCAAGAATCTCATCTTCATTGTCTCTTTAACCAACTTACAAAAGCATTTCTGAGAAATTATCAAAAATCACTTACAAATGATCTTTCAATAAACCTTTAACTAAGAATAAAGCACTCTAAGAGACTTCATATATTTATACTCTTTAACCTTCCTCAATGAAATCCTTTAATAATAGAACAAACTTCATAAAACTATCAGGATAATGAATCCAAATATTAGTGTTGTAATTTCTATCTGTTAAAAGCGTGATAGCAGTTTAACATGCTGCTTCTCTTACAATCATAATAGTTTAATTTCCAAAGTAGTCTGCAAATCGATCCATCACAATTAATACACAACATCTTGTTAATAAATATTCCAATTTATTTAATTAGCCATTCTTATCACTAATATATTCTATTAAGTTGGCTCTCAAAATGCCATTAATCTCCTTTTCATCCCCTTTTATTAAATAACTAAATCCTAAATTTAAAAATCCTTTTTGTCTAACAATTGATTTCAAAACTAGGGCACTTGCATGCCTTTCCTACCATTTATGATTCATTAATTCATAGACTGCTCTATTGTAAATGACATTAAAAGGATTTATTACACAATACTTTGTATTTTAATTCTTCTTCTAGGCCTATGGTTTCTTTTTTAGATTGGTTTCTGGTTATTTGGCTTTAGTTTTATTCCTTTTCCTGTATTAACCTACTGCATCATCATCACTAGAACTCTCAACGATCTCTTCAGATGAAGAATGCATATCAATAGGTATCTCTGCATCTCCTTGCATAAATTCTAACAATCTGGTAATATTTGAGAGATTAAAATTCCCAGACAAACCCATCAATCTCATAATTTCTTCTTATTTAATGTCAAGTGTTTCATCATCTAATTTTTAATTTTTATTCTCTTATGATCTTTTTAAGTACTTCATGTCTTTCCCTAGAATTGCACTCCCATCATTGATTAGATGAATGAAATCAATTTATTCACTTTTTAGCTTAATGTTTGATTTTATTTCTTCGTAATCGCGAATTTACTCTTATTGCATTGTGTCATCAACTTATTAATCTAATATTGGTTCAAAATGAAACAAATTTTCAGGGATGGAATCATTTGATGATGATAATAAATACTCTTCAAGTCGTTCGCTAAGTTTATTCAAAATAAATTACTTGTATATCTTGTAGGTTCTCTCGATTATTGCAGCGGCGATCTAAGAATGTTCTAAACGAAGACGAGGATCTTAGGCTCTTGAATATATTAATTTGTTTGTTTTTCTTAAAATTTAATAGAGACATGCAGGGTAATCATTATATACATTCACTATTTGAGCCAAAGCCAAGCTAAAGAGTTATTGATTCTTGAAATCATTGAATAATGCAAAAAGTTTATTTATTTTATCTTCCATTTATTTTTTAATAAAATAAATGAAAAATTTTAGGTGCCTTTTAAAGTTCTGTACATCAAGAAATTATAATATAATAAATATAAAAATTATTAAATAAAATTTGCAGTCAATTAAAACTATTAATAGAACCAAAAAAAATCCATCTTGATATTAATACCCACTTTAAACTCAATTAAATTCAATTTCGGATAAGACATAATTTAACGAAGGCAATTATTTTAAAATGAATATTTGGCTATAATGTTATTTTAAAACTTAAAACCTTAATTTGTTTAATTATTAATGAATAATTGATGAATACGTTTAATAATACTAGTTTTATGCATATTTACAAATATTTTTTCTTAATATATAAATTTAAACTTTAATTAAGTTTATTGATTACTTTTATAGAGCAAAAAGGAGAGGTTCAGCGTGGAATTAGCAACTACTTTCCTTATGAAAATGGGAGTCATGAGAACATGGGAAAAATTTTAAAACAGGGAACGATTTAATAATATCAGAGATTCAAAAAGTCTTTAGGAACAATTTTATTTCTCAATGAATTCAACAAAATTTTTTATGTTTAAATATTGATAATGTTATATCCAAATAAAATAGCAATCATTCCTATTCCAAAATGTTTATTGTTCCATCTGATTTTACATAATAAGGGTTGTGTCGATCAGAAAACTTTTTTGCCTTAATAGCAACATCATTTATAATCAATGGCTTAATCCATTCTTTTTTGATTAAAAATTTACTACAATATAAAGTATATCGTTACCTCTCATCCCCAATAATAGCGCCGTCGTCTATTGGTAATATAATCATTAGAAATGATCCTTTTGGAAAATGGGAGGAAACTTCCTTAATCTAAATCCGGCTCAAGCTGCCATAACCTTTTTTTATAATCGTTTATTAACACCCTTTGAAGATTGATTGGTTTTTGTTATTGTGAGTGAGTTTTTTAGGAATCTTGTCATAAGTCCAACTAATATTACTTGCTATACTTACATTTGCAATTCTACAAGGAGGTTTATTTACATTGATTATTGTTTTTTCATTCTAAACAAGCCTTAGTTTGATTTGAAAGATTCTGTTTCTATAACATGGAAGCTCTAATTCTTCTTCCATTTAAAGCTCATATTTATATTACTGATTCTTGAGAATTTGTATCTCATCAATTCTTTGAGGAGGTTATTTGTTACACATTTTAGAAATTAGTTGATTCATCTTCTCTAGTTGTTTTTGTAATATTTCAAAAGTTTTTTACTTTTCTGTGTATATTACTTGAATCTACTCACTTTAGTTTTTTATTTATTCTGCTATATGAGTAGATAACTCATTAAGATTGAAAGTCATGCTCATTAAACAGTTTGGATTTAGCATATTCATTAATTTTTTAGTAATTAAAAGATAATCAGAGGTATAATACAAACTTGTGTTATATTCTTATTGAAATTAGATACTGTATTCAATGTTGTAATAATAAAGAATTTAATTGGTATTAACATTTGCTATAATATCATTAAATTCATATAAGAAATTGTATCAATTAATAATAAAAACTTTAAAATATAAAACAAATATTAACACATTGAGAATGTATTAAGGTAGTAATTTTATTATTAATTTTTATAAATTTTATTATAGAAATTAAAAGAAAAACCTTTATCAACAAGGTTTGATTCTTAATCATTATATAATTATTAAATAATACAAATCATTAATCTTCCATTTGTTCAATCTCTTCACTTGATTCATCCAATTGCGGCCTTTTCTTGAAACCCTTACTTGGTAAGAAGCTTGAAGTAACAGTTTGAAACCTTCCATCTCTAAAGTTGTTCACCTCTAACATTTTCTGATGCAAATGAGTAATGCCCATACGAGTATTTGAATATTTCTTATAAGTCGAAAATTATCAATACCTACATAAAAGCTTGGCAAAAGTGACTTCCCATCCGACTCCCTATCCAACATTTATTTAAAATTTGGAGCTGTGGGAGTTCTAAAAAGCTTACTTTTTGGATCCTTAGAATAAACATCAAATTCAAAATAAGTTTCATGATTATAGGGTGGTATTTTAGTCATAATATCCTTTCTCTATTCTAATTTATCGAATGCAGCCCCACAACTGCCCAATTATCTAATTATTTATTAATTTATTCATATACTTTTTACCAAATTCAAAATTTGGATGGTAATCGGGAGCAAATTATTTCTTTTTATAAATAATCATTTGATCTCTAGACAATTATTTTTCTAATTAGACTGAAGGTGTTCTAGGAATCTTGCTCCATGAATCCGTTACATTTAAATAGGTAAATCTATCAGGATGAGGTGTTGGTCTTCCAAAAAATATGTCAGGTCTAATTATAACATATAAATTTATACCTTTATGTTTATCGTACTAAATCGATAAAACAGGTTCTAGAAAATCGAGGCCTATCTACTATTGGTTTGCTAAAAATGTATTTATTCATTACTTACTCAGTATTCTCAGGCTCTCCATGCTTTCCAGGCACTTCTAGAGGAATAGTTTACTTGAGTGATTTGTCATAATCATGTATTGAATGAACTGCCCTTTTAATCATTATTTCAATAAATACTTGTCAAGCTCACTGTATTTAACATGATATTGCCCGCAAGATGGTTTGCTGTCTTTACTTAGTTTTGTATAATGGCCTACTTATCTGGACAGTTGTCTTGAAAATGGCTAGGAAAGTTTGACTTGATTTTTGCGTTAAATCAATTCTGCTTCTGTTATTTATTCTTATGATTTCTTATTTGATATTTCTGGCATTTTCTTATCTACTTGTTGATTAACCTCTTCTGAAGATGCAGCTGATGAAGATTTCCCTTTGAAATACCTGGGCCTATTGTTAATGATCTCCTCTTTTCGTTGAAAAACTATATATTTCTCTGAAGTTATCTTTCCCGCTTTACTAAACATGTTTTGTAAATCATTCTGATTATGAATTAAGGCCATTATTTTTATAATTATATATATAAAATATATTTTTTTTCCATTTATTTATTATTATAATATTGTTCATATGACTCTAAAACAATTTTTACATAAATCTGGATATTACATATTTTATTCTTAGCCACTTTTTTTTACAAACTAAGGTTAATATAATTAATATTTAATTTGCATATTAATTTTTCTAACTATTCACAAAAAGTAAATGAATTATAAATTTAGAGTAATAATCACATTTTATTCAAAAATAAGGCGAAATATATTCTTCTTTCCGTATTAATAATATTTTTTATTTTATTGAATTAAGTACAACTTTTACTTAATTGGCAATATTTTCCATAATATAAGTTTCGTATGAAAGGAATAATCCTCGAATTTAATCCTCATCCTAATAGGCTATTAAATAATTTAGAATTATTTTACAAATCGATTACCCAGTAAAATTGTAACTTAAGACTTTAGTAATTCCATATTATAATTTCTTTCGGAATTTTAATAGAAATATCTAAAGTAATTACTTTCAAAATATTAGAATGAAGAAATTTATTACTCTATGATATAAAAGAAAATTTTAGGAGATTTAGATGCATTATCGAATAATAGGAATTAAATGCAAAGTAAAGAAAGTAGTTAAATTATATTTTTTATGAACAGAATCATATATCTGAGAATTTAGTTTGCATTTACAAAATTAGTTCTGAGCAACATTAAAAAATACTTAAAATAAGATGGCAAATTTATTATTAGAATTATTAATAAATTCAATCTCAATTAGTTTAATTAATATTGATTTTTGTAAGAGAAAATATTGATAAAATGATGGTATTACAAATTCAAAAATTATTGTTTCTAATATCATCAAACCATTAATTCATTAATAATTCTTTTGCTTATGGCCGGTTACTTGGATTAAATTATAGCATAGATTATAAAACCATGAGGGCTTGGTGATTTTGTTCTAATTGTGGAATTTTTTATGTTAATGGTTCACCTCTAAATTTTGGAAAAGAGAGTGTAAAATCGGGAAGCTTTGACAAACCGAAATAAGTCTCATCAGTTGGAGTTCCAAGTAACTTTAATATGAATAATAAAAATAAATACCTTCATTATTTTAAACAACATATCAACTTAACTATCACCTTGAAATAGTGGTGTACCAGTTAAGCATTCAGCCATAATGCAACCAACTGCCCAAATATCAACAGCAGTTCCATAATTGTCATCTCCAAGCATGAGTTCAGGAGCTCGATACCAAAGAGTAGCTATTTCCTTTGTGAATTTAGGCATTGGAAATGGGAATACTCTGGAGAGTCCAAAATCTGCTAATTTAATTGAATTTTTTTCATTCATTAAAATGTTCTGTGGCTTGAGATCTCTATGTAGAACTCTCCTACTGTGACAATACGATAAGCCTAGAAGTATTTAGTAAACGATAGGTTTTAACTGATTTAAAGTTAAAGAATTATTTCTATCCAAATAATTTCTTAGATCACACTACATTGAGTCAAATACTAGATATATCTACTTTTCTTCAATAAAGTACTTAACCTCAAACAAACTAAAATAACATTAAAATTATACCTTATAACATTTGGATGTTTCAACTTTAATAGTATTGCTATTTCTCTGATAGTAGTACTTGGAACACCTTCATCATGACGACTATCTAACTTCACTTTCTTTAAAGCAACCCATTTTTCTCTTCTCTTATCATATGCTCTTGTAACGATTCCATAGGTTCCTTCTCCCAATTTCACTTTTTGGGTAAAGTTTTAGAGAAAATTATTGTAATGAGTGTTCTCGTCTTACTCTATTTACATTTATTTGCGCAAATATTAATGATACTACAAGGTTCGCGGATATTTAAGAATTGCTATTTTTGAGTAATTTTTCAGTTCTAAATTCACAGAATAATATAATGTCTGGTCATAAGCAATTTTAGCGTATTAACTTGTAAATCATTAAAACCTACAAATTACAACGCTTCCCAATAATTTCAATATGCCTTGATCATTAATAAGGGAACGAACGTTTGTATTTTGGGACATGTGAGGAACCATCCAATCGGTTAGTGTCATTTCATGATTTGAACTTGTTTGTTAATAAAGCTTTTTATTTTCTTCATAGGAACACTCAGGAAGTCTATTAAGGTCTTATCCCCATCATGTATTATGCTTTTTATAGAAACCAATTTACGAATATGACATTTTTTGGACCTCCTGGAATATCTCAATTTATCATGTAAACCAAATATATGCTTGGAGTACGCAGTTTAGCTTTTGGGGCAATGGATTTGAATAAGGAAATGATAATAAAACAATAGAAATTTGGAATAGGAAATAAAATGTAATTCTTAGAATTGATCAAAACCTAAGTTGAGAGTCAGACTTCTAATTTAGAGTCAATTAATTAATATGTCCGGGAATAAACTCATCAATATGTGGTTCCAAAAGAATTCGTGGATTAGAATAAATATGTAGCATTGCAATATTCTAAAGTAAAATCTTTGTTTGGAAATAAGTAAAACTTGATATCTATATCCCTCTAGTCCTAATCTTACTCAATATCTAGTGACTTTTAAAGTTGAGTAACAAATAGATTATGAAAAATGTAGAAACCTAAACATTCCTCTAAGTCGGATTCCTGATATCAAAGAAGGAAGGTATTTTATCAATAACAAATAAATGACTATAGAAGATGTGAAAAAATTTAATCCCTAATTGCTGTAATAAGCCATTCTCCTTTTGGATTTTAAGACTGAAGAAGAAGTTGAAGACTTTGCTTCAAACATCTTTGAGCAATTGCAAGATGAATTAAAAATATACAGAGACGAATTCAAGAAATTCAATCAAAATGCAGATTTGAATCAGACACTCGTAATTGTTCATTATGCTGATAAGGAATTGTTGGATTCATAGAAATATCAAAATATAATTGAAAACCTTAAGAAATTAAATTATAAATTAGTCCATATTATAACTTCCTAAGAATATTATTGTGAGTTGGATCTAGTAAGTAAGAAGGATTTGGGCAGAGAACACTTTGGATATTATTATCTCGATTTTTTAAAATTTATGAAAACCAATTTGCCTGCTTTATTTAGAGGATAAGAACAAGTGAATCAATTTTAAATTAATCAAAATATGACAGATCTCAAATCATTATGGCCAAATGAGTCAAAATATATTCCTATGAGGATGAAAACAATTTAGATTATCAGTGGAACCCTATATTATGAAGATTTGAAAGTAAAGAGATAGGTTTCTTATTCATTATAAAAAGAAGAGAAGCAGTTATTAATTAGATTGTGTAAGGAGATTTCATAAACCTAAAATAAGAGCTATGAAGTTTTGATGTTAGGAACATCATCTTCTATTGAAAATTAATCTAGAAATGCGAGTGGAATACATGTTAAAATCAATAACGTTGGAATATTGATGGATTGTGGATAGAATACATTAAACTAATTTTACTTTAGTTGTTAGGATGATGGAGATTTCAAATAGAAAATAAGCGATTTATAAGTCATTTATATATCTCATTCTCACAACGATCACCATTAAGGTCTATATGATTTTATTAAACATAAGTGTGCTGTGTCAAAAGAACCATTTTTTTTGTTGCTCCCAAAACCAATTTATCTCTGGTACTCTTAACTATTTACAAACTTATTTAGAGAAGAATTTGGGATGAAAAGCTATGTAAATTAAGTCAAAATAGTATTCACAGATGCTTTAATCAGTTCAAATTTTTAGGAAAAAGCTTAGCCTAAATAAAAAAAAACATTTAATGTAAATCAGTTAGAATCTGAGGAATTTCCTGAAATTAATTTTTCCTCTAAATTTGATAACAATTTAAATAAAACCGAATTTTAGGAGTTTCTTTAGTACAAACAGTTACATTTGGATATAGAAATGACTTAACATTGTTAATATAGTACTGCAATTAAAATGAGTTCTAATGGAAAAACATTGGTTTATTCAAGCGATCGCTTGGGACAACTAACTAAATTCGGTACTAAATTTTCAAAATTTGCAAAAGATTGTGATCTATTAATTCATGAATGCACATATCCAGATGAGATGGTTGAAAAGTAATTAATTTCCATATATTATTATAGAGCTTTATCTGCTAAACATTCTACATTTTTATAAGCTTTCTTCAATGGCTACTAATTGAATGCAAAGAATTTAGTAATGACTCATTTTACTGAAAGAAGTCTTTTCTATTTAAAGCAATTCTTTCATGCAGATGGAAATTTAAACATACCTGCCTTCAAGAAGTTATTAGAATCATAATCTATTATGTCTTCTTAGCCATTTAATATTGATGATGCTGTCCAATATTTAGAAAATAATGTTGTATTTGCTTGTGACTTTATGAATTTTGGAGATGGAAATATTGATAAGTTAAGCCAAATATCACGTATAATTGTAAAAAGCCTTCTTCCTTGAGTATTCATTTATTTTATATATATATAAATAACAATAATATAATGGATGATTAGAATTAGCCAATACTATAAGAATAACCGAAACCCAAGTAGAAGAAACCCTTGCTTAATACTAAGATGGTCAAGAAACAAAAGATGCAGAATAAGAAGGAGGAGAATTTGAGAGAAATTTTAAATTTCTACACGAATCAAGTTGATGCTCGAAAGTTTTTATAAAAAATGAAAGCTGTTGTTGATTCTAATTAGCAAGAAAAGAAATATCAGGATGATTTCCTAAATCCAAACGAATATAATGAAATGTAGGATATTTATGAGGATTATAATATGGGAGATTTAGTCATAGTGTTTCCTAATCCTGATGCAGATGGAGTTAAAAATCCACCAATAACATATAAAGAAGCAGAGAAATTTTATGATGAAACTTTAGCATAAAAAAATGATGATGTCTCAGAATCATAATTAAAAAAGGAAAAAGAAGCATTTTTGTTAGCTTTTTTGATGTTGGATGACTATTAGGATGATAAAACCAGAAAAAAAATGAAAGAAGAAGAGGAAAAAAAGAAGAAAGAAAAAGAAGAAACTGCAAAAAAGGAGAATTAAGATTCAGTCGACAATGATTCAAAATCCCCACATATTGATAAGTCTCCACATCTTGAAAAATCAGTTTCAGAAATGAAAATGAAAAAAACGTAATAACTTAAACCTAGTCCCACTCCAACTTAGATAAAAAGAGAGAAACAGGCTGCGTCTTAACATTCTCAAAAAGAAAAACCTGAGCGATAAAAATTTCCCTCATAACATTCTTAGAAGGAGAACAAAGGGTCTAATTAAGAGAAATCTTAAACAAAATAAAGAGATATGGATATGGATTTAAGTGATTTTGATATGGATGTGGAAATGGAGGATTCTGAATTACATGAGGACAATGGAGATGGTTAACAAAAAGAAGAGGTTTAAGAAAATGAAGCAGATTAAGAGAATGAGGGTAAGAAAACAAAAAAGGAATTAAATAGTTATGAGAAATATTTGTAATTTATGGAAAAGTATAAGAAGATAGAGTAAGAGAAATTAGAAAGATTTGAAAAAGAAGAAAGGGAAGCACAGAATAGAAAGATGAAAGGTTAAGCTTTTAAGAAAGTCAATTAAGATAAGTCTGTGTCTGAAAATGATATTAGTGTGAACCAAATAGTTTAGTAAAAATCTTAACATGGTACTGGAGATGATACACAATATATGGATCCTATCAAAGAACTGTTTAAAATCAATTTGACTGATGCCAAACAATTTACTAAGGTTAAGAAACAAGTTAACTTAGGTAAATATATGGAAAAAGTGAAGGATGAAAATACAAATGAAGAAATTTGGATGTGTAATAATTCGCAACCTAAAGACTTTATGACTTTGATTAGATTTACTATCATAGAAAAGTTGATGCGTAATGCTTTCTTGCACTGTAGATAATTTATTTCTTCTAATGGTGCCCAAATATTTCTAGTTATTAAAAGTACAAAGTAGGTTGTTATGAGACAAGCCTAAAAAGTGAAAGTTGTAAAATAACTTGAATTAGGTTTTGCAGATCTATTCAGTTTAGAACCAGTTGATTATAAATTAAGACCATTAAGATTAAAAAAGTACTTAAGGTCATATTAATCTAATTCTGAAGAGGATTAAAGAATCTAAGCCAGATTGATAGAACTTAGTAATCAAACAAACAAGGAAGAGAAGATCATTTCATTAACTAATATCTCAACTCATTGTGAATAACTATATGATAAAGTGGTTCAATGGAAACCTTTTGACCTTAGACTTAATCTCATCTTAAAGCAGTTAGAGATAGATATGATATTAAAACCTTTGGCTATTGACTTAAACATTGATCAGAGTCAAGAGAAAGCTGAAATATTGAATGATGAACCTATCTCAATTCAAGAATGGTAATCATACTTTATTTATCTTGAATGCATACTATGTTTTGGCAAGCAGATCTAATCAATTAAAAGAAGTTCCTCTGAAGCCAAAGAAAGATTAAAAGAATTTGAAGCTTTTCTCTATAAACTAGTCTTTCGTAAAGCCATCAGCGATGCCAATGAACTTTGGTTTAAAAAGTACAAAACCATTTGGAAAGATATTAGTAATAATAGATTTATATTGTTTAACATTTGGGATAGATTAGAGATTTACCCAACTGCTCCTTACACAGAGTTTTTCATTCCACAAGGGGAATATGGTAGATAGATGTGGAGAAAGTATGAATTCAATGAGAAAAAGTAAAGGTCTGAGTTCTTAAATATGGAAAAGATTAAACTAACTCATGCGATAGTTTTGAAACATATCAACATTTAAAAAATGTTGTAAAGTTAAATAGCTTTATTCTACATTCCTATTCATGATCCATATCAATTAAATGGAGAACCTAAAAATTAGTTATTTCAAACTTTGGAAGACAATGAATACATCAATAAACGTAAAAACGACCAAGGCCAAGGAGATAAAAAACTTGATGAAGTATTAGTATAATTGAAAGCTCATGCAGAGTCAACTGACTATGATTGTAAATCGGTAAAAGAGGATAGCGCTTTCAATTTAAGAGTTCCTTGGCATGTACCTATTTAAACTTACCGAGATTATTTTGGAGAAAAAGTTGCAATTTATTTTTTATTTTTAACTTTTTACACTAAATAACTATGGTATTTATCTGTAGTTGGCGTCATATTTTAAGGCTTGCAATCGTTAGCCACTCCAGGATTATCAGATACCCTTACTGTTATATTCTCTTCATTAATTATTATTTGGAGTACCTTCTTAATTGAATATTGGAGACAAGAGTAAGTGATATTTAGTTTATAATATGGGTAGTAAAATATTGAATAGGTGGCTGCTGAAAGACCAGCATTTCAGGGTAAATTTATTAGATCCATCACTTCAGATGCATTAAATGAGCGTTTCTATTCTCCATTTAAGAGGTAGATAACTAAGCTATGTGCCTTTGGTGTCAGTCTGCTAATCATTGGAATGGTTGTAGGATGTGTCATAGCAATTTTTATTTTTAAGAATAAAATGATAGAAGAAGATTAAAGTGCATTATTGTCATAAACACTGCCTGGTATTATGATGTCAGCTTAAATCAATATATTCACTACTGTCTATGCGAATGTTGCTAAAATTTTCAATTTTTTGGAGAATCATAAAATCTTATAATCCTTTGAAAATTCACTTGTGGTTAAGAACTTTATTTTTAGATTTGTAAATAAGTATTTACAATATATATTTTAGTTTTAATTCTTTCTTTCTTGTATCATTTTTGTCAGGATTCTTTCCCAATTTGAACATTTGTAAGGTGAATGAAGAAATAACAAATGATTGTTTCTTGCTACTATCTAATTAGCTTAGTACTATATTTTCTTCTAATTTGACTGGGAGCATTCCTAAACTAATAACACCATTTGTGAAAGAATTTTCAATGAAAGTATGATTATCATATTGAATATTTAGTAAATAAAAAATAAACTATTTGTAGAGAAACAAAATACTCACCCTTTCAAGTATATTGACACATAAATTGAAGACTAATTAGGATTGGACCCATATTAAGATGATAAGGAAGAAGTGGATGGGAGTGTGCTAGATTATTTGGAGATATCTATTTAATTTTCCTACTTAATTTTATTTGGCGTATCATTTCCAGCTTGTTATATCATGGCTTTTGGATAGAACATTTTAAAAATTCAAGTAGACAAATTGAGATTTTTAAAATTTGTTAGAAGACCATTCCCTGAAGGAGCATCAAGCATTGGAAATTGGTTAATTATATTGGATATCATAACTTTTTTGGGCATATTTGTTAATGCAGGGTTGATAGTTTTTACATCAGGATTTTTTACTTCAAATTAAGAACTCATCTTTCCAGTGATTTTAGTGTCGTTTTTGGTTCTCAAGTACATAATTAGATTTGTTATTCCATCCTATCCAGAATCAGCTAGAATTTTGACTGCTCGTCAAAAGTGTATTATTGACAAAGCAGTGAAAGTATTGATATTTCTACACATTTTAGGGATTTTCCTCTTAAAACAGTAAGCCTTTGACTAAAACAAACTTTTATTCGAAAATTGGAAATGTGTCTTACGAAAATGACATTGATGAATTGTGTGTTGATGAGATGGAGTATTTGAGAAATATGAGAAATGTTGATGGTGAACATATGGATTAAGATCATGTTAAAGAGGAAATCTGAAGGTCTATTTGATAATCCTTGAGATTATTATTTTACTTAATAAAATGGTTAAGTATAAATTTATTTAAACCAAATCATCATTATTTAATTTTATTTCAGATTCAATGAAAAATGGAGCTTAACAAAGTTTACTGTTTGCAATATTATCGCCTCACTCATGATTTTGATACTGGGCCTACCACATACCACTTCAAATTCTGGGTTATTTCTTATGTTAGAATTGCTGTTCTCGATTATTTTCTTGATTTTGAAATGGAAATAAAAGTTCATAAGTAAAACTAATGATTATTACTTGGGAGGTACTCAAATAGTAATGATCATAATTGAAATCGAAATGCTGAAAGAGTTTGCATATGAAGTATTGCTCTTAAATTATATTACAAGTGATCCTTCATTTACATTATACTAAAATTCTTCGCCTTGATTTAGATTTTGTAATATAAATATTTTAATCGCTCCTTTTCTTTATCAACTCCAATCAACATCAACGGCATTGTATCCATTTTGGAGAGTTTAGATTGCAAAAGCGAAATCACTCAAAATAGAACAATATTCTAAAAAGGAGTTGAAATAAAAACATATTATGATATTCCCTCTTATCAAATTCATTCAGATCCAAATAGAATTAAACAAATTATAATGACCTTTCTGTCCAATTCATTTAAATTTACAGAGCAAGGAAATTTCATAATTTCAGTTCAAACACTCAATGCTGATAAGTCTTAACATATTAAAAGAAGCAATACTCCCTAAATTATACAATATTAAGTTGGAGATCAAATTGTCTAGCAAATTAGAAAAACATTACAAGGAAAATATTACAAGGAAAATATTACGAAAACTTCATCAATAAACTAGTTTACACAATATCTGTTGAAGATACTGGCTGTGGCATACCAGATAATATCAAACCATAACTATTCAACTTGTTTGCAACTTTTTCAAATTAAAAGATTGAAAATAAAAGTGGAATAGGGATTGGATTGATGGTTTGTAAGAATCTTGTAGGTCTACTTGTTCCATCAGAAAACATAGATCTTTGGAGTGAATAGAATGTGGGAACGATGATGACATGTTAAATCTATGCAAAATTACAAGACAATTGAATGAAATCAGCTAGTTATATCAGTTGTTTTAAGTAGGAACACTCTTCCTAATATCTGAGTATTTAGTGACATGATGATTCATCGAATGGGAAAGACACCATTAAGTAATAGTGAGGTCATCTCTTGTGAGAATCTATACAAAAGTGTAAGAAAAGACTGAAAATGACATTAATGAACCGTCTTCAGAAGATCCTGATTAAACAAAGACAAGTTCATCTAAGAGAATTGAAGTATGATTTGATAATTAATTTTGGTTTTATACAAATAAAAATTGAATTTTATAATTCTCCTTCAATAATGCAATATTCTAAGTTTGGTTATGCTAATATTGTTTAGGTTATCCATTCTAAAGAACATCTAGAGTTTTAAAAACTTCACTTATATTGTCCATATATAATTATTAAATTGTGATGTTATTTTATTAAACCCATAAAATCATGGTTTTAATATTCGTTTATATAGTGGTTTATTATTAATGATAATTTTACTCATCAGTAGGTGATCCTTACCTTCACCTAATATATGATGAAAAGGAGTTAGAGAAATGATTAACGATTCTTCTCTCCACAGCGCTGACTAAAATAAAATTATTATTATATATATATAACTCATTTCTGTCTCCAACTACTGTATGAATAATTAGCCTGTTAATTATTTATGGATTGAGAACGAGCTGATTGTGAAGTATTGTCTTGTAATCTCTATGATTACACAGTGCTCTTTTCATATGTGATACCTCTAAGATTGTCGAGTTCAGCCGACATCATGACAATGATTGTTAAGAGTTCCATAACTTTATCTGATTTATCATATGAATTTTAATTCTATTTGGTGTTTCTAACTCTAGAAAGTTCAAGAGACAACATTGCAATCTTATTCTCATATTCCTCAATCTGTCTTTTCAATTTCTCTAATTCTGCATTATTATTGTTCATCATGTAGGTTTACTATTGTTAAGCAATTAGTTATTGATTCTTGGTATTCTATTCCTAAACTTGGGTTTGGAGAGTAGAAACCTATTATTGAAATTATTAAAGTTATCTCTTTAATCTTTCATTCTCCTGCAGAATTGTGGATGTTTATGTTGACTCATAGTCTTAGATTCTGTTCACACTTGTGTTGGCATTAATTTAATAAGTACTGATTTGAGATTAAATAACGTCAAATTGTTTGATTAATTGATCCATATCATATTACTTCTGTTCTAATATTTTTTTTAATCGTTCAATTTCATCTAAAAGTAATTCATTTTTAGTGGCTGCATCTCTGTTTGTCTTTTCTATTTACCTATAATCCAACATAGCCAATTCCATTTTTTAATACTTTTATCTCCACTCATCTGCATCTGTATTCAATTATTTTATTAGACTATTCAATCTTTCAATTTCAGTTGTTAAAACAGCTACCTTATGATCTTATTATCTCAATCTCTCATTTTATAATTGAAGCTCTTGGAATTTCAATTCAAATTGCCTAATCTTTTCTTTGTATTCCTCAAAGATATACTTCTATTTATTTGCATCACTTAAGGCATATTGATTTTATTCGATAATCATATTAAGTTGAGATATTTCAGACATTAGAGACTGGTTCTGAGATTGCAAACGAGCAATTTAAGATTCTAATTGGCTATTTTACTCTTAAATTCTAGACACTTCATTTCTTAATCTTCTCAACTCGTCTTCACTCAAAGTCCTCAGCTTCAATTGTAATGAGTCTATTTCTAAAACAAGCGTTTCATTGTCTCCCCATAATTTACTTACCTCTTTATTTAGTTTAGTAATTTCATTCCTTAATAAAGCTGTTTCACTATTCTCACTTTAAATCTTTGAACTCATGCTTATTGATAATCTCTTATTCTCAGATTCCATTGATGTTAGATGCGATTCCATTTCTTATAATTTTTATTCCAACAGTCTTACACGATTCTGAGATTACTATAATTACTATCTTAACACACTGGTATCTTCAAGGGATGACTATTTTCTCCTTAAATCGTCTAATTCTCTCAGCAATTCATCTATATTTATTTACTTTTATTACTAACATTCCTTCCATTCATTTGTCTTGAAATATCTTCATATTACAATTTCTTTCTCCTCAATTCCTCTAATTCCCTCATCACTTAATCTGCACTTTACCCACCAAACAGATTTACTTATTGGTTTAATTGCTTCTAAAATGATGCCAATTGAAGTTCAGCTTGATTCAGTTTAGCTCTCCAATTTGGATCATAGTCTTTTTGGGTTTGCTATTATCTTCTCAGTTGATCCTCCAAATCCTAGACTGTTTTTTGTAATTTTTCAACATCAATCAATAGAGTACTCTAAGAACTGACATAAAAATAACTAAAAGCCAATACTTGCTCTGCACTCTAATCTTTTCCATCAAATCCCTAATCTAACTCTCATATTGAACTCTATCCAAATTGGAATCACTATTTGATTGTAGCTCTGATTTCAATTACGCATTCTCTCTTTGTAATCTCTCGACTTCCACAGCCATTACGAACAATGTAATATCGAGTGGTAATTTAGCTCTTTTTCCTAATTCTTCAGGAGCTTAAGAGTATCTGACTCTATTATCCTTACTTGATACACTCATCGAAGAACTATATTTGGACATCGTGTATGTTCCGTTTTTGTTTAACATAATTATAATTATTGATATTTATCAATTTATTCTAACCTTTGTCAAATATTCAAATTAATGTACAAACTGTAATCTCTACAGTTTACATCAATATAAGTAGCATAAGCTCAATTAAAGCTGTTATTTATTTACGTATAATTAGATTTTCATAATAATTTAATTTCGATAATAATATAATATCCTGTCTTGAATCGTTTAAAAGAAGATATTGAACAGATTAGAGGGTTGATTGGATTCAAGTTGAGAATAGATCTTCTAAGGAGTATACTATTGAAGTCAGTTTCCTCTTAAGTGCAATTCGCAATATCATATGAGGAAATGAAATATTATTGTTAATAACTTCGTTAAGCAGACAAAAGAGTGTATTAACAACTAAGCATTTTTATAATTAATCTATCTTTTGCAATTTATATTTTTTATTTGTTGAGAAAGGGATTGATTAAAATTTATTAATACTATTTATATAATGAGCAGAATAACTAGGTAAAACTAACGTGCTACTTATTCCTTAAATTAGTCAATGACTAATGGATTGCCAGCGTTGACCCCTGATAACATGAATTTGTGTATATCACAGTTTTATGGGAGAAGGCCTACTTAAAGAATTTATGAGTCACCCAATAATGACATTTATTCAGGAAGATAACACCTTCCATATCAAAAAGACATTGAATAATTAAAGGAGGAAATAATCTATTTGAAGAAAGAGAATGCTCGACTCAAAGATTAAAATAAGTAACTCTAGTTCTAAATTAAACTTGATGAGGTAACTAGGATAATATCTCTTATTAGAAGGAACAATTGGATAAACGAACAACCCAAGAGGTATCTGATGACTAAATCAATTACAATCAAAGTTCAAGATTGGTCGAAAAACTTAAGCAAGCGAGAATGATGTTATAGGAGAGATAGGCAGAGATTGATAATTTGAAGAAGAGCACCCGTTATATGAAACTGCAAGAAATGGAAGTATTGTGCTTATAAGTATTGTAAGTTGGAGTTAGGCAACACAAAATCTAAGTTTGAGATTTTGAACAAACAAATTAATGAAATCTTGAAAACCGAAAATGATGTTCATAAATTCCATAAATTGACAATCCAAACTGTAGAATTGGAAGAGAAATTGAGGATTCTCTCAAATTGCAATTAAAAGTAGAAGCGAAAAATTCTAAGTTTGAGATAAGAATTATTAACTTGTTAAGCAATGAAGGATAGATACAGAAAACAATTTGAGTAATGCTAAGTTGATTTTGATAAATATAAGAAAAATCATGAATAGGAAATATAAAAGAAAACCAGGTACAAAGAGATAATTGATAACTTAAATTAATAATTAACCAATAAGTAGAATGTCATTTAATCAATGTAAATGGAAATAGAAAAATAAAAGTTACTAGTCTTCTAAAAGTAGAGACAATTTAAGGAATTGGAAGAGTAATATCAAACCAAAAAGTCCTGGTTGACAAACAGAAAGGAGGCAGACACTTCATTTTAAGAAGTATTGGATGATAGAGTAAATAAAAATTTAGTTTTGGGTGATGATGATCTTAGTAATTCCTATAAACAGCAATCAGAAACAAAAATTGTATTAGAGGAGGATCACAGGGATAGATCATACACTATGTAAAATAGATTAAGTGTGGATTCAGTTAGAGATGAATAAAAATCTCCAAGAGTTTAAAGTTTATAAATCATACCTGACATTGAAGTGACCAAATAGAAATTACCAAGGGTCAATCATATTGATGTTGAGGAAATTGGAAAGCGTTTGAAATATTAACTCATGTATTAACAAGTACCTTTTGAATAGATTAATCAATTTTTTGACCAGAAATCAGAAATAAGCATTGTTGAATTAGTTGATATATTATAAGGAGCTCCCTTTTGTATGCAATAACAGAAATAGGCTTTGTTGTTGGCCAGATATTTGATTGAAGATAATACACAGCCCTATGTGGAATTCACTCCTTTATAAACGAATGACAATTGTGTGATAAAAAGTGTTTTGAAAAACATCATAGGGAAATATTAATTATTTGATATTCAATCAGAGTGTCAAATTATGATAAATATTAGCCAATAAATTTGGAAGTTCAGACAATCGATTGTTGAGTAAATCAAAATGATTACTGCAAAGAGATCTAGCTCCTAGTATAATGAGCTATGTGATGAGGGTGAATTTAAGATTGCGATTTAGGGTAGTAATATTCTTTTGGATGAAAGATAAAAGGAGTTTTTAGGGTTTTTTATTTTTAGAGAATTTGACGGTTCAAAATAATTTGATTACAAAATGTTGATTGATAAGATTGGGAACCAGAACCCTCAGAATTCACCATCGAAAATTAATCCTTAGCAATTTCAATGAATTCTATGTTTAATTTTGTATTCTGAATATTTTCATTAAAATTATACATCACATCTAAAGATATTATATTTGAATTATAAAAGTCACTTAATAAATGGATGTTTTGCAATAATATTTATTCATCCTTTTATAATGGGCATTTGTTTCGCTAAAACTAAGAAAGATAAGCCATCAAATCTGATACGTCTAATAAAAATAGAAAATGAAAATACAGTCCCCAAACCTTTCACTTTGGCTGAATTTTAAACCAAGATATTAACCACTTGGTACAGAATGGACATTTTACTAAGCTCATTGGTCACTTGTGATAGAACACTTCAGATTATATTGTTACAAAAAGCCATTAATCAGATTTTAATGGGTTAAAGTCCAAATCATTAAATGAATGATGTCATAATTGGCATATTATTGGAGCTAATGGAGAAACTAGCCTTTCAGATTGAAGAATTAATAAGAGAAGAGCTTCTATCAGAAGAAGTCAGTACAAAGTTCTATCAATCTTACACTTAGATTGCATAACTTTCTATGGAATACTCAAACTGGAAAAATAATTCCACTACTGAGAAAACTCAAGCTTGGAGTTTTATTTGAAATGTCATATATTTTCTTACTATATTAATTATAATTATAAATGAACTAATAAGAATAAGAAAAGTTTAATCAAATCATCTCAAATGGTTACAAAGAACTCATAACCAAAAGACCAAACAAACCTTTAGAGCATTTTATCTATTATTTGTTGACATCTTTGCCAGAAGAAATAAGAAACAAAGACCAGATCACTCGTGACTTCTTTGAGCAATATCAGGAAATAGATCTAAAGGATGTCAAGGAGATTTGAGAATATTGCATATTGCTTATCATTATTCATTATATATTTTTGAGAGTAAAGCTAATTAAATGTGTTTTTCCAATTAAATATTGAGAGAGCATAAATAGAAACCAGGAATCACATGTATAATTCGATATTAGAATATTATACGAGCATATTAATGGATTTGGCACCCAAGATGAGTGAAAATAAAAAAGTAACGACCAATTTTTAATTTAGGATAAAATAAGAATTTCTTGCAGGATAATGGGAATTGAGGGCTTTCTAAATGAAATCGAAGAGTTTGGAGGAGAAAATCAGAAAATTTTGGCAAATTAATTATTATTTATAAAGTTTATATATAGATTAAAAATTATGTAATTAAGGCGGCAGGGAAATGTTCTATTTTTCTAATTTGTGTTTTTTTTGTTTTTGATGGTATTATGTTGATGATTTCCAATCTAGTTAGGAACCATTCTTATTTGTATTTAAACCCCCTACATCGATGATTAAATAATTGATTAAAATATCATATTTAAAGCCTCTAATTTTTTATACTAGAATAAGGTATTAGTTTTTGTAAGAATTATGCATTTTAGGAATGTAAAACAGCTTTGAAGAGAACCAAGGAAAAAAGTTGATTGAAGCACAATTGATATCATACTATATGAGGAAGCTGCAAAAGTCAACTATTTTAGAGAGTCAGCAGCAGAGAATCTGTGCCTAAATGATCCTGAATCACTTGCACGAGCTTCAATGTGAAAAACATCTTCTAGAGGGATTGGAGAATTTCTTCCATCAAAAGAATGGCCATAAGCGTGGGCACATTCTACAGGCTAATGGTAATTAAATTTGTGATGCATCTGTCTAGATTTGAATCTTAAAAATTTAATCTCTACTAAATTGAGTCCTTCTTATGAAAGTGTTATCCAGAAGATGCTTCAACAGTATATAGCTCGTGAGACACCTGAGCCCAAACGACAATCCAGATTTGAGAGCGTAAGGAACAAATCGTAATCCCTTTAATAATTAAATGGTGGTCGAGTTGTGCGCCAAGATTATAAATCGCCAGTGGAATACATGAGAAAATTAAAGACTTGTTTTGGACATGCTCTTCATCCAGACAATCAAGATTAGGAGGATCCATACATACCAGTGTATAACGTAATATATGACAGGTAAAACATGTTATGTAGACTAATTAGAACTGGTCAGTTATTATTGACAGGAGATGATTTAGGATTAATAAAGATATGGTCAGCATCCAATGGACTGCTATTGTAATCACTAAAAGGTCATACAATGGCAATCAATTCAATGGATATTAGTTATTGTAACAAATATTTGGCATCTTGTAGTAATGATGGTTTGGTGATCGTATGGGATATTTAAATTGGCAAGCCTGTGGCAGCATTAAAAGTACCTATATACTGTATTCAAATAGGAAGCATAAGATGATCCAATCCTGGTTTTGGTATTTTATCAATGTAGTTCTCAAAATGTTAATTATTTGACAGTAGCTAGTGAAAAGGGATATGTCTATATCTATGATGTGTAGGATCTGATTAAATGCAATGGGAGTATATTGGGTACATAGTTCAATTCAAAAATTAAGTAATCTGCCATCAAACATCAAGCAGATATTATTAGATTGAATGTGAATTATAACAAAGCAAATAAAGGCAAAGTGAATGGGATATTGTGTATGGAATTCAACAAATAGGGTTATTTGGCTATGGGAACAGATCAAGGAGAAATAATAATCTTTGATAAACCAGAAAATCTATCTAAAGCAATCAATAAGGTGGAATGGCGTGAACATTCTGCCACTGTTCATTTGGCTCGTTGGTCAAAGGATGGTGATCAATTGTTAACTGCTTCTTTTGATGGAAGTGCTCGTCTATGGAAATGGTAAGAAGGAGGAATTGCAGCTAATTAACATAATAGATCATAAGTGTTATTAAAATATAAATCTACTGAAGGGAGAAGAGTAGGAGAAATCCAATGTTTTGCTATTGCTTGGTCTACAAAGAGTACTTATGCTTTGGCTTCATTTAGTAAGAAATTGAAGAAGAAAGGAGATGAGGAAAAATCAAAGACTCAAATTCAAGTTTATTCAACACATGAAAATTAAGTTATTCATTGTATGGATTAAGAGAATTTACCTTAATTAAAATTGGATTCTCACGTTGTGTTTTTGGAAGCTCATCCAATTTTTGAGGAAGTGGCATTATCAGCTGATGAAAATGGACTAATCATTTTATGGAATGTTCAAAAAGGTGTGCCTCTAAAAGTATTTCATGAACGAGGTTATCATTTGAAATTACCAAACTTAGAGGTTCCTTTGAAAGATGGATGTTTCAGTCCAAATGGAATGACTTTCGTCGTATCCACAGATTTTGGATCTTTTTCTATTTATGGTTTTGGAGTTCAAGAAATCTTTGATTAGACTCCCATTGAATAGTTTTATGTTTCAGATTCTGAGCATCCAATAATAGATGAATCAGATGGATTTAGAGTTATGGCATTAGATTCAGATATGGAATTCTGTTATGTTGATAGGGGAAGTATTTGTAATTTCTATAGAATGCCATATCATTATAATTTCCAGAATAACTTTAAGACTCTCTTTCCCTACTTGATATCCCAAGATTAACAAGGAAAAAAGAGTGTCAATCTATAAAAGCCTAAGTTATTTACATATATACAAATGTCCAAAGGGATTGCCATAGATAACATGAAGAACGAGGAAATGTTCTAAGGCTATTTTGCAGAGATGAAGTAAATGGAAATTAAAATTATTCATGAGATCAAAGAATTAATGAAAATCTAAGATTAAGTCAGGATTTAAAAATTAGAAGGTGACATTATTGAAGTAGCTAATCAACCAATTCCAGAGAGATCACCTTCAAATCATAACTCCAAACTTATCAAAAAATTAGAACAAAAGTCAGGCGAATTAATTAAAAGAGCTTTAATTAAAGAAGATGAAGATAGTAGTCCATAAGTGTCTTAATAAGCACATCAATAAGCAGTGATTACTATTAATGAATCCAAGAAATAGAGTTAAAGAAGAAAGAAGGTAATTGAAAGTGAAAGCGAAGAAGAAGTAAGCAAGTAGAGTAACTAAAATGTTAAGGAAGATGTTCAAATAGAATAATCTCCTTTGTAGACAAGATCTAGAAGAAATTAAAGAAGTCAATAAATTAGATTAATAATCCTTAACAATCATAGACAACAAAACGAATTAAGACGTAATAGATCACAAGTCACTGAATAATGTACAAGATGCAGAATTTTAATGGATAATGTTGTTCGTTGTCCTGAATGCAAATCAGCTTATCATTAAGAATGCAGCGAAATTCGTCTATTCTTATGTGAATTGGATTTTGGAACTCAGAAAAGAATTTGTATTAATTGTATGGCATAATTTTAAAGAAAGAAATAAGCTCAAACTAGACAAGGAGATCACTTGAGAGACAAGTATTTAACTGATGATACCAATTCCCCTCAGATTGGAGATGATGTTATCTTCTTTACCAAAGGATATGAACAATATCTCTAAAAATGTCTATAAAATTTAGATTTATCAGAATTATCCATTGATTCTGCATCAAAAAAAACCATTGTCTTTCCTGGAGATATTCTAACAGATTAAGAATCAGCCAATTTTGTATATTGCAGAATCGTCAATATAAATTACATTTTTCCTGTCATCAATACAGTCTTTAAAAGACAAACTAATTAAAACACTTATATCCTATAAGTTTTTGAACTTCAAACAAAGGATATGACTTTTAAATGCTTTTACTCCTATGATTGTGATCCTTATCTTATTTTAGAGGAATCGTATGCTTCTAGTGTCAGGTAAATTCGACCATATTTGAATCAACAATAAATAAGCCTCTAAACTGATACTGATAAAGATAATGGATTTGGCCATCAATATCAATTCATCGCTTAAGAAACTCCTGATAATTATCTCAATGCCAGTGATTGGTAAGTTTTGAAATGCAAGAGAATTAGCGATGAAACATACCAACTAAGGAATCAGAAAAGCATGATTGCTTATTGTCATTTAAACTTCTGGGAAATTGCCTCAATGATGCATAAATCTAATAAATCAATTGAAATCTAAGGGGCTTCCTTATAATCTGCTTTGACTACTAACGAGGCTTAATAAATTAATAGAGACATTAATGCCATGATCAAAAAGTAAACTAAGATAGCCTTTTTCTTTTCCAATGAAGTTGATGTCCAACAGTATCCAGAATACCTAGATTATGTGCCCTTGATGAGTTATATCACACTCATTCAAAGAAGGTATTTATATCCATTTAATTCTAAAGATTAGAAAATGATTTCTATAGAAGTAAGGATCAAATACTTAATGATGTTGAAAGGATCAGAAGAAATGCATATATTTTTAATCCTCCAAAATCTGAGGTCTGTGATTTAGCTGATAAATTAGCCAACCTTTTACATTCAATTGTAAATGGAGATTCACTCCCACAGTAAGTAATAGCCTAAGTTAGAGAAATTCAGACAAGAAAAAAAAGAAAATTATTTTGATTAATTTTTATTTTAGTATTTAAGTTATATTCAATCTAATAAGTTTATCTTTTATTTAATTACTTATTTATTTGGTTAAACATTTTCTTAATTAACAACATCTAAATATTAACTAATATAGTACTTTAATTTGTCATTTAAGACTTTTAACTATTTTATTTGAAATCCAACCCTCTATCCTTAACCACCATAACATCATCCATGCAAGATTCAGGATAGTAATATCCATTTTCATCTTTCTTATAAGCGGAATTAGTGGCCACATTATTAATTAGACTATCAAGTTTTTCATTCATTTGATCTCCCCAACTTTCTAATTTATCATGGAATTTATCCATATATTTGTAAATATAATTTTCCAACATATCATCCAACTTAGATTAAGTCTCATCATTAACATTACTGCATTAGGCTTATAGTTTTAGTTTATTCATCTAAATTTTTAATTTCATCTATTTTGCTATTTCCTTTTCTTTATACAAAAGATTTCTATTTGTTAGTTGTATTGTTATATTTTATGCTTTCTATCTAACTTTAAAATAATATTAATGAATCTACTAGATTGGAATAGCGGTTCTTGGCATTCTGACTTATATTCTGAGTAATGTCTAATCAAACCTATGCGTTCTTTCAAATCATCAATTATCCCTGAACATCCATATTTCAATAAATAATCTGTTATAATGAGTGTCTATTTTGAAATTTAAAGGTACTTTTAAAATATTATTGGCTGTGTTATTTGACGAGTTTAGTTACTTAATGATTTCATTTATTATTTTTGGATAATGTTCTCTTGTTTTAGAATATAAGATTATACATTTGAAAACTAAGTTCAGCTATTTAGTCTAGAATATTTATTGGAAGTATGGTGCTTGGATAATGATAGGCTTAATCGAATAATTTAAGAGCTTTTTCATCTTGAGAATATCCAAATTTTTATTTGAAAGTGTATGTTGCTTCTTTAAAAAATTACATATAAATAATAATTTAAATTTAAAGTAATTCATCCGTTTTATCACTTTTAATTGATTTCTCTTTAATTATGAACTAACAGAGTAATGATAGCTAAATATTAAGGAATAAGGTAGATATATTAAAAATAAATAATAACCAACTATTTTAACTAATTATATTTAGTGTATTTAAAATTTGCAATTTAATTCAGTTCCTCTGAAATATCCATTCCCTGATATCTTGAAGTTAAGTGAAATAACTTATCGAACCTTTTGATTTGTTTATTCTATTTTAGCTCACTCAATCCAAAGTGTATTTAAGGGAAATAAATAAAATTATTCATAAATATTTTAATTATCTGTCTATAAATGTTCCCTGTGAAGTTGATCGATTTGTACTTGTCCCCATCTAGATCGGAATACAAGGATTTCTCCACTGACATTAGTGAAAGTGATTTGGACTTTGATTCATTCAAATTAGAGCAAGTCCATAAACCTCCATAAATAAAGAAGAGTTCTTCCTACCCCAGAAATTATGTATATAATTGACACTATTTGTTTAGTATAAGTAACAACTAATTGAAGAAAGCAACATTGAAGGTGATCAAATCATTTAGGAATGCAATCGCTTCGTTTAGGACCATTAAGTTTCTGTAACACAGCTACTTCAAGAACTTGCGCTTGAATAGCCAAAAAAAAATAGAAGCACAGGTTATCTAAAGTTCTTTGACGAGAACAAAAACTATGGATTTATTGTAATGGACTCTGATGGCTCAGATATATTCGTATATGCTGATGATCTTGTTAAGACAGGCATCGCAAAAGAGTATTTACGAACAGCTAAATTTGGAAACTACATCAGGTATGCATCTAATTTAATACAAAAGATTTACTTTCACATGCATGGAATATTATGGTAAATATAACAAATCCAGAAAAGCCGTCGATTTGGAGTATCAAAAGCCAAATCCATTCTTCCAAACCATATACTGATTTATATATACAAATTATAACTTAGAATATATAATGTTAAGTCCATTTTTGAAAGGGGTAATTTATCAATAAAAATTAATCATAAAACCATTTTACTTCATTTTAACAAAAAGACTTCTTTTCTAAAAACAAATAAAAAGAAAGTGATTTTGCTTTGTTTGCCTTAAAAAATGAACATAAATCTTGAATTTCTATATCCTAATTCAGATTAGAGTGATAAAATTTACATTTAAATGTGATTGTAAATATTGAAGTGAAAGTAGAGTCATTTGATGAATAGGAATAAAATTTTAAAATAACTAAAATTTAAATCTCACTCAAAAGTCATCTTGAATCAAAACCACACTCTTGATTTCAATTTAGATCATAGTTAAAAACAATTTTGTGAGCTTTTAATGAAAAAAACAGAATCCCAAAAATTATATAACACTTTTGAAATCCTTAGGATTCAAGTTGATAATAATAAAATTTAAATGTATTTTATAATTAAAATTACCATAATCGTGAATCTAATTAAATATGTTTTGCTTTAAAAATAGGTAAGATATATCTAAGCTTTTACAAAGAATGACTTAATTTGAATTACATATATATTTTCATTTATATAAGTTAAAAATTTACATAATTTTCTGATTTGTTATTGATTATTCCTTATCTATTACTCTAGAATATTTATTATATAAATTGTTTGATTTCAATATTTCCTCAAATGCTTTTTTTTGATTGTCAAATAACTATTTGCATTCAAGTAGCTAGATATATTATTGGAAACTATACAATTTGATTCGTTTATTTTGATCCGCTAACAGATCTATTTCGCAATTACATATATTTTTTATCTAACTCGAATTATTAAACAGTATTTGTTTCTGTTGTGCTTATTCTATCTTCAACAATATTTTCTTTTAATCTTTGGCTTTGTTCTTCTGACTTAAGTCCTCTAAAATCTTGGGGATTCTGATGAGCAGACGATGAAGGAGTGGCCACCTTTTTTGGTGGGATCAAACCAAATTTAAAAAGAGGATTCCTCCTGCTTATTTTAGGGTGAGCCCTAGAGTCACTTATAATTTTCCAATCAGCAAATGTAGGTGTAAGTATATTTGGAAGTTTCGCTCTTTGTTCTCCTTGTTCTTAAACTGAAGATGCTCTAATTCTATGTAGTTATAGCATATTTTGAGACAATTTATAATAAAATAAAGAAATATAACTATTATTTGCTTTCAATTCAGATCCAAGTATTTATTGATGTAAGAGTCACTATATTCATTATAACGATTTTCGTAGTCATCCATGATGTTTCGCATACAAGGTTTCAGTAGTATCTTTCTGTTTGAGCACATAATATCATCTTATCCATAGCAATCGTTTAAGTTATTAGTCGACTCCTAGTTCTCAGTAATCAGCTCTCCCTATTACTGTTTGATTTTCTGATATTGGACTAGTGGGGTAGAAGGGTAATTTTACTTAGTTTGTAAGGGAGTTGGTGATCTCGAGTGTTTTGCAATTCTTGATGAAGTTGAGGGTTAACATGTCCAATTTCTTTGAGTAGATTATATTTTTTGAGTTTGTGAATATTAGAATATATTCTTTATTCCTGCGATTATAAAATTAAATAGAGTAACATACTTGTTAGGAACATATTTTGTGGATGCTTTATTTTTTGACTTAAGGAATCTTTTAGGTAATGGATTCAATAATATGAGGAAGGGATTTTTTGTGACTCAGTTAAATGTCTTTCAAGGGTGCACAATTCTCTTTAATTTCTTGTAGGTAAATAGGGTAGTTGGCATTCATTAAATAATTAATGGTATTAAATAGTCGTTAAAAACAAAAATCATTATTTGCTCATTTTTTTTTATAATAAAATCTAAGATTTTAATTCATGCAGTAATTTCAAAGGAGATCCCTTCAAATAAACATGTTCTGATTTCTTTCTTTTGGTTTAGGTCACTTTTTATTAACTAATCAAGGGTAATTTGATATTCATATTCACAGGCGAACAACGAGCACTTTGAGATACATATTTATCCACAGTCTGATTTGGCTTAAGATTGTGTGATTAAATTATATCATGATAGATTCTGGGACTATGTAGTGAAGGTTTTTGTTTAATTTTATAATTTACTCTAGGAAGATGAGCGATTAAGACTTGACTCTAATTAACATTCATATTCTAAGCACTAGTCACTTGAGATTCATCGATTGTTCTTTGACTTGCAGTAAAATTACCATTTTGTTGTTTGATTTAAGTTGGAGTTTTTTCAAAGGTACTATTAGTCATAAATTCTTGAGTCTAATAAGCAATTTTCAATTCGTTAGCAAAGAAATATTCATACCCAATATTGGAGTCATCTTTTGTCAGTAGTCTTTTGCATTTTAATAATGTTTATTCAATAATTTAGTTTTGGAGTAATGTTTTTGCTTTTCTTTCCTTTCTTGTCGGAATCATATTTGTAATATCCTCTATTTTAAGAGGCACTCTAGTGATCATGGCTGATAACTGTCTACCACCTCCTTTATTACGATGCATCTTCCTCTTTCTTTTTTTGACATGATGTGCTCTGATGTAGGTAATGGGTTATAAAGCATTCTATTTTTCAACGAATATATTTGTTCCTCCGCACTCAGAACATGTACAAGTCTTCCTTCTAAACTTACACTATCCTCCGGTTGTGTTAAATAGATAGCATTTAAAGCTTCTTCCTCTTTGAGTATTCAAGGGAACGACTTGGCTGATTTATTTAAACAAGGGTTCCAACATGGGGAATCTTTTGATTTTAATTGTAGAGTTGAAAGAAAATTACTTATTAGATTGTGAATTTTGGGACATTGTAAATAATTATTATAATTGCTTTAGAGATTTATTACTTAAGTATTAAAATAGCAATTAATTTATAATATTATTTTACGTATGAATTACCTTATACTATTCTATCTTGTTGTTTGCTTTGCTAATTCGGATGTCTGGAATATTAAATTACCATCCTAGGTCAAGTTATTATAAAAGCTAAGAGAAAAACGAAATGACAGAAAGCTTGAGGATGTTAAAACTTAATGGGAGTCAATAAGAATACATTTTGAATTCTTGGAATCTCCACCTTCGGATGTTTTAGAATAAACTAATACAGTACTAAATATAGTTAAGACATTTTTTGGAAGATTTATCTTGGTTAAGAGACAAACCGGAAATTTAGAATGGAAATCAAGCTATGAAACCGATTGGCAAATACTGACTATTCCTGCTTCACTCCAAAAAAGTTATGATGCTGACTTGGTAGATAGCCAGAATATCATTAGGTATTCTTTGTGGGTTAAGAGGATAATCAAGACGTAGAATACATTGCAAGAGCAGCTCCTGTAATCTTTGATGAAACGACAGGAAGACCAATTTTTGGAATTATGCAAATGAACAATTACTACATGAAAGAATTTTAGGTATAAGTACAATTCAATTTTAAAGGGAACAGATGCAAAATTTGAAGCAGCAGTTCAAGTAGTACTACATGAATCCATTCATGGTTTAGGGTTCACTGATAATCTCTATTCAAACTATTATAATAGTACGAGTAATGAGAAATACGACTTTACAGTTTATCAAAGAGTGAATTAGCAAATTGATTTACCTACTCCAAGATTGACTCAGTTAGCTGAGAATCACTTTGGATGCTCTAAATTGGTGGGAGGAACTGTATTAAATCTTATTAATAATTAGATGGAAGATCAGATGGGAGGTGGAACAGCAGGTTCACATTTGGAAAGGTCAATCTTTTATAACGAACTTATGACAGGTGCATTGATGACTGGCAATTCCCTCCTTAGTGAATTCACATTTGGTCTTTTAGAAGATACAGGGTATAATATGTAATTTGAGTTTAGATTTTATCGAGTGACCAAGCATATTTCTGATATACAATTGTGGGGAAAGGATAAGGGGTGCGATTTTTATAAGAATTAATGCTTTTCTAACTAATAATACAAGGAATTCTGTACTGATCCTTATGATGACTCCAACCAATCAGATAATCCTTTAAACCATTTATCATGCTCTTATACGCACACTGGAATAGGAATTTGCATGAATGATGGACTAGTAGAATGCCCTTACTATTATGTGATTTCAGATTTAGATTGCAGAGATGCAGAAAATTATAATTAAACCTTATTTTAAGGATCTAACTTTCATTTCGGATATGATAGTATGTGCATAGAAGGAGGTTTCGTAAGTAAAATAAAACAATCAATTGACATTGGATATAGTTGTTATTAATACTCTTGCGATGAGAATAATTCATTAACTATCATAGTTGATGGGGTGAAATATGATTGCAGTGTTGGAGGTTCATCTCCAAGTTATAACACTGAATAATATAAGTAAGGTATTGTTTGTCCCGATAATCCAAAGGACTTATGTGAATCAGCTAGTGAATGCCCAAATTAGTGCAATAAGAAGGGATATTGTTTAGGAGGAGTGGTAAATATAATTGAATTTCAACGTTTTAGTGCACTTGTATAGCTGGTTATTCAGGAAGAGCATGTGAAAAAAGTTGCACTAGTTATAGAGACGGAATTGAATGCGTTTAGAGTTGCTCAACAAATACATTTGCAGATGACTCGACAATGTATTGTATAGGTTGTCCTGCAAATTGTGCCACTTGTTCAGCAAAGGATGTATGTACCTTGTGTGAGGATACTCATCTATTGGTTGGAGGATTTTGCGAACCTCTACCAACTTATTCAGTAATTTTAGTAACCAGCATCATAGCCTTGTTTTTAGCCTTATGATATATTATTGGTAGACTAAATAAAACAAACAAAAATTTCATATTATAAATTAAGATCTTATGATTAAATCTAGTTCTAATTAAGTTTGCTAATGATTTAGTTTCATGTTATTTTGTTGTTATATTAAGAGTATCACTATTTAGAAATAGAAAATGGAAATTTACAAAAAGTATACTTTAAATTATTTTTAATATATATTTCTTTTTCTTTCAAGAACTTGCAATTCATAATTATACTAAATAACCCCTGTTTTTTGAGTCCATAGTTGTAAATCTTAAATTTATTTTTTATACACAGATTTTCATTTTATAAAATTAATAGAAGCATAGATAAATGAGATTAACTTAGGATAATTTTAAGAAAGTCTTGTGTTATATTTTGATGTAAATTAATAAAACATTTGCTTATCAAACTTAATCAAATCTAGAGATTTGAGCATTTTTTCACAAAATCTTCTAATTATTATTTACTTAATGGAGTTTTATCAACTGAAGCTTTTTAATTGTTACGTACTAGTTATGAAACTAGGTCAACAACAAATTTGTCGTTTATTAAGCACGAATGTTTGCAGTCACTTATGGCCTATTTATAAATTTAATTAATTACTGCTCCTTTTTTTAAGCATTCACATTCTAATCCAATATATCCGCTTTGAGTTATTTATTTTTCTCCATCGATGACAGAATCAAATAGATTCTATTATAATGAACCTTTGTAATTAGAACAATATTGAATCACTTTTATTGGATTTTCAGATAAGCCATTTTGATGTTCGTAAATCCATTTAATGGCAGGAGTAAGAGCAGATGAAGTCAAAACAGTCTAATCACCTATTGCATAACTTGTATGGTTGGGGAAATAAAAGTCTAATTTTTCTAGCACTTCATGATAAGGATTCCTTTGATATTTGAATTGATATTCAGTTTAAGCAAAGCCTCCATATAAAACTATGAATGGAACTTCAGGATTTTATAATGTGTTCAAAGCATTGGATTAGTAATTTTAGTAATATTATGATATTAGTGTACCATTAATTGTATAATTGTCTAGCAATTCCTGAATATCCTAAGCAGTAAACTTCTGATCTTCAATTTCAATAAAGTACTCCTTCAAATCTTACATATGAATCAAACATGCCGATTAGAAGTCAGTTAAATTAGTACATAATTCTTTAGGATTGGGGAACCAAGACAAAGCTGTTACGTTATTTGTTTTATTTTCAATAAACTCTTTTTCTTATTAAATTCTTTTCAAAATTTCTTGCATCCATGGCTCATTCTAATATTGGAAAAATGTAAGTTTAGGGTAAATGTCAACCTAACTTGAAGCTGAATTTATTGCTTTATTTTAGTTGAAGTAATTAATTCCAACTGTCATTCCTAAAAATGTATCTAAAAAGGAAGGATCACCTCCCAAATGTGCTCTGATTGCTTTAGATGAGCCTAAATAAGGTGCTCCCATGGTCATAATAGTGGCTATTGAATCTTGTTTCTCTTATTTAGTCATCTCTCCAAGTACGTTAAGAGTATGAAGGGATCCCAAAGAATGGGTTAAAATAATGGCCTTTTTTCCTGTGATTTTGTTTAGATTTGATATGCTCTGTCTAATTAATTATTTAGCCTCAGATTACTAGATACCTTTTCTATAATCATAAGGAATAGCTTAGAATAGAAGTCCACTCACATATCCCATATTCTTCAATAAATCTCCAATGTTGAGAAATCCTTTATAATCACACATCATGTATTTGATTAAATAGTCATCGGTCATCTCTTTGATTCCTCCTAAACCACATTCACTATATTTCTGGGTACTAGGTGTGTTTCCATAATAAGTCACCTAGTATTTATGATGATTTATACTTTAAGTCCAGGAGTTTCTTTATGACTTTGAGTTGCACTATCATATTTCAACTCCATCAAATTACCAAAACAATGATCTTTAGCACTAGTCTATATCACGCCAACAGTGCTTGTTGTTGTGGAAATCCAAAGTCTGTATTCGACATCAGGTTTAGAATACCAAAAATACCATGAATTACATGTTTACCAACCACAACTCTCGAATACTTCTGGACTCTCTTTCTATAATTTTTCACAATCAATTTCAATCTACCATTTTATTGAATCTATACTTCTAAGGAAGTTCCTGCCAAGCCTGGAACTAAGATGACTGGAGCGCATGGACCTTTTATGAATTCATTAACAATCTGTTCGTAGCTCCATTTTTTAGGATCTTTTCCATTTAAACAAATATTTTTTGATTCAGCAAATAAAGATTACAGTTTAAGCACTCTTTCTATCTCTTCAGCTTCGATTTACTGTTTCATCATTTAATGACTAGCTCATGTAATTAATTGATACTTGTCCTGTAAAAGCTTTCGTCGATTTGAAGAGGTTACAAAAAAAGTGTGAGCTTCTGTCTCCTCCAACCAAAGGGCAGAGTCAGTATTGTCATAGAACATAGGTATTGAAACTAGTACTAAACACACAGTTACTAGTGCATAAATCACTCTCATTTGTTTGATATTATAAAATAAATTTTCAAACAATTTTCTCAATAAAATTCCATATATAATTTATATTTTTAATATTTGCAAGTTTATTGCTTAGTTATTTCGCTTATCAATAACTCTAGATTTCCAACATATTTAATCTATAAATAGTATGTTCCGAAGAATAATTATAATTTTTTCATACCTAATACAGAAAAATAAATTTATTTGCTCCTTTAAATTAAATTTATCAGAATGCATAAGATCATTCTTATTAAATCTAAAAAACCTCAATTATTGAACTATTATAATATTTTATCAGCTTAAATAAGAAATTTTAAATCTACAGAACATTACCTTATGATAGAATTTAAAATTTAGATTTTTATATTATTATTTAATAATATCTTTTATAGAATTATCAATTATTTTATATTTTATCAATTTAGAAATTTAAGAATCAAATGACTCTTAAATTTGCTTATTTCAAATTAGAATCTAAGAAATGAGAACGTACTATAATTAGCCATATAATTAAAATCTCTATTAAATAGATACTAATTTAAAAAATATCAATTTTTCTAAGTGAAATGAAAGATATAAAATAAAGTTAATTTAATATATACATTTTCTATATTAATTTCAACTCTATATTATTCAAGAAAGTTAAAAATGTCTAAAATTACTTTAACATATATATTTATTGATCTCACAAAATAGATTAATACAAGTTTAATACTTTTGTTCCAGTTAATGAAATATTAATCACTTGATAAAGAGAGACCTATATAGATTAGATTAGAATACCTTATAAATGATATTCAGCACACCCAAAGGATATAACGAATTATCATAATCAAACTATCTATCTATAATCCATTGCTTTGCTATTTTGGCATCTCCAACTATAATTTAGTGATCACTCACTTGAACTTCAACTAATTTCGTTTTGTTCATCATAAAATCAATCTAGAATATATATAAATTGACATACCTATTCCAATTCTATTTTCATGATATAAATTGATTCATCTAGACTTCTGAAACCAAATTTTGATGACCTTCTGGACTAATACTCTATTAAATTTATGTTTTCGTTCTCTTATATTTGGATTAACATTTATTATAAATGGATCATCTTCTTCAAGTGCTGATTTTAACTTATAGTTTATTAAATGTTAGCATTCTCATTAGTATATATTTGGATTAATCTTTATTTACAATTTTCTTTTAATTAAAATGTGTCGTCCTTTATAATCTTGAACATCTAGGTATTGTTGCACAAAATTTCAAATTATTCTAAGTCATATTCAGTTTGAGTAGATCCATCGGAAAAGAGATTTTGGAATTTGGTTTGGTCTCTCTTTTTAGCAATTTCTAATTCTTGGAGTAATTTTTAATAAAGAGATTCTTCGAATCCAATTTAATTCTTCAATGATTGATTCTTGCTATGAACAGTGGCATACTGAATTTCTAATCTATCTTTTTCTTATTGTGTTTCACTTATTTCTTTAGCAATAGATTGAACTAATGTTTGCTTCTCATTTTTTTCAATCTCTGCATGTTCTAAATCTGACTAAATGTCTTATAAATATTATAATTTATTTTCTTTTTCATTCTCTAAATTCTCGACTTATTCAGCCAACTATCTTCCTTCTTGAGAATATATGGCCATTCTATTTCTTAATTGCAAAAGCTTTTGATCACTTTCAATCAAATTTTTGTAAAGTGTTTATAAGTAATCTTTCTTCTCTTTTAATTTGTTTCTTGCGTTGCCTTCTTACTCATTGAGTTCTTGGGTTTCATCTTATAACTCATAAATTCTTTGTAAAACACTGACCTTTTGGGATTCTAAATCTGATTATTTCCCAAAGATTGCTTAAAGTTCAAACTCAATTTATTCTACACTCTATCTTCTTGAGTCCAATTCTTTAGCTAATCTATTTTCCTTTTCAGCCCAATCCTTCAATTATAAAGATAAACCTAAGTGGTTTTCAGCAGTCTACTTAATTTTATTTTGTAAGTCCTTCAACAATTCACTTTCCTTAGTGAATTTCTCTTGCAATTCTAAGAGTATCGGGTCGTCATCCAAAAAGAAACTCGGCTGCATTGACATCTTAGATTAAAACATAGAAGGAATTATACTATTTTTTTCTTGTTGTTACTATTACAGTGTCTAAATGGTCATTTCTAATATTTCTATTTTCTTATCTCTGTCTTGCAAGGCTTGTTAGATTTTATCTTGAGCAAATTGTGAAACTGAAACAGGAATACCTTTGTTCACTTACTCTTCCTCAGCCTTCTTTTCTGTTGTGTCTGGACTCTACTCTACCAATTTCTAAAGATCATCCTTCAAATTATTATTACGTGAATTTAAAGAAGTGATCTTGTCTTAGATATCTTCTTCCATATCCTCATCTTGTTATTGAGGCTCTGCACCTAAGGATCTTTGTTTCTTCCTTTTAGTTGTCAATTGTTTCTAAGCTTCATTAACATCATTGTTTATTCTCTCTAACTCATCAATTAAATTTTCTTTCTTCTTTTGTAGTTATTTTAACTCCTTTTCCTTCAATTATAAAACAGCTTCCATCATCTTAGACTCCTCATCTACTTTCTTAAATTAATCATTTAATTTTGTCAATTCGTCATTCTTTTCTTCCAATTAAAATTTCATTTCATCTAATTAAGCTGATGCAGAATGAAGATCTTACTCTATATCATTCTTTTCTAATAATTTGAATTCAAGCTCCTACCTCTGATCATTATTGAGATTCTCTTGTTCTTCATTCTGTTACTTAAGTTAATTACATTCCTCTTATAATTTTTATGATTCATCTTTATAGCCTTGAATTTCCCCTATTAATCCCTCTTGTGCACGAATTTATTTGATACGGTCTTGTAATAAAGCATCGAGATCTTACAATTGTATTGAGTCAATCTGATTCTTTAACTCCCTTTCTCTCTAATAATTTTCCAGAAGTTAATTTTCAATATTTTCATTCAGTCTAATTTAATCCTCCAACTCCTTTTCCTTCGATTCCTTCTTTTATTATACTTCATCAAGTAGTTTATCTAATTTATCTACTTCTTATTAGGCAGCATCTAACATATCATTTTTCTTCTCAACGATTGATTACAATTATAATAACTATTCCTCCCTCTCAGGAATTATCTTTAAATTGATTTCAATGTCTTATTCACATTTTCCAATCTAATCCTTCAAATTTTAGCACTGTTATTATAATTGTTAGAACTATTCCTACTCAGCTTTCATTTTTTAAATTTCAATCAAAGTTTTCATTAACTCTTGTTCCTGAACTTATTTTTTCTTCAAAAAATCTTCTAATTCAGCATTAAGTGAATTGTAATTCTGTTTTTCAGCCTCTAGATTTTCAGCTAATCGTTTTGATTTAGAAGCAACTGCAGCAACCAAGACTTCATCCTTCTTTATTTAATCTTCTAGATTAGCCTTCTTCTCATTCAAATCCTATAGCATATGATTATTTTCATCTACATATTTCTCAGTCTCAGAGATTTCTTAGAAAATTTTGTTCTTCTGTTCAATCTTCTATTGCAATTCCTGTTATAAATTATTTAAAGCTTCTACATTTTATGCGTATTATAATTTTGCAGATTCTTTCAATTCATCAATCTCTTTATTTTAAGGGAGCAATAAACTGATTTATTCCTGTGTAGCTTTTTATTCATCTTATAAGGTTTCATAGGTTTACTTGTCATCATTTATCTATTTTGTAAGAGCATCTATTTGTTCACTTAAAGTGATATCTTCTAAATTGAGATTCCTATAAATCTTTACTTCTTATTCTATCCCTTGATTTTCATTTCGCAATTAATTCAAGTCTGATTCTAATAATTGTTTCTTCTCGTTTTATGAACCTATATCTTGATTCAAAGTTGACAATTGTAATTCCAAGGCAGAATTTATCTCTTGCTTCTACTTGATTTATCCTTCTAATTGTTTTTTCTTGTCATCCAGATTTTATAAATTTAACTCAAGCTAAGCAATCTATTATTACATTTATTTTTCCGTTTATTGAAGTTCTTAAAGTTGAGGCTCTAAAAGTTTAAGTTGATATTATAAATTATTTTGTTCTTTGTGTAATAAATCTCTCCTTCCTTTTTACTTTCTATTCTATTACTAGTAGAATTAATTATCTTTATTCAATCTCTAAATCTAGTTTTTCTTGTCTTCAACTACTGTTTCCAGATCAATAATTAAAGAATCATAATTAGCAATTTGATTCTTCAACTATTTCTAAGTCTATTTCAAATTTTGAACTTTCTTACTCAATTCTAAATTCTCTGATTTTGTTTTAATTATTTCAGTTTACTCAGGACCTCCAATTTCTTAAGGTTAATTGTAATCCTTCTTTTGTATCTCCTACTCAATCATTTGTTTCTAATTTTATTACAATTCCTCCACCAGCTCATCAAAATTAGAATTCTCCTTCTGAAGTTATTCAATTTATTATTGCATTTCAATTTGCTCTTATTTTAAATCCTGCATTACTTCATTTTATTAATATAATTGTTATTTTAATGCCTCTATTTCCAATTGTTTTTCTTTCTTCTATTATAAATAGAATTCAACTTCACTATCATCAAGACTCATTTATCTAACTTACTCCTACGCCTGATTAATAGAGCTAGCCAATTCACTCAAATTGTCATTATGCTCTTGGATCAATGGATGTTGATGTTAAGTCTTTGGAGATGCCTCTGTTTTCAAATTGTTAGCCTTGTCATCTGAATCTTCTTAGTAAATGTACATAGGCTATTGCAAAATTCTTGAATTCTAATTAGGTATTCTAGCCTCTTTTTATGATAACTACTACTATTTATCTAGGATTCTCAATTCCAAATTTTTTAATGCTTCATCTAATTCTAAATTCTTCTTAATTAACTCATCAGTTTGTTAAATCCTTTGTTAGAGTATTTAACTTTCTTTATTTTACTTCTCAACCTATATTTGAATTTCAGCATTCTTAATTTCCATATCCAATTCTTTAGCTCTTGACTTTTTCTCTTGTAACTTAAACTCAGAATCACGAATCAAGTCTTCGTAATTTAAGTTCTCTTAAACTAAAGCTTGTATCTCATCCTACAATTTCTAATTTTGCTTTTTGATTACCTTGACATCCTATTGAGCTAATTAAAAACCATGAATCTATTTCTTTAGATCGGCTACTTGATTACGAAGATCTGCATTAATCTTATCTTTATCAGATAATTCACTGTTCAACTATATTATTTTATTTTTCAATTGATCAATACTCAAGCTATAACCTTAAAGGACTTATTCCTATTGTTGCAATTATGAATCTTACTCTTAATCATAAGATTTAATGATCCCAGCATTTTCAACTGCTTCTTAGATATTCGAAATGCTAGAGTCAAAACCAATATGATTTTAAATTTCCTTCAATCTCTATTATTTCTCAGCCAGTTTCACTTCCAAATTATTCAGAGTTTCTTCTATCTCTACATTCTTCCTAACTAATTCATCAGCCCTATCACAGTTATCTTAATAAGTCTTAACTAATTAACTATTCCTAACTTCCCTATCCTTTTCATCAATTGCCTTCTCCTTCTCAAATATTTTTTACTATAATTTTGATAATTCCTCATTCAAAGCAGCAATTTATAAATTTTTTTAATGAACTTAATCCTGCATTTGCTTCTTCTCATTAACACTATCTGACACTCTCTAACCCAATAATTCTTAATCCTTATTAAACACTCCTTCTAGTTGTTCTTTTCTCTTGTTCTTCCTTGCCAATGCATCTCTCAGCTCCTATATTCTTCTCTCAACATCATTATTACTTTTTAATAAATCCAAAACCTCTTGTAACTTTTTCCCATCTATTCCTTCCTTCACCAAAAATTCTTGAGGCGATGTAAATCCTTATGTAGATTTAACTTATTATAGTTTTGGTTCAGTCTCCTCCTTATCTGCTCTAGTAAATACAGGTTATGATCTTGCAGGATGAAGTTGGTTGGATTCCTATTCAGAAGGGTTTGGTTCTTTGAGATCTTACTTTTAACTATCTCCATCCAATTCTTGTAGAATCTGTCCTGTTTACAAAGGAATAGAAATTTAATCTTCGAAGTTGCTGACTACTTATTAAACATCACTAAGTTCTTAGATTTGTTCAATCATTTATCCTTAATTCTGCTGTTTCAAAAATAGTTGATTTGGTTAAACTTGGTTAGGCTATTAAACTTGTTTAGTTCCTTCTTATAATTAACTTAACAATTAATCTTTATAGTCATTTTTAGCTACAAGTTTCTGTTCCAATTCTTCAATCAGGTCATCTAAGCTTAAATGCTCTTTAACTAATTCATCTATCTTTTATTATTTTTCTACAAGTTTTTGCTTGTTATCCCTGATTTAGGAATTCGACGAACTCGAATCAAGAGAAGATTCTCTTATTTTTTGAGACAATTAAGCAGCTTATTCATGCTAATTATCCATTCTTTACTATAATCCTTTATTTAGTTTTATCTGAGCTTCTAATTGATCTTCCAATCTTTGTATATCCTTACGCAATTCTGTGTTTACTAATTCTTCTTATGAGTGGAGGAACTGTTAATTTTAATATTCTTGTATCGATGGTATTTATTCCTTATAAGATTAAAGCTCGTTCTCTTTTTCTTTTACTAAGTCTTTCAATTTAGCAAGCTCTTTTTCTTTTTCTGTCAACAAGTCCTTCAATCTTGATATTTGTACTTCTTGATCATACTATCTTTACAAAGTTTCCTAATCCAATTTGGATGTGCTTGCCATAGTCGCTGATTCCTAAAGTTAAGAACTTTGTGATCGAGCTTCTGTCTTTTTCTCTAAAGCACAAAGTTGAGCTTCTAATTCATCCTTTGCCTCTTTCTTGGCCTATACCTTGAGTTCCAGATTTTCAATTATATCCTAAAGGGCTTAAACTTCTTAAATCAAGTCAGTTTATTTCTCTAAACCTTTTTCATATTATTGTTGAAGATCTTGGGTAGTTTATGGCTATTATTATGACTTTTAAGGTTATTCAGATTGATCTTAATTTTAAACTGACTTTTATACTTATTTAGTTTTTATGTCATCCTCTTGTTAAGGAATATGAATTTATTAATTCTATCCTTCGCTTAATTATTTTATCTAATCCATAAGTTTTTTATTTAGTCTTTTGAGATCCTTTATTTTTTTTTCATATTTTTCTTTAATTGTTAACATTTTGGGTTTTCTTTAAAGATCTTCAGATTTCTCTTATTCTAAACCTTATTAATTATCATACAAAGGTTCTTCTTAAGTTAATTAGGGAGATAATGATATATCCTCATCTAATTCTTTGTTCAACATATACACCTCATACATTTTTGATCTCTACTATTAATCGTTATATTCTTTATTTGCTGCTTCTAACTATTTCTTTATCTCTTCATTCTCAATCTTCCTATTGGCTAATTTACTTTCCAAATCTATTATTAAATCTGCAATTTCCATATTCTACTTCACAAGATCATCAGACTTTCGTTGATTTATTTCTAATTTCTCTCTCTACTGTTCTTCAGACAATGTTCCAAATTGCTTAAGTTCCTCAATCTATTCCAAAAGCATCTATATGTAATCATCCTTGGTCCTTATTTTCTTCTACAATTATTCAATTGTGGCCCCTTGATCTTCTGGATTTTGTTCGTAATTTTGATCTGTTCCCTAAGCTTATAACTAAAAGTTATTATTATCTTATTCATTAGATTCCATATTTCCACTTTAGAAATTAAGAGGTATACTCTAAAGCCCTTAATTAGCAAGTTCATTTTTGAGTTCATCTATCTCATTTTCTTTCTCTCTAATTAAATATTCATAGTTCTTAATTATATCTAGGGGAATAGTTATTAACTTCCCATCTTGAGTTTTATGTTTAGCAAATTAAGTGTACTTAGGATTTTCAGGGGTATTTGTTACTTCTTATGATGAAACTTCTTATTAATTAACGCTACCTAAATCAAACGAAAATTCTTCTTTATCCAATATACTTTAGAATGGCTCTCTAAATTTTTCGACAGGAGTCGTCCTTTATTGCTCGACTGATTTACTATAATTAGGTTTTGCTGATTCCTTGTTCGGCATTTATTCTTTTTTCAAGTTGTTTAATTCCTCTTCAAGTTGTTGAACTTGTTAAGCCAATTCTGAATTGTTTTCCTTTGTATCCTATAATTTAGATTTTAGATCCATCAATTCCTCTTATAGTGGTTAATTATCTTACTGTTATTATTTTAGTTCTTCATTCAGTTATTAAACCAATTGTTCTAATATTTTATTATTCTCCTCTGTCTAATTAAATTTGTCCTATAGCTTTTAGAAATCATCGTTAGCTAATTTATTAGAATTTTTATTCTTTTGATCCTACAATTATGCTAGCCTATCCTATTATTATTTAATTTATGATTAAGTTTGATTATTAGAATCCTATAATTCTTTATTTTCTTATTGTAATTTTTATTATATTTCTTTATTTTAATTACACTCATCTTGCAATTATTAATTTTCTTTTTTCTGATTTTGATAGTCAGCCTCTAATATTTCATGTTATTTCTTTAGATCCTTTATATCTTATTATAAAGCTGGAATATTGAGCTTCTTAATTTCATTTTCAATCTCTTCTTTTTAAGCTTATTTATCAACTAATTTCTATTATAATTCTGCAATCAAATCTTCCAATTTTTAATTTTCAAGTACTAGATCATCTATATTATTTCTTCCTTAACTTGTATTTAATTTCTCATTATCTTATTTATTTAAATTAGGTTATGATTAATTATCATTACTAACATTAAGTTATTTCTACAGTTGATCTTTTTCATTCTATTTTTAAATCAATGCTTTTTAAAGTTCATTAATTTTATCATTAACATCTAAATTAGCTTTAACTAATTCATCCACTGTCTTTGGTAGCTGATCTTTAGATTATTATAACTATTTCTCCAATTCCACATTTTAGATTCCCACATCCAATAATTTTGCTTCTAATTCTTTTTTCCTATTATCTTATGACATTAGCTTTCTCTCCAAATCATTTATCATATCATCTATTGTGGCTGTTTACTTTGCTAAATCTAATGCTTGATCTGATTATTTAGGAGATATATCTCTTTTTTTAATTTCAGAAATGGAGTCATTTGCTTTTTGCTGTTGGAGTTAAAGTCGAGATTTCAGATTTTGAATTTCAATATCCTTTTCCTCTATTAGAAATTGCATTCTTCTATATTCCTGTATGATCCTTTCAATAACATCTTGCAATGCTTCTGGATATTATTATAATTCATTCAGTACATTCGATGCTTCATTTCCTTGTTGAGTTGCTCCTACTTTACTTCGTTTCGATTAAATATTCGATTAAAGTTATCCTATCAATTAATCTAGGGTACTTTCCTAAGTTTTTAGTTAACCGATTACGGCATCCTTATTCAAAATTTGATTTTGCAGATCCCCTATAATATTTTGTAGCTATAGATTCTATTAAATTAATTGTTGTTGTGCAGCAAGTATGTCTGGTGATGCTGCTTATACTGGTTTAGAAGTAAATTATGCAATCATCTCATCTTTCTCTTAAATCTCAGCCCTCAAAAACTCAATTTATGTCTTCAGTTAAACATTAATGTTCTTCAAATGTTGCACTTATTCATTTTAAAAGCCTAAACTTTCGAATTCTTATAATCTCCTTCTAAGTTCTTCAATTTCCTTTGCTTATTGCCAAATGATATGTTCTTAACTCATCAAGAGTTCTTCAATCTCTAGTTTATTTCTAAACCTATTTTACCTTGGATAGTGGCTGTGGCACCCTTCAAGTGTCCTTGTAGTTTAGACACACACTGCTCGTGATTTATATTACTCATTTATAATTATAATACAAATTATAACAATTAAACAAAACACTTATACGCATTATCAATGAATTATTCACAACAATTTTACACACTAACAGTGTTTAAATTTGAGGCAACAAACTCCTAAAATTTGTGATAGACCTCAAAATTTCTCTCCAATATTTTATAATAATCTTATTGGTTTTCTTTTTTATTAGAATTAATCTTTATAGTGAATTCATTTTTGGGGTTCTGATAGAATTTAGTAGACTTCTATTTCTAGCCTCTTGTAAACAAGATTCAGGATTCAGAAATCCAAAGAATTGATATGTCATATTATATTAAAATACCATGTATTTTATAATTCAAAGTTGCATTTTAATTAATATAATTTCAAGTATGAATACATATAGCTCATTAAAGTATTTTCAAATATTTATAGGAGATCTTTTGATTCTTAAATTTAGGGGAGAAAAATCTAAGAACCAAACGTTGCCATTACTAGCAATAGAGCTAAAAAGAGTCCAAGATTATGTTCACCTGAATAAACTCTTGACTAATTTATTGAACTCAAACCTCAACACATCTAATAAACACTAAAGAAGAAGAAGGTGATCCAAGGACAATAAGGGAAATCAAAATCGTAAATAAATACTGCAAAAAAAGGATTTTTTCCATCCTAAGAGAAGAAATTGAAAAAATCAATTTAACAACAAACTAAAAAGAAATCAAACACTTTATTTTTAAGCAATTCTACCAGTCCTTAAAAGTAAATGAATCCTAAAAAGCATGCTTAAATTAATAATATTGGAGAGATGCTAATTAAATAACAAATAAATAAATAAAATTTATAAAAAGATGTTAAATAATTACCAGAGAAGAAAAACTTGAATAATGTTGAAAAAAGGTAGCAAAGCAAGAAGGAAGACATTTAACTTTATATAAATTGCAAAAGAGCTTAGGATACAATCAATTTGAAACACTAGGAGATTTAAATGCTCCTAGAATAGAAGAAAAAGTATTAATTCCTAATTAATTAGAATTGAGAATTTAGTTAAATTGGATTAATTGAGAAAGAAGATTTTATCAAAATAAAAAACAATAGATGCAAGAATAAAATCACCAAAAAAAGGTAAAAAGAAACTGAAAAAAAATAAGTAAAAAGAATATCCTGATAAAATATTAAGTCCTGAATAAGAAAAGCCTGGGAAACTAATAGATAAATTAATAAAAAGATAAGAATAGCATACTAAGATGCAGTAGAATCAATTCTAATTAAAATATGAGCAACAATAAAATAAATAAACTAAAATTAAAAAACATATAGATCTACCCTAAAATGAAGAAGAGCATTCCTTATCATACATGTAACCTAATGATTAAATATTGCCTAACGAAGTAGAAGAAACATTGAATTAATTCCCGCCATCAAATTATTTAAAAGAACTAGTAAAGACTCTTATTTCAAACAATGAGGTGTTGTCTACTGCAAACTTAGCATAACACGACTTTTAATTATTGGAATTTTATTACATGCAAGCAGCTGCGACTAAGATTTAAAGTGTTTGGAGAGGATTTTATTAAAGAAAATTGATACTCGATAGTTATCTAAGATATCTCGAATAAGAAGATTAGTTACAATAAGAGAATGGATAATATTAAAACTCTTCATTCTTAAAAGAATCGAATTAATCTAGTTCCCCAAAGGTTGCTAATCCTCCACAGAGTTAAAATAATTCAGAGCTTTAATATGAAGAAGAAGAAGAAGAAGAGGATTCACAACGAAGATAGTTGGATGTCCAATAAGCCATTACAAAAATATTAAAAAAATAATAAGATTCGCCATAAAATTAATCTTCATAATCATTTAGTCAATAGCAGAGCGATGATCTAGTAGTTATTAATTAAGTGCCTAGAGGATCTGAAATTGAAGATAATGATAATGAAATTAAAGAAAATGGGGATCTCTAAAATAGTATTCATGATCATAAGATATCTAAATAAGAGTCCATTATATAAGAAATTTAACATCAATTAAATGATTGGAACTTCAATTTAGAAAACTTAATAACTGAAAATAGAAAATCATATGCAATTAAGACTCTAAAAGAATAGATGTAATAAGCAATTATAACTATTGTGCAATCTCAAATCTAAAAGTTTTAGGAATAATAAAGTAAATAATAGACTGAAACAGAGTAATCAGTGGATTTTAAAATGAGATTATCATAGGAAACTAATACTGAAAAGAATTTTAACGATATAAGAAAGAAATTTAAAAGCGTGTAAGAGTAGAGTGAAGAAAGATTACTTTAATCCTCCAAAGATTAATCCACAGATATCAATAGGTCATCACTTTTAGCATTATAATCTCAATTAATGAGAAGAGAGATTGAATTACTGAGTATGAGGGAAGAAGCAATTCAATTAAGATATTAAGCAGAAATCAAAAAAAATGAGAATGATGATAACAAGAAATCAGAGCTGAATTTATGGTTAAAAAAGGAATTGGAAGATTTATAGTAAACTAGATAGGCCATTGAGATTAGTACAAAGAAGGAAGCAAGTGCAATGAAAAAGATATAAAGAGACTTGATAATTGCTTAATCTTTTGATGAAAACAATTCAAAACTTTAGAGTCTAAGAAAAAGAGTAGATGAATAACTAAGTAATCTAAAATAATCTAAGTAAAGCATATCTGACATAAAATTGATTAATAATTTTTGTATACCAAATGAAAATGAACTTGAGAAATTAGCAGAAACGTAATCAGAAGATTTCAATTATGAAGAATAATTTCAATAAAAATAATTCCTAAAGGACAACTTTATTGAGTCATATGAAACAATTGAAAAGTCAGCTAAAGTGAATTTAGTTGTTAGTGATCTGGTTCTAGATTTACTATAAGAAATGACTGAAGGTAATTGTTATAATTTTAACATTAGAATTATTTTTAAGTGAAAATAAATTTGACATTCTTATATAGACTTTGATAAGGTAATCGATAATTCCTTAAATACCAACTTCTATTATAGAAATTCGTTATTATATCCATAATCTATTTGATTACATATTACCTTAACACTATTATGAGATCATTAAGAACATAAACTTGCCTTATGGATTCTCACCATAGAAGCGTCTATAATTTATTCATGGCTACATGGAATAAGATGAATCTCAGTACAATGAATTTTTGACATTTGTTTTAAAAGAAGAATATTTCTTAGAATATGAATAATATAGATTATAATAAAATGAGGCTGAAAATGAAGATAGTGTTACACAAGCTTTGAAAGAATTGGAACATATACATAATAGAGCAATTTTTGATGCATGCAATGAAGCTCTAAATTTTTAAAGGCCATATTATTGCAGTATTTCTATATTAAATTTTAGATAGTGGATCACCTTATCCTTGGGAAGGAAAAATCGGTCATAAAGTTATAAATGATAATGATTTGAGTGAGATTTTTAAGAATATGGAACTCAAAGTTGTTTAATGGGCTAATTCCCTTTGTGGACTTTTGCCTGTTGAGGAGGAGATTGCTGTATCCAAAGAAAAGTAAGTCATTTTAGATGAGAAAAATTAACAAATAATGCTTCAACAGATGCAATACTAGGACAATCCTGAGTTGATGGACCAAGATTATCAATAGGATCCGATCTCATAAATCAGAGAACAAAGACTGTATAAAGCTCTTATTCAAGATGTAGATATTTCATTTAAAATTTCAGTTTAAGGATTTAGAATACAGATGGAATCAAGATTAGGATGACAAGGCTGAATTGTTGATGGAAATTGGAGATTTGATCTTTGAGTAATGTATAGAGGAGTTTTTAATAGAGTCAGTTGTTTTGTGATGTTAATTCGATTTATGTTAAATTATTGTTTATCAATTAAAAAAACATTATTGAATAGTCATAAAATTCTATTTTATAAGTATTCATCTAATTTTTCATATGATTAATTTTGATTTGATATTAATAAATAAGGTAAATAGAAAAAATTTAAACTTAATTTCCAAAATTAAGAATAACTGATAATCAATTAAAACAACTGACTGTGATTATACATAAAATATTTATTATTTTGATTAACTGTCATGAATCAACTTCAAATTGAAGAACTTCAAAGAAAGCTATAACAATTAAAACTTGAAAGAATGAATGAGGATTCATCAGAAGATGAGCCTACATTTTAATCTGTTTAAGGAAAACTCAATGATAAATAGTTGTTCTAAAATCTCTCGATTGATAGTTTTGAAGTGTACACCACACTGGGCACTGGCACTTTTGGACGTGTAAAATAAGTTCGAATTAAACGCGATGTCAGTCGTTAAGTTTATGCTCTTAAAATTATGAAGAAACATGATATCTTAAAATTAAAATAAGTTGATCATATCAAATCAGAGAAGAATATTTTGAATGAAATTTCACATCCATTTCTAGTATAATTAAAAGGCTCATTTCAAGATCAAAAGTGCATATACATGTTATTTGAATTTGTTTCAGGTGGGGAATTATTCTCTCGTTTAAGAAAGGATGGCAGATTTAGTTAAGATATCACATTGTTTTACGTGTCTGAAATATTACTGGCAATTCAACACTTGCATAGAAAAGATATAGTCTATAGAGATTTAAAACCAGAAAATTTATTAATAGATAGAGAAGGCCACATCAAAATAGCTGATTTTGGGTTTGCTAAAATAATAAAAAATAATCATACACAAACATTGTGTGGTACACCTGAATATTTAGCGCCTGAATTAATTCAAGGAGCAAAAACCGGGTATGGAAAATCTATTGATTGGTGGGCTTTGGGAGTTCTAATATTTGAAATGCTGGCAGGGTAATTATTAAGTACATAATCTTAGCCATCCTCCGTTCTATGATATTGAACCAACAAATATATACAAGAAAATATTAAACGGAGTGATAGAGTTCCCGAGGTTTTTGCATGTTCGAGCAAAGGATGTAATTAGAAAATTGCTAAATTCTGATATTAATAAAAGATTAGGAGTGGAAGATGTAATGTAACTATTTAAAATAGGAAGGGGCAGCATTAATGAATCATAAATTCTTTAGGGGAGTTCCTTGGCAAAAGGTTTATGAAAAAAAGATTCAACCTCCTTGGACTCCATTCTTGAGAAATGAAACAGATTCACAATGGTTCGATAAATATCCAGAAGAAAGGGAAGACATTCCACTTATACATGATGAGTAGTAGCATATGTTCGATGACTTTTGATTAATTAAATGATTTAAATAGAAACTAAAGATGAATATTTAATGGGTTAGTAACATGTCAATTATTAAATCTGAAATAAATATATTAATGATTGATGATTGCTTATTTTTGTTTTTTAATTTCATGTTATCAGAAAAATCTGAATTAAATCTTTTGAATCTATTTTAATCACATTATAAATGGTTTATTAGATATTCATAATGAATTATTGATAATTCTTACTAATATTAGATGGATAAGAAAGATTAGTAAAGACTATATTTTAAATTGAAATTGTTTAATGGATTTTTTAATTTTATCTTGTTCTCAGAAATCATCTTAATAATTCTACATCCTTTAATGATTTGAAGAGACTGTTCTTTTAAGTATGGAATTATCAAAACAACCTAGGAGTTTCAACTTTGGTATTTCGTTCAAATAAGATTGTAAATTTATTCTTAAAATGAATTATGTGATAAAAATACAAGTTCTCTATATTACTTAAATGTTCAACAACAATTTTTTTCCCGCTTTTTTGAGAAATAAAATTAAAAAAAATGCAAACTGAAGTTGCTCCCTGTTCATAAGGTAAAATGTTCTCCAAATGTAGATCAAAATTAAAAGGACACTCTAATGAAGATGGATAATTAAATAAATGAAGAAGACAATTAGAACCAAAATGAAGCTATGGATATTGAGAACAATCATTTCAATTAATAAAATTAGAGTAAAAATTGCAAATATCCTTTCATAGGAAAAAGAAAACAAATTATTGTTTAAACATAGCCATCTCTGATTCTTAATGAAAAAAGGCAAAGAAAACCACCTTCAACAGCATATGCATATAGAGATCCATCCCCATAAAAAATTGTGGAAAAAAAAAAACCTTAAAAATACTAAATAAGTTCTAGGATGGACGAAATTTGTACAAATATAGCAAAATGGGAGTAGTTTTAGAAAGGTCTAAACAACCTAGGATATCCTAGTATCGTCTTAGATGAAGAAAAGATTTACGATTTATTAAAGGATTACGATTAGAAAGATGAAGCTGGTAAAGAATACTTATTAAAAATGCTTCTAAGAATTGTTGGAGAAGCTATGTGTTTTAATAATAAAAATGAGATTAATACACAAATAAAGAATAAAATTGAATCGATCACTTAGAGCAAGAACATTATCATAAATTGGACCTTGTAAAAGTGGGAGGAACAGATTAAGTCTTTCTTAGAGATTAAGGCTGAATTAAGCGAGGAAATCCAGTTTGCATAGCATTTTGATTTTTAAGCATTGTAAACTATTATCGGAAATAATCTGCCTAATTATATAGAGGAAGCAAAATTCAATGTTACATTAATTGCATTGAAATCAAAACAAATTGATGATTTAAAAAAAGTATGCGATTTGAATGAGTTGAAAAATGTAAGATTAATAAGAGAGTATTTGATTACTTTAAATCACAGAGTAGATTCACTCAAGAAAATTAAAGAGAAAATAAATGCTATAAAAAAATATGAAGATGAAAATGAGATTATAGAATCATATAATCAATTGGATTCAAAGATACTAGAATTTAAAAATACTCCCATTAAGTTTCTTTAGAAAACAGAAGTAAAGGTGAAACCACCTACTACACAACCTAAATAAAAATCAAAACCTTAAAACCTTGAAAAAATAGAAAATAACTTAAGTAATGAAAATGAATAAATAAATTCATAAGGAAACGTTTAAACTGAATCAAATCAACCAACAGAATAAAAAATAAATGAAAATAAATCAAATAAAAAGAAAGAGAAAGAATAATAGAAATAGGAGAAGGTTGCTAAAGGAGCACTTGATAAATATAAATTTAAGAAGCTAGAAATATAAGAAATTCAAAATTAAAATCCAAAATTAGAAACATAGAATAATTAGTTTGAGTCAGTCACTTCTCCAAGAGATAATAATTAATAAACATCAGGAAAAGATGTTTAATTATAAGATACAAATGAAACTCAATAAAATCGTTAAACTTCTCAATAGCCATAGTAATAATAATAACCATAACCACAAATTACAGGAAAAAATCTTAAGCATTTCTTTTTTGAAAAGAAATAATAAGTAGTTCAAAAATAAGATGAATATTAAAGAAAACAATTAACACCTAATAGGATGGAATAATTCGAAGCCTTGATTGAAAAAATGTCTAATATGTAATTGTAAGAAGAAAAGGTATAAGTATCCTTAAACGATTATAACTCTGATGAGATTGAAATTTAAGAAACAAAACCTTAATAAGTAAGGATTAGAAAAATTCACATTTACATAGCAGATTCAGATAAAGAATTCAATGGACATTAGTTTGTATAATTAAGTCAAGTCATCAGACCAAGAGCTCCTTTCTAATTAGGTATATTTATAAAATGAATATTTAGATGATGAAATCGATTATGATAAAGACTCCTTAGATGAAGTAGAGGAAATTTTAGCAGAAAATCTATCAGATATCAATGACTCTGATGAGGATTAAAGTGAGGAGAGTGAATAGAAGGATAGTTTTCTAGTAGATGATAATCATCTATCTTAAGATGAGGTCGAGGATCCTGAAGAAATGTTAAATAATAAATGTATTGCAAATAACACACAAGTTCAAAATGGAATAGTATACATTAAATTCTCTTAAATTGAGCCCGTCTTCTTTGAAAATTATAAAGCTTAATACATTCCTTAATATTTTGCAAACTAGCAATTAAAAGAGTAGACTCATGGAAATACTCTATAATCTATTTTAACTTAACAAGGAAATAACACTAAAATAACATAAATTCCAAAGGCAAAAATGAATTTTAGCAATAACAATTAGAAAAAACAAAATAAACCTAAAAAACCAAAAGCCACCCCTAACCCTACTACTGATTCATAAAATTAAACTACTTCTCTATAAACATAAAAATTGCAATCAAGCAGCAAAACATAAGTGGAAAAAAGTGCAACTAAATAAAAATCTTAGACTAAAGTCGATAATAAAGTTGATGAAGAGAAAATACAATAAAAGGTTGAGGATAATAATAAATGTGAATAAGAAAAGAGAGTGGACCAGCAAAAAGAATAAGACAATGAATAGAATCAAAAATTGTAATAAAACTTTATTGATGAAAACTTATAATGATTAATCTATGAACATTTATATTGTATAATCAATTTCAATTATTTGATATAATGCATGTATATCTTTTCACTAACAATGGTAAAGCATAGGTGAAATAAAGACATTATATATACATTACCCATAAGCAAAGCTATTCCCATCCTTCTGAAGTTCTATTCATAACCTTATTAATCCTTTTTAGTCTTTTTTTGATTCATAATTTGGAAAATAACATCCACAACAAAGAACATAAATCCTATATATTATGGAGTAAAATTTCAGACCTCCAGTCACTGATTAGTTCTATAGAGGGTATTTATGAAAAGAATTACATGATTTAATTAAATAATTAACTGCTAAAATGAATTATATGTCAGAATGTTCTTTTGACCATGATGTTATAAAAGTCTTCTCTTGAGATATCTCTACCATTAGAGGCAGCTCTCTCTAACATTTCAGCCAATTCCTCTGCTGTCATAGTTTCTCCCAATTCTTTGGATACCTAATTATGATTAATTTAAAATGATACTCTTTTCAAGTTATTCAAATTAATTGAGTTGCTTCCATCATCATCAAACAAATCAAATATTTTATTGATTCCATCTCTAGATTCTCTATTTCCTAGTTTTGATGTTATGGCATCCAAGAATTAATCAAAATCGATATCAGTTCCTTCATTTTCTAATTCGGCAATCATATTGAAAATTGTGGGATTCTTTTAATCAAATCCCAAACTCTACATGGCAGCCTTCAATTCTCTGGGGTCAACTCTTCCTGTGCCTTCTGTATCAAATAAGTTGAAGGCTTCTTTTATCTCCTCAATCTCGTCTTCTGTCAATCCTGGTCTATTCATAAATGTTTAATTTTACCTGTCTTAAGGCTTTCTATTGACTTATTATTATTTGCCAACAGGTTTTTATGCTACTGGTGCTTATTGTTTTTTGCTCATTAAAGTTTGAAATTTGAAAAATAATTAATATATAAATCAACCAAAAATATCATTTATATAATAGCCAACTTTGTATATACTCAATTCCATCATACAAAGAACCTTAAATATTTTATCATAATATTTAATAATTCTTCATCTCTAAATGATTTTAATTAAAAGCTGATAATATTTTAAGTGCACTTAAGTATGAAGATCCAAAAGTGGTCAAATTTTTTTTTGATTTGAGATGATCAAGTTTAAATATCAAATAATAAGGCTAATATTTAACTTGAAATTGCTCATCCTAATTTGAAAGTTTTGAAAATAATTGGAGTTTAACTTCATAAAAATGGTTGAAAAAGAAATATTAAAATATAAAGAACGATGCATCTTTACAGTTTTAAAATAAGGTTTATATATAAATGAAATAAACTTATTAACAAACTCATTCAAAAGGGTTATACATATACCTATTCTTTACAATCTTTTAGATTCCAAATGACAATTAATTATACAGATCGTTAATTTCAAAATCCCAGACACTTCCTTTTCCATTTATCTGTTTGGCATCTAAATATGCTATTAACTAGTACACAAAAAACTACTAGGCTAAAATCCGCCTATGTATGGTAACTCTGATACAATGGTTTTGAATTTACTTGCCTAGGATTCATCATCAATTTAATCGAACATGGTCATACTTCCATCCAGAGATGAGATTATTAATTCTACAGATATACATTAATTTTACTATTGGCTATGCTTAACATTCTGCAAGGATTCATAATCTGGCAATCAGCTATTTTTTTAATTTTAGTCTAGTTAGTTAAAATTATTACTTTGTAGGTTATTGAATATATTTGAATGCTATTCTCATAATCTAAAAGAACAAGAAGAGGCTTTTAAAATTCATTCTTTAAAAGCTAAATATCCATTACTCTTAAAACACCAAATTCAATTGACCAATCTACTTTCGGTTGAGAATTGTCCTCTTCAAATTTGCATATCACAACTTTAAATCCCCCATTCAATACAGCTATCCATCTATCAACAACCGATACAGCCTCAATTTAGATCTATACAAGTTCCCCTCTTAAAGAGTCAGGAGTTAATGAAAAACCAATTGCACTTTATCCAACATGCAAATCAATATATTTTAATTGATCTTACATGAACACAAGAGCTAATTTAGGCGGCATTACTACGAAATCACATGGAACAGCCTCTTTGAATAATCTTGATTGTTGCTATTCAGTGATCTTCTAGTATTAATCTAACTTTAGAATGTGTAATTTAGTATTTGGATAATCCCTTGTTAACTACGAATTAACGAGTGTCATTATTAAGATGAGGTCCATCCCTTAGAGAAATTAGACCTTAATAATCTCCTCATTATCCAATTAATCATACTGAGCAAAAGGATCATTCAAATTATCCGACCTATAAACAAACACTTCATTCTTAAGCTAATTTTAATTAGTTCTCCTATTTTAGGCCTTGTTAATCACTAAAAGATACTCATTTGAATGGAACTATAATTATTTTGAAATTTGTTACACTAAAGCTATGCATCATTATTGCAGTGCATCTATCCTTTAATACTGGATTTATTATGATATTGTTACAAGGCAGATTACTTCTCTGTAATTAGGGAAAATAATAACAACTTCCAGAAAATCCCATGAGGAAAGCACCTAATTAATATAAGAATACTATTTACTTTATTGAACCAATAAGACTTAATCATATTGATCTTCCTATTTGATAAAATGGATCAAAATTTCGCCTAAGCTTTCAGTTAATGTTAAATTCAACCCTGGAAATATAAACTATTAGAAATTGGAAGGTCCAACATAGTGAAATTTTTAGGATTTCAATTAAACATTATTAGATTGATAGGAAAAGATTAACTTAAATATTTTAAGCTAATTAGAGTTGTTTTTGATTTGAGAATATATTGACACTTTTCCAGATGATGTTATCAATATTATTGCCATTCCTTTATTTTTATTAAAATTCACTAAGTAAGAATTGATAATGTCTTCATCTTCTGCAGGTGAGCATTTGATTTAAACTGAAGGACATGTAAATACAGCATTTTGACCTAGGTTCAATTCAGGAATGGTTGATATTGCACACAAATTACCCATAAAGTCATTAGTTATAAACATGAGCTAGACTTGAATTTGTTATGACTAAAATTTGACTGACAAAATTGATAATTTCTCTTTTTCGATCATGAGTATAAGTATATCATTCTCCTATTAAGCCAAATCAAATGAGACAATTTCACTAGAGTTTATTTTTTGGCTAATTAATGATTTTTCATTCAAATAAGTAACAATGAGACTTTTTTAATCATCAAATCCAACAAAATAACTCATCAATTATTTAACTTAACGAATATCGTACTATCTAGAGAATTGACAAAGTGGATTAGTTTAGATGAACCATAAATATGTATCAAATTGCACATAGAAACAATTTGCATTTATAGTACCATTGGAAAATACATCTTAAAATTCAGGTATTTGGATATTATCCACCAATTGAAAATTGCCATCTTTTAAAATCTTTGAAAAGGTCAATTATTTATATTCACTAATAAATCCAATATGATTTTCAAAATAAAGAGGAAACTTTTATTCATTTATACCAGTTTTAATTTTTAAAGATACAGTAGTAATGGCTGGAGTGAGTTCATGTTATAATTTATAGATTTATGATGATGCTGCATTCCCAGATAAAATGTAAAGGGAATTGCCTACAACAGTAAAATTGAAAATTCTGCTAAAAGTTTGAAACACTCCTAAAGCTTTGAATAATTAATCATTCTCTTCTAATTTGACCTTCTTCGTAAGTGATGGATCAAGATCTGATATCGATGGCATTCTAACAGCATTCATCTAATTGAGGGTTCCAGATGTTTCAGTCTAAATCCAAATTAAATTATCAGCAATTACAATGTCAATTTGTGATATATAGATTGCTTACAATCTTACCATATTCTAAATTTGATTAAAGTCATCAAATCTGATTTCAATAATTTCAACCGAAGTTGGATTGCATAAAAACAATTGATTATTAACTTAATTTAATTTCATAAATGTAGCAAAACAACTAACTTAGGCAGGGGTCGAAAAATGTGTTTTCCCATTCTTTAAACACAGGATCTCATTTTAAGTCAAAGCAAGTATGTCTTCCATTTCTAAAGCAATTATTTGTAGTATAATAAATTTGAACTTATAATTCTACAAACCCTTATCTTTGTAATGCATTTTGCAATAAAAAATAGTACTTTCAATATTAGCAATCATCTGATTTTCTCTAAGTGGTTCATATTGTTAGCACATGATGTGTAGAGTATCATCTAAACTGGCATCTATTTATTTAATTTCCTAATTCTTTATATTAATGGAATGGGACACAAATTCTTATTTTTAATTTAATTCAAATATCATTATTTCATTTTGAAATTGTACTATGATACATGATCTATTTTATGATGCTAGTAACAGTGCATCAGAGGTAAAATGTTCAGGTAGAATGACTAATTTATGATCATACGGATATTAGGTTGAGATTGCTGAAATTTAACCTTAAACATTTTAGACAACGAGATATTTGTGGTTGAATGAGGATAAAAACACAATTTTCTTAATTTGAGTGAATAATTAAATTTTGTCATAAAATTTAATCTCAGAATCTCCCACACCATAGATTTTGATATTTTGTGTATCGTACAATATTAGCTATTTAGATGTGCCATCGTAAAGTGATTCAATGAGGGCTCCTTGGATTGTAAAACTCTTGAATACTTTTGTTTTCCTCCAATTCATCTATTTAATTAATTAATGAAATTATTCAATAAATATAATTTTATGTGCCAATTAAGATAAAATAAACATAATTATATTCTTTAAGATAATAAATAAAAATCATTATTCTAATCTAAGGATAAACTTATTAACACTCTGCAAATTTAATTTCTATCACTAATCCTAATCATCATTATCTGAATTTCATTTCTCACATTTAATTAATATTTTTGAGATAACTTAAGAGGAATACTTACATCAAATTAATGAAGTTAAATGTTTAATAATCATATGTTTTAATTGTTAATTACTATTAAATAAGCTCTATTTAAGTGAATGATTATTATAAAGAAGGATTTGCATATAAATAAAAGTGGTTCCGAATTATAATCTATAGCCAAAAAGATAAAATTTTAAGTATTTGATTAATCTCTTTTAAATTACCTCAAGTGCTTTGTATTTTAAAATCATAAATTAAGATCACATAAATATAATTGACATATCAATTCATCACAATTTCTACTACTTTTTTATATTTGATTGCACAATTTTCCATGCATGGATAGAGAGTGTGATGAATATGAGATGTTTTAATCGCATCTCTATTCTTTAAACAACTCTTATAACAAAGAGAAAATCCTAATGTCTTTATTTCATCATCATAGTGTTTATTATCCATGAATAATAATTAATTTTATAATATTCACTTTAAACTGAATTAGCACAATTCGCAAAAGTGATTAGAAGAAGACTGGATGATAGTACATTGAGGACACTAAATCTCTTCATCTAAACTCATTTAATTTAGTTTGTCTGTAGTTTGAGCATCAGCTGCTGTTTACGTTCTAAAATATATGATGAAAATACTATTGCTAAGTTTATTGTTTTTAGTTGTTATTATTATTATTCTCACTGTTAAGAACTACGCTCAAATTGAAATCAAAATTTCCCCAATCCATCAAAGGAACGGTTTTCATGATAGTTGTTAAATATTATACACTATATGGAGGAACAATCTTACATACATAGGTAGGAAATCTAAATATTCATAGACACTTACAAGAAATTAATTTGGGAATCAGGATAAAAAATAATTCGAAATGTGACAAGGACAGTTTAATCAGTCTAATTGTTGATCATAAATCGTTTCAACAATTGATCGACTTGCATTTATAAATTGCATTCTACATTTTATTATTCTTATTTGTTATCC